CAGTGTCTTGAACATTGTATGAAAATGGTTTGTGTTAACATTGAAAAGTTTTAAGGGCTTTGAACTTAAAATGAAAAAAATAATTAATGCACCATCTGAAATTTTGGCTGCATGCGGGGGCATCCGTGGCATGATGACACATTTCTAGTTTAAAGAATAACTTTTTGATAAACAAAAATGAAAAAAATACTGTTTTATTCATTAGAAAAGTTATTGAAAGAGTCTTGTACATTAACCCATTACTTCATATACACGCCTTTTAACGCCTTTTTCACCCCCCCCCCCTTTTTGTTGTCTCAAATGATGAAAAAATGCCTTATTTAGGCCCCAAACACTTGTTTTTGTTTGAGAAATGTTGTTAAAAAAAGTGACCTCTTTTTCGGCGCGGCCCCCCAACCAAAAGATACATCAGGGGGTTGCCAGAAGGGGGGATGTGCCCCTTCTGTTTTGGGGGGGTTTGAAGGGGGCGGAGTCCCCCTCATCGCCAAGAAAATTTTGGACTTGTGAGAGGCTGTAAATGACCCCAGATTGATCATAAGGTAACGTGTAACCAACGCTGAAAAGCATTTGACTCTATCTCAATCCATTGAGAAGTTGCAGCACTTTGAAATCAATTTTGATGGAAAAAATCTACGCAAAATAGTGATTTTTGGCAAATTTTGAGATGTCCCCTCGTTGCCATGGTAACAGAAAATTTAAGGCCTGAGCATGTTGTTTGCAAGGGCAATGGTCCAGTCAACATTTGTGCAAGTTTGATTAGTGTTGAAGCAGTTTTTATAGTATTATAGCAATTTGAACTTGTAACGGGAGACTTTTCAATGAAAATCGATTCGGCCATTTTATCTCAAACAAATGCTTGACAATGCGAAGCAAATTGTGGTTGTTATTTGATAAAGATTTGTAGATTTATATAATAATATAATTCATTAAAATCCTAACAGAAACCCAATTGCTCAATCTATTGTAAATTGCATTCATATATTTAGTGACGACAGAATGGCTCGTTTTCTTCTTGACCATAATGTTTAAACATGAACCACACACCGCGCTGATCTAGGGTAAAGTTCAAGTTATCATAATATTCTAGTCACATATTTCTGTTATTACCTCACTCAAACTGTTCAAACTAAATCATCTTACACCACTAAATTGTGACTGGACAATTGCCTTTACCAAAAATTAGTACTCAGGCTCATATTTCTGATACCCATGCGAACGCAGGGGTTTACAACGCCTTTTTCACCTCCCCAAGATTCCCGAACAATTTATATGTTGTTCTCAAATGATCGTAAAAAATTGCTTTATTTAGTTGCCCCAAAAACCGCTTTGCAGTATTTTTTTTCCCTATCATAAATTTGTATGCAAAAGTTCGTTGTTAAACTTAAGATGTGACCTCTTTTTTCGGTCGCGGCCCAACAAACACTATTACATCAGGGGTTGTCCAGATAGAGCGCGATTGTGACCCTTCTGTTTGGGGTGAAGGTGCCGGAGTCCCCTCATCGCCCGAGAATTTCTTGGACTTGTTCAGAGAGCCTTGTAATGCACAGATCGATTCGATAAGGTAAGGTGTAACACGTGAAAAGTCATTTGACTCATCTCCAACTCCATGAGCAAGTTGCAGCACTTGAAATCACAATTTCCGATGGAAATTCTACACAAATGAGGTAGTTTTGGCATTTTGACGATGTTCTCTCCTTTGCCGATGCGCTAAGATAATTTATTGCCTGTTATGGAGGTGGTGTGGGGCAAGCGCAACGGTCCAGTTGACACAGTTATGTGGTAAGTTGATTAACTGTTGAAGCTAGTCTATTTTACTAGCTATATAGCAATTTGAACTTGTAACGGGAGACTTTTCAATGAAAAACAGCCATTTTTCACAAAATGCTCATGAAGCAATGGGTTAATGAATAAAATAAAAAAATCTACACAAACAACAATTTTTCTTCAAATTTATACGACAGACCATGTTTAAACATGAAAAAACGCGATTAAGGGTAATTTCAAGTATTTTCATCATTTTCTGTTAACCCATTACTTCATATACACGCCTTTTTAACGCCTTTTTCACCCCCCCCCCCCTTTTTGTTGTCTCAAATGATGAAAAAAATGCCTTATTTAGGCCCCAAACACTTGTTTTTGTTTGAGAAATGTTGTTAAAAAAGTGACCTCTTTTTCGGCGCGGCCCCCAACCCAAAAGATACATCAGCAGGGGTTGCCAGAAGGGGGATGTGCCCCCTTCTGTTTGGGGGGTTTGAAGGGGGCGGAGTCCCCCTCATCGCCAAGAAAATTTTGGACTTGTGAGAGGCTGTAAATGACCCAGATTGATCATAAGGTAACGTGTAACCAACGCTGAAAAGCATTTGACTCTATCTCAATCCATTGAGAAGTTGCAGCACTTTGAAATCAATTTTGATGGAAAAAATCTACGCAAAATAGTGATTTTTGGTAATTTTGAGATGTCCCCTCGTTGCCATGGTAACAGAAAATTTAAGCCTGAGCATGTTGTTGCAAGGGCAATGGTCCAGTCAACATTTGTGCCAAGTTTGATTAGTGTTGAAGCAGTTTTTATAGTATTATAGCAATTTGAACTTGTAACGGGAGACTTTTCAATGAAAACAGCCATTTTTCACAAAATGCTCATGAAGCAATGGGTTAATAGAATGTAAAACTCAATAGATATGCACTTTTATTTACTTTAACCCTTAATCTATTAAATTTCTTAAATGGACTTGTATTGCTCCAAATTATGCTGGGATAAACATGTTTTGTAAGTCAGCCAATAGTCTGGTCAGACGGCACACATATACAGACTTGTCAGATTCTATACCCCTGGTTACAGCATTGTAACAGGTTAAAACATGTATAAACAGGTTTTCCACTGAAGATCAGGATAATCTACAACAGAATGTCAATGCCTGGAAGAGAGAAAGGCCGGATGATTATTTCTACTTTGTACCAAGGTAATACATAGAATTAATGTAATTTCAAAGTAATAATGTGTTAAATTTAGCAAACCTTTGTTAGTTTTAAATTTACATACATGTATTAGTTGAGATAAATAAATGAAATTGTTTTGATTTTGAGCATAATTCATCATTTGATCTAATGAGTATAATTTTTAAATGTTATGAAACCTTATAAAATGTTTTAAACATTTGTGAACTTACCACTTGGCCCAAAGATTTATGTTGATTTATTAGTATTCAGGGATCGAAAATTTCAGAGCAGACAAGTGGTTTTAAAATTATTTACTCGTCCTGCATATTATGCAATAGACGACTAAAAATTCTCATGATCATTATACACAGCAAACAAAGTTTAGCGGGTTGAATAGGAGTGGCCGGTCGGTAGGTCCGACAGTCAGTTGCATTTTCCTTGTTTGGAGCATAACTTGAAGATTTCCAAACGAAAGGAAAATGGACCTGACTGCTAGACAGACCCACCGGCCACTGGGTGATTCCTATTTACCCCCCAAAACTTCGTTTCCGGGGTATAACGATCATGAGAATTTTTAGGGATGGTTGGAATTCAATATTACTTCATATATTAGAAAAGCACATTGATAGGCAGTGCAGTGCACAAGAACCATTACTCCATGGTCGGTATTTGCAGAGTTATTGTCCTTTGTTTCTTTTCTTTGTCCAGAGCATAATTTGAAATCTACTGGTTAGAATTAAATCAAACTTCATACAATGGTCAAGCACAATAGGAGGAAGTGCAGTGCACAAGAACCATAACTCAATCTAAAGTAATTACAGTTATTGCTCTTTGTTACTTTTCCAGTGCTTCTTTCTTGTCAAAGCATAACTTGAAAACCTCTTGTTGGAATTCAATACAACTTCAATCAATGGTCAAGCAAATTGAGAGGTAGTGCAGTGCTTAAGAACCATCACTCCATTTTGACTAGTTACAGAGTTATTGCCCTTCATCACTTTTCCTTGTTTCCTTAGCATAACTTAGAATTCAAAACATCTTCATACAGTGGTCAAGCACAATAAGATGAAGTGCAGTGCACAAGAACCATAACTCTATCCAGAATTATCGTAGACTTATTGCCCTATGTTACTTTTCCATTGCTTTTTTCTTGTCCAGAGAATAACTTCAAAACCACTAGTTGGAATTCAATACAACTTCATACAATGGTCAAGCCCAATAAAAGGAAGTGGAGTGCTCAAGAACTATTTCTGTACTTATAACATAGTAGTTCAATAAAACTTCATCAAAATGGTCAACCACAGTGAAAGGACATGCAACATACAAGTACCACAACTATCTTGAATTGCCCACAACCATAACTATTTCAAATCTTTCACAAGGTATTCTGTTACTCATTTATTCTGTTACTCATAACTTCCTCATCTCCGAAGCAGTCTTGAGGGGGTATTAATCACATTTATTGATAGCTGTAAGTTGTTTTTTTACATAAAATAACAAACAAGACCAAAAAATCAAAGCTTGTAATTTGTATAATGTATAAATTGCACACCTTATAGAGCATTGTCAGGCACATTCCAGTCACACCAGTACCCAATTAACAATGCATTGATAGTTTTATAAAGTGAGCAATTTAAACAGAACTTAAATCTCAAGCTTCGATTCCTGTTTTCCATTGTTAAATGTAAATAAACTTATTATGAGACTTTTAGCAGTCTGTTACATTAGGAAATTCCCATTTTGAGCACTTTTCAGAATTGAGCACACTACAATGTTGTACTTAACATGCCTCATTCTTTTTGTAAATAAGACAAGTGGAATACCGAATATTCAATCCCTTGTATTTATCTTTTTGTGTAACATTTACAGCTCAAAAGAAGAAACTCAAGATAATGACAAAGAGGAATTCCTTTTTGTACATCAATCATCATGGCAAAGGAGACTCTTGTCCATGTATGGAAGTGAAATTTGCCTCTTGGACGCAACCTACTGTGTCTGTAAGTTTGAGGTAGCTCTGTTCTTTATTTGTGTTTGTACAAATATTGGATATGTCACAGTAGGTTGCTTCCTAATTCCTGCTGAAACAGTAAATAATATCTGCAGAGGGCTTCGTATCCTTAAACAATGGAATAAAGATTGGTCTCCTTCTTTCTTCATGACTGATTACGATCAGAAAGAGATAACAGCAATTGAGAGCACGTTTCCAGGTAATGCTCAAATCTTTAAATTTGTACCAGATAAGACAATAAAATTTTAAATATTTGCCATAAAATGTTACATTATAATGTTTTTAAATTGAATTTTAAACCCTTTCCAAAGTTTACCTGAAAAATTTGATCAGTATATTATATGCATCACATTTTCTGGGTTTTTTTATGATTGTATGAATATATTGCTGGTGTATTTCATTGGAAATTACATTCTGAAATATATATAAAAAGAAATTTGATTTTTTTTCAGTATATCAGTGAGTAAGGTAATAGAGTGTGAATGCTTCACAAGCTTTTTTCTTTTTCCTGGCTTATATTTCACATTGTATTCAGTATATGTAAAAAAACAAAACAAAATAATAATGAGGTTCAAGAAGTTGACCATCATGTTTTTTACTCATCATGATTTTATTTTCTTATAGCCGTTATACATGAAAAAAGTTATATTTAAAGAAATGTATAAATGGAAACAATGCATGTGCCATGCTTTGGTTTGCCATATATCTTTATACTTACTGTTCATATTAGAAAGTTTAATGTTAGTTTTTGCTCTATGTTGTCAAAAAAAGATATGTTGTAAAAAAAATATTTTACATAAGTATTCCAACATAAGCAACTTTTAGATTAAGATTTAATGTGAATTTATACAAGAAAATAAAATCTTCCTGTTCAATGATATTACCTACCCTTCCTTTGCCTTTCCTAGAACCTCAATATCATTTTATTTAAACCCTAAGGTAGAAAGCTAGGTGGAAGCTTTATTATTAACTGTAGTTATAGATTATTTAAATGTTTAACAAAAGACAAAAATATTTTTATATTGTTGGTGTTGTTTGTAAAGTTTGATTAAAAAGCACTCTTTGTTTATAGGCTAGCTTGAGTATGAAGTGTTCAGAGGTAAGCTTTTGTGATCACATGTGTCTGTAATTTTCCAGAAGTTCTTTATGCAATATCTCTTAAACCTTTGGGTACAATTTTGATAGATTTATAAGTATTGATGACACAAAAATTATATAGATGATAACTGTATCATGATTACATCAAATTTCTGTTTGGCAAGATTCAAGTTGTTAATACTATTTCTAAGGCTTCAGTATCTTTATGAGTAAATATACATGTTTAATGAGGTTAAAGTTTTCCAAAAACTGTAATGTTTATAATGTTATATATGCCTGTTATAATTTATCTCATTGTTTCAAGGGAGTTTAATATAATTAGTAACTTCTGATCATGCTGAAAAAAGTGAGTCATCATTCTAGTGATAATATAAATAAAGATGTAGGTTGAAACAGGTATACTTTTATTTGTATTGTCAGTATTCAATATTCAAAGAATAATCCCCTTCTCTAACAAAGAATCTCAGGTGGGGATTCATCTTGCTATACGTTTCTACACAATTACTATACATTTTAAATAAAACAAGGGATAATTTAGAGACAACTGGATATAGCCTCAAATTTAATGATATTTATTTTATAAGTAAATGTTATGGCTATGCCTGTAATAATGCAGAATAAATCCGGTGTACAATAAAACTATTATAATAAAATGTCTTGTTACCAGCAAATGTATATCTACTTAAAGATTGTAGAGCTGTTTGAATAATTAATTATACAATGCTCAGTCTATTCATAATATTATTTTGGACAAGAGTAGATACTTTATATTTTACAATTCAACAACAGATGAGTCTTTTGGCATCACACAATTATAAAATTAAGAAACACGATGATATTAATTATATTAATTATCAAACGTATAAAGAAAGCATTTCTGGATTATCCCTTGTATTTAACACAAAATATTTTAACTGCTGGTGATTGATTTTTCAATTAATGTATTATTAGTATTAATTTTATCTTTACAAGTTTATCTTACAATTTCATTATATCATTGAAGGAAAACATTCAAGCCCTTTTCTGATCTTTTTTTGTGTGTTTTTACTACTATTTTAAATATTTTTTTCTTTTTACTCTTTTTAAACCTATGCTTTCTATTTATGTATGTTTATTTTCTTTTCTTACTAAGTTTATTCAGAAAACTTTTGCATCTTTTGTAACATTCCTATGACCGACATTTTAAATTCTCAATTCAAATCGTAATGGCTTGCATATTACTTTGCTATATCCTTTATTTTTCACAAGGCATTTTTGTGCTGCCTCTAGAGAGCAGCAGTGATATATAGGGATCGTTTCTCCATCGTCTGCTGTCTGTCAGTCTGTAACAAAACTACAAGACCTTAAAAACTACTGGTGCAATTTCATCCAAACTTTCAGGAATGATCCAGTCAAGATGTCCATATTGTCGGCATTTACCAGTTCAATTGTTAGCTCTACTTTTTTTTTAAAAAAGAGCGATATTGTTATAGTCCTGGCGGCATTGCCATTGCTGTCTGCAAACTTGTACCTGGGTCATAACTTTTTGAGTTCTTGGTTATTGTCTTTATACTTAGCCACAATAACCTTTGGGACAAGACCTTTCAATAAACCACACTAACCTTGACCTTCATCCATAAATGACCTTGACCTTCAAGGTCAATTATCCAAATTTTGCTTGTTCTTGCTATTTATTATTGGCTGTTATTTTTGAGTGGATTGTCTGCAAACTTGAACATAATAATCTTCAAAGATATCCCTTAAAAATAAGCATACAGACCTTGACTTTCAATCATAAATGACCTTGACTTTAAATGGTCAAATTATTGAAATTTTCATTCTTTTGGCTGTTATTGGCTGTTACATTGTTATTTTTGAAAGGATTGTCTTCAAACTTGAACATAAAAATCTTCAAATATAGCCCTTAAAAAACAGACAGACCTTGCTTGACCTTCACTCATAAATGACCTTGACTTTGAAGGTCAAATTATTGAATATGTTTTTTTTTTTTCGGCTGTAACTGGATGTAACTTTGCTATTATTGAATTGATTGTCTTCATATTATAAAAGAACATTCTTAAGGATAAGACCTTCATGTTTATCAAACTAAAATTGACTTGGGCTCTTTAATGATCTTGACCCTGGAGGTTAAATTGAAAAAAATGACCATATACATTTATTGGTGTGTATGTATATACATATATATATATTGCGTATATACTATATATGATGCGTGTGTATGTGTGTATATATAATTATGTTTTTCTTTTCTTTTTTTTTCTCCTGTAATACACATGCGGATATATATAGAAGGGATTCATACTCTGACAAAATTAATTTGACAAGACAGACCGATTAAATTTATGAAAAGGAAAGGTTAAGATTTGTTTAAACATTGTTTTTGTAGGAGTTACGTCCTGTAATGATTTTTTTAAAGTTTGTCAGGACTACTCCTCTTACACCCGTAATGTAATTTCAATGAAACTTTACATGATTGATCTGTAGTTCAAGTACTTGCGCATATTACACAGGTTTTCAGGAATGCAGTTGGCTATCATGTGAAGACAAATGTCATCACTGATGGCTCTTGTCTTAATTCATTGTTTCTTTTTTTTTCTTTATTCTTTTTTTTGTTACTTGCACATCTGAGGCTACCTATTAACCCACACATGAACATTTTATTTATTAATTTTTATGTACTGCTATGATACCTTTATAGGCTTGTGGTGTAAAAGTTATATTCCTTATATATTACTTTTACATGTACATGTATATTTTTGGTAATTTGTTGAAATGACATTTATGTGATTTTACTGTAGGTTTTTCATTTTATATAAAGTTTGTATATGGTTTTCATGTCTTAATGACAATTTCAGATTGTTTTACATACTTGTGCAACTTTCATCGTGAGCAGTCTTGGGAGCGTTGGCTTAAATCATCCTGTACTGGCATTGATAGGAAAGATGTGTTGCAAAAGTGAGACTATATTTGAAATGTATCTTTCAACTAGAAGTTTCATCTCTTAGTTGAAAATGATCAACTTACTCTACCATCTTCGGCATGCAAACTATTTTGTTGCCACACTAGTATTTAGAATCATAGCAACCAGGCAGCAACACTTACTATATATAAATTTAGTATATTTTGCCTAAGAATGCTTGCATCACCAATTATATTTCATTCAAATAGAATTCCATATTTTATAAAGCTCAAAACTTTGTCATAAATTAATAATTTTGATTTTTTTAAGAAGTTGTGTGTGTGTGTATGTGTGCTTCATTTGACATTATTTTCATGATAATATGCAGCATTTGAATGTCTGATATGAAACAATATAAAAATTTCAATATTATTTCAAGCACAATTGTTTATTATGTACTTTTTGATACTCCTCATCAGATTTCGTGATATTGCAAATGCAGACAGTGAGGAAAGTTTCAAAATTGCTGTGACATCTTTAAAAGAAACACATTACTGGAAAGACAATGAACATATGCGTGTATGGTTTGAAAGGCAGTGGTTATCTGTTTCAAAGGTTAGAGGTTTTAGATTCAGTTGTTCAGTTTTACATTTTTATTAGCTTGACTATTAGAAGAATAAGTAGAGCTCTCCTTGTCCCCCAAGTGTGGTTGACGGCTTTACCACATATGTTAAAGTTTGCCTACCATTTCAAACATTTTCAAATATTTAAAAGTACATTGACAAATATGACTTAAATTTTGCACACTTGTTCACCATTATGACCTCAACCTTACACCAGAGTATGTAATTCAATCAAATACTTTGAAAAAATTATGACCCTTTTTGGACTTATAATTTACATTCAAATGTGTATACCACCTCAAATATTTTCAAATTCAGTTGACATCTTGCTTTGAAACTTTGTACACTTGTTCACCATCATGTCCCGACTTGTATATGGGAGTAGGTAATTTTGACAGAATAATGTATGAGTTTTACTTAAACAAGTTGGATATGTCTTGGGTTTTACCTATAGCAATGACTTTATAATTCACACACTTATCAATACAATGTACAAGATCATGTTATTTTTGAATTAAAAGTATCAGAGGTATCAACATGAAACTTTGTAGGTAGATAGATCTCATTGAGTAGGTGTGCAGTGCACAAGAACCGTAACTCTGCCGTAACTCTGCCTTGCCTAATTTTTGAATTATCCCCCTTTGTTCGTTTTGACACTTTGAACTTTGTCCAGGACATAACTCTAAAATTATAAGAGATATCAACATGAAACTTTGTAGATAGATAGGTCTCATTGGGTAGAAGTGCAGTGCTTAAGAATCATTACTCTGCCTTGCCTTATTTTGAAGTTATTGCCCTTTTGTTTATTTTGACTTTTGTCTGGGACATAACTTTAAAACTATAAGAGATATCAACATGAAACTTTATAGGTAGCTAGATACAATTGGATAGAACTGCAATGCTTAAAGAACCTAAACAAGGCTTGGTCTTATTTTGGAGTTATTGCCCTTTGTTCATTTTTACACTTTGAATTTTACCCGGGACATTTCTTTCTGTTTCTGTTGAAATATATCAGGTTCCTTATACTTATTTTAATCTTTGCAGTAAAGTTTAAATTCCCTTTTCATAAGTATGTTGTGTACAGCCGGGCTCTTTTTTATTTTATTTTTTTTCCTTATAGAGATGGGTCTTATACCACAGACAGTCACTTCAAAACATCAGGGTCACTACCACAAATGGGCTGGAGAGACAGCACTGCGAACTAAAACAAAACTATTTGAAGAATTATACCTCAGGAACTGTGACAAGCTTGATTAATACAATTACTAACCAGTTCCTACCAGACAGCTTTAAAAGGTTCGTGTCATTTTTATTACCATTTATTTGAAGCAGCATGCCTCCAGATTCCTAACAATTTTCATGAAAATTTTGAAAATGTATTAATAAGTAAAATATTCTAAAATACAAAAAGAAAAGGATTTACAAATTGCAAACAACACTAGCAACACATGTAAATTACTAAAAAGGAGGGGATATTGTTTTGGCGTTGTTTGTCCTTCTGTCCATCGGTCCAAATTTCGTGTCTGCACTTATTCTCTGAAACTAACAAAACTAATATGTGAATCATCAATATTAAGAGGATATGTGCATATTGTTGGTTAGTTCCAGTCAGACCCTTTAACTCAGAGTCATGGCCCTTGATTAGTTATGCAGTATGCATATAGAGCAATAATCGTTTCCAGGCTCTTTCACTGCAACTACTGGCTGGAATTCAACGAAACTTCATGGGAATTTTCAATACCAAGAGATGTGCATATCATGGCCTTCTTTGATTAGTAAGGCAGGATTCGTATAGAACAATAATTATTTCCGTGCTACTTCTCTGTAACTACTGACTGGAATTCAACAAAACTTTTTTTGAATGTTTTATACCAAGAGGAGATGCGCATACTTGCCTTGTTCCGGTCAGATCCTTTAACTCAGACTCAGGTATTTGATAAGTTATGCATACGCAGTATGCATATAGAGCAATAATCATTTCCGTGCTATTTCTCTAAAAGAATTGGGTGGAGTTCAACAAAACTTCATAGAAACAATCAATACTAAGAGGAGATGCGCATATTGTCCATATTGTTTCGGTCCGACTCTTAAGTTTGTGTAATGGCCCTTGGTTTGTTACGCAGTATGCATGTAGAGCAATAATCGTTTCTGTTTCTTTGCAAGTGCTTGCTGGAATTCAATGAAAATTAATTGGAAACAACAATACTTAGAGGATATGCCCATATCATCACCTTGTTCTGGTCAGACCCTTCGAGATGAATTATGGCCCTTGATTATTTATGTAGAATGCATATTGAGCAATAGTCCTTCCCACGCTTTTTCTCTGCAAATACTGGCTGGAATTCAGCAAAACTTTATTTGAACCTGCATCAATTCCAAGTTATGCAGTATGCATACAGAGCAATTACCGTTTCTGCGATACTTCTCTGCAACTTCTGGCTGGAATTCAATGAAACTTTATTGGAACAATGTGCCTTGTTCTGGTCAGAGCCTTCAAGACAGAGTTATGGCCCTTGATTAGTTTTTTCAGTATGCATAGTTAGTAATATTGCTATTTCTTTTCTACTTCTGAATTGATTTCAACAAGACTTTTTGGGAATCATCAATTAGAAAATGAAATTTGCATGCCATGATAAATTTACATGAATAAAGCCTTATATATCCAGTTGTTGTGTTAGTAATAACCAGTTCTAGGCGGGGGATATAAATTCAACGATTTTGCTTGTTTTAACAGAGATATCAAATGAAACTTTGGAATGACTTGGTTGCATTTCTTACCATATTAAACTGTTGACCATCAATTACAAAAACCCATTCAAAGACATACAATTGAACAATTATTTTAAAATTAGTTAATTAGCATAAAGATCATGATAACTAAGTTTTATTCCTTGATATATGGGCATTTGATATTTTTATATTCAGGTATATAGAAGGCAATGTCAGATGTTTGGACACAAGTCGTATGTACTCTGATGCAGTTCCGCATTTTTTACGAAACAGACCAAAACTGTTTCTTGACCACTGCACCAAAAGGCTCCCATCAGCCATCATGATACCTTTAACTGATATAGCTGTGCTTTCTGGTCAGAAATTTAAAGTTTCAGGATCAGATGGTTCTCAAGAATACATGCTTGACTTATCTGATTCTCTGCCAAAATGTTCATGTCCTGACTGGAAAAGATTCCATTTTCCATGTAAGCATATGCTATCTGTTTTGTTGAAAGTCGAAGGTTGTGGCTGGGATGATCTGAGTGAAGAGTTCACCGGATCTCCATTTATAAATGTAGATAAAGTAGTGTGTAGTAATACATATATATCTACCCCTGCTAGTGAACAATCATCTGATGGTTTGAACTCATCGTCTGATAACCTTGAAACACCAACTATATCCAGAAGACATGTCACAAACAAATCTTTAGAACCAAATATGGTTGCTCTGGGTTCAAAGTGTAAGATGATAGCTTCATCTATACACAGTATGTTGCATCTCATCCAGAATGCCTCTGACTATGAACCTGTTTACTGTGATTTACTGTCTCTTCATGCCAAGATAAGGGCCTTGGTACCTAAAGAAGCAGGTTTGCTGAAAAGGCATTCCAGGGCTGGCAAAAAACCATATAAGCATGGTCTTCTTAAACCAAGGCGAAGGTACAGAAAGGTCTCCTCAAAGTCTTTGAAATCTGGTAAGGAGCTTTTCTTTAATGTGACATTATGCTCATTTTTCGCTGTCAACTTGAGTTGAATTAATAATGATTTTCAAAAGTTGCCTATGATAATAGTGAATGAACGATAATTGAAAATGAAAAAATGTGTATAATACAATATAAAAATGAGCTTAATTATTAAAAAAGACTGCCGCACTCTTTTTAAGAATTTTGTTATAATTAATAAATTTATTGACTTCATATGGAAATTCCTTTCTTTAGGATAAGACCTTCATATATCTCAAACTTCATGACCTTGACCTTAAGGGATTAATTATTAAATTTTCACTGATTTTTGCTAACTTTGTAATTAATCAATGGATAAACTTAGTGTACAATGATTTTCAAAAGTTGCCTATGATAATAGTGAATGAACGATAATTGAAAATGAAAAAATGTGTATAATACAATATAAAAATGAGCTTAATTATTAAAAAAGACTGCCGCACTCTTTTTAAGAATTTTGTTATAATTAATAAATTTATTGACTTCATATGGAAATTCCTTTCTTTAGGATAAGACCTTCATATATCTCAAACTTCATGACCTTGACCTTAAGGGATTAATTATTAAATTTTCACTGATTTTTGCTAACTTTGTAATTAATCAATGGATAAACTTAGTGTTACGACAGATTTTTCCTTTTAAAATCATAATTTCTGAACAATATTTAATGAGATTTGAACAATATTGTCAAAAAGATTAATGAAACAGTGGAATGCTTCGTTTTTAAGCTGACAGAAACATATTTTTACATATTTATAAAATGCAACTTAAACTCTATTGTAGTATTATGCATTAAATAACTTGTTTTAAATTGGTAAATTGATTATTTATGAATGTGTTTCTTTCCTATTATTATGAATGTGTTTCTTTCCTAAACTGACCTGTCCCACATGAGATATAGTACTTGCTTATTTTGGGTACAGTTTTGGACAAATGAAATTTGTAATTTGTTGTCTTCTGAGCTACAAATCCAAGTCAACAAAACTTTATCAACTGGTATGATTGCATATCTTCATCATTTTTTTGTCTCGCTCTGTCTTACATATACAGTTCATAAAATTTTTTTTAACAATACCATAGCTAGCTAGAAGTTGTTGAAGACTGCTTTTATGAAAAAATTTGATTTTTAGCTCGACTTTTCTATGAAAAGGGGAGCTATCCTACTCGCCCCGGCGTCGGCGTCGGCGTTGGCGTCACACCTTGGTTAAGTTTTTCGTACCACCCCACTTTATTTCAGAAGTATTACAAGTATGGCTTTGAAACTTACCATACTTGTTCACCATCATAACCTCCATCTACAGACAAGAGTACATAACTCTGTCAAGGTTTTTGACAGAATTATGGCCCTTTTTTGACTTAGAAAGTGTATTGAGCTTGGTTAAGTTTTTTGTACCACCTCACTTTATTTCAAAACCATTGGAGGTATTGCTTTGAAACTGACCATACTTGTTTACCATCACGACCTTCATCAACAGACAAGAGGACATAACTCTGTCAAGGTTTTTGACAGAATTATGCCCCTTTTTGACTTAGAAAATACATTGAATATGGGTAAAATCCACTTATTGCCTTAACCCTTTGAGATATTGCTTTGAAACTTTTAATGCTATTTCACATCATTACCCCCATCTGTACGCAAGAGAAGGTAACTCTGTCAAGGATTTGTTTTAAAAATTAAGGCCTTTTATCGACTTAGAATCTTGGTTAAGTTTTTAGTACCAGTCCACTTTTTGACTGAACTGTTTGAGATATTAATTTGAAAGTTGGAATACTTGTTTACAATCATGATTCCCAAACATGTCCAGGAGAAGGTAATTCTGTCAAAGATTTTATTTGAATTATGGCCCTTAACTGTCAATGTTTTGTATTATAGGCAAGCACTAAAAAACTTAAAAAATCTAAAAAAATTCATTCCTATCCACTTGTTCACTTTACCATAAATTATGTCATATAAACATTGCTGTAATATTCAAGGGTATCAAACAACTAGTTCACTTTAAAAATACAGAGATTCTTGTATTGCCTTTTACTGCAAAAACTTTTTTTATTGGCAAGCAATAAAAAAGTCGAGCGCGCTGTCTTACGGACAGCTCTTGTTATCTTTATTATTGGTTACAGTGAGAAATGTCAAAAAGAAGTCATCTGAAAGAGCGAAGGTTGTACCAATTGATTCATTTTTTCAGACAGATGATGTTTCTACAGTTATAACAGGTTTGTCTCCCATGGTAAATGATATCATTTACAATGTGGTAATAAAAGTGACAAAAAATTGATAAGAGTACAATGCATTTAACAGTCGATTGATCTTTGTTACTTGGCAAATAGCTATTAAACCATTGGTCTGAAATAATGCTTGAAAGTCTTCCTCCACCAGTAAAGATAGAAAGTTCCAATACAAATGACCTTTACAATGTTTGAGCCACTTTAAATTCTACTAAACAAACAAATTTGAATTCAAGATTAGTTAAACGTTTGACCAGTGATATTAAATTGGTATAAAAGTATGTTACATAACTTCAAAACCTTTCATTCAGTTCTACATTTGATTGATTATCATAAAGGTTGCCATTGCAATTTTAATTTTGTTTTTGATTGTACATGTATGTACTTGACACTAAAATAACTATAGCCAAGGTTATTTTTACAGGAAATACTTGTACACAAGATTCTCATGTAAATGTTGATGAGCACGGTAAAAAGGACAAAGGTATTCACATCTTTATTTAGATTGATGCCCTGCCATTTAGAAATGGTACTGGACATCCAAGCATGAATATTGAATTGGCTTAGAACCTTTTCTTCTCAGTTTATAATATATCTCAGATATACAACATTATATAAGTTGAACAAACATTGATATATTAATGGGTTCATTTTAGCATTATTCCATGTATCACAGTGTTCATTTTTTCTTGGACAGGTAAAACAGTTATTATCAGAAAAGTCTGTTTGAAATGAAATTTACATAATAATTTGTCTTAAGATTATGTTTTTTTTAGCTATTAGTATCAAAGGGGATACTCCGGCGTCAGTCGTCCGTCGTCATGCGTCAACAATCGTCTTCTTCTTTGAAACCACTGGACAGATTTACTTCAAATTTGGTCTGTAGCATCCTTGTGACAGTCACACTTAAATGTGCTCATTCCATTTCAATTGGCCCCTTTTAGGGGTCAACAAAGCTAAAAATAGAAAAACCTTTAAACATCTTCTACTACAGAACTAATTGATGGATGATCACCAACCTTTGTCTGTAGAATTCAAGGGTAGTCTTTTATCAAGTTTGCTCATATTAATTTGATTGGCCCCTGTTAGGGGTCTCTAGGGCTAAAAAAAGAATTTTGGTTTAAAAAATCTGTGGCCACGCTGGTATAATTTATTGTTAATGGAAGTTAAACATATATTGAGTTCTATGTGTAGCAGTGACTTTAATTTATGCACATACTTTCCAATATAAGCTCAAGGATCTTGGCAAATATCGAGACATACCATTCATTTTCCAGTCTTTTTTTTTAATATAATATATATATTTAGTTATTGTTATTGTATGTAAACATACAGATATTGTTTACATATTCTTGCAAGTGTGATTTATCTTGTTTTCTGTTTGTACAGTTGTTCCAATATGATAAACACTTTCCATCATGGCCATTTTAAGCTTGATTTCTTCTGCTATTACTACAGTCATAATGATGTTAAAGTTGCGGTCTTAAAATTTTAACATTTGTCATATTTTTATTTCTTATTATATTACCTCTATGATTTGACACAACAACTGATTGTACAAGACCTTCAAGTTGACCATACTGAACTTTTGTTTTTGAATCCCTTTCAGAATGTGCTAAAGATGTTATTGCTTGCAATGTTATACAGACCGAACAAATGAGGCAGGATTCTTGTCAAGGTGTAGCAGCACTTCCTTAGTTCCTTGTAGAGCATTAAACTGAGCATTAGACACGTACTGCTGATCTTGAGTTATATATAATTTTGAAATAAATATAACATTCACCAAAATAAAGCTCCGTATGTATATTGTTATAAGGAAGTTAACATATTAGGGTGCTGTTGATAAAATCAAGTTTCTGTAGGCTGTTTAAAAAAAATAAGTAAACAAAAAGAAACAAAAAAATGTATTGATAACAAAAAAATTTAATTCAACATGTTTTTTAATTTTATGATCTTTTTTTTTATAGTTAAACATTTAGTTGATAAGATTTGGTCATTAAAGAAGGATTACAATATTCCTGTAGCAAAACCATATGGTATTGTAGTGACAGATGCAGACATAAGATCCCTAAAAGATGGTGGATGGCTTACAGACAATGTATACAGTTATTATTTTATCCCTTTGCCTGTGTTGCTTGTGTATATAAAACATGACTTACTATTTGTGTGTAGTACATTTTACATTTCTGTATTTCCGTAACTTGATGAAAGTCAATGGGAAAACCAGTCTATCTATTTTAGATTTGTCAAAATGTTGCAATTAAGTGTTTAAAGCATCTCTTTTGCATCTTGTTGATTGCATAAATTTGTATTTCCACTCCCAGTACAGGCTTATTGAAAATAACACTTCTCATAATAACTCAAGCAATACAACCAATCAGAATAGGTCTTTATCAACATTTTTGCAATGTATAATTAAAGCAAATACACATGTTTTCCTGCATTAAAGTTGATGTTTAGTTAATTTATGTTACAAAAACTAAAAATTTATTATATTTTACTTTGACTTTGATATTACTTGTATGTTTACATGAATAGTTGATCTTAATCAGATACTGGACTGCCACCTCAACATGATTGTCACTGAAGCAGGCGAGCAGTCTCCTAGAAGAAATGGTTTACACTTGGTTACAACACTAATGACTTCCATAGTTTCAGGCCAATACCAGATAAACCAAGAAAGGGGATTCCGTTACAAAGTAAATGCAGGTTTTGTAAAAAAGAAAAATCTTTTTCAAACAATTAAAAGTAATAGCTTTGTATAATTTTAAACTAGTTTGACCATACACCTGTTGTTTAATTGAAGAAAAAATATTTGAAAAATATGACAAAAATAAACAACTTTATTTTATAATCAATTTTTTTTTTATTGCAGCTTAGTGACTATGACTTTGTTGTAGGAATATATGGCCGCGGGGCACATTGGACTCTCATAGTGAGTTCTTCAGATATTAAGAATGAAAATATTCTGTGATGATTTAATATTTCCCAACCATTTTAGAATATCATTAATAATTTTGAAAATCTTTAGCACTATATTAGTTATTTTTATTCAAAAACAAAATATTGACTTTTTAATTAAAAAAATTAACTTTTAGAGTGTCTGTTTCGTCATAGTTTAGCGAAAACTTTGATGTAACCCATTGTTCAAACATTTTAGAAGTTATTAATTGGAAACAAGGAATACTTCCATTTCTTGACAAAGTGCAGTTTTAAAATCGGAAATCTATTGTTTTAGAGTTATGCCCCCTTTTAGCTTGACTAATTGATAAGAATAAGTAGAGCCACTGTAGTCATCTGAGCGTTGGTGTCGGCGTCGGCATAACCACCAATGTTAAAGTTTTTGTAATACCTCAAATATTTTCAAAGTCCATTCACATATGGCTTTGAAACTTTGCACACTTGTTCACCATCATGACCCCAACCTGTAGACAGGAGGAGGTAACTATATCCAGCATTTTGACAGAATTATGCCCCTTTTTCGACTTAGAATTTACGTTAAAGTTTTTGTAATACCTCAAATATTTTCAAAGTTCATTGACTTATAGCTTTGAAACTTTGCACACTTGTTCACCATTATAACCCCAACCTGTAGACAGGAGGTAGAATTTTTGTTTCAATTGGTCATTGATAGTAAAATCCATTGAAAGACCAGCATAAACATGTTATTTGGTACTCTTGCTTACTAGGATATATGACTGAAAATAAGAAATTTCAAATTAACGGTTTTTCCATATCATCTACATCAAATTAATATGACATGACTTTATCTCCTTTGTCTATATCTTCACACAGTCCATCTTTAAACTGGCAAAACAATGGTATATTTGGACATCAATCTCACATGAACACAATTCTACCTTCTTATTGTTTCCTTTAGATGTTTTTCAGTTATTTATAATTAGTGTTGTGCAATGAAACGCAATGATATGGCAATATTATTATTGCAGTATGTTTTTAGATATGGCAATACATTTAAACTATAATCTTTTGATAAAAAAGCATAAAATTTTAGCATGGCAGTGATTCATCTTGTATTAACTTTGTTACAAATAGCATTTACATAAAATTGTTTTTAAACAATGCTCTTGTTATCATTTTTGCAGTTGGCTGAAATTTCCTCCACAAAACTGTTCTTTTACAATCCAACTGGTGAGAATCCAACAGAAAGATATAAGATTCTAAAAAACTGGAGGTAAGAGTTGTGATTTTAGGTATGTAATTATTATTTATGCATGCATAGCATATAAATGAATTTTATGCTCATAGAAAAGAGATTTAAGTGGAAAAATATAGAAACATATTCAGCCTAAAAAGTATCTTTCTGAAGAAATGGGCACCATTGCTGTCTTTATGTTTCTTTTTAGCTGTAATTTTCAAAGAAAAAAGTGGATATATTGTCATGACCCTCTTGTCAGCATTAGCGTTTGTTAATCTTTTCATTAGGAATCATTTTCTCATAAACTGTGAAAGCTATTCCATATACAATGTTTTATCATTGAAAGTATTCATTTCAAAATGGAAATATTTGTTGACTGTCAAGGGCAGGTAAGTCAGATAATCATGTGTGCAAAGTTATGCTCCCTTGTCTGTGTTGCTTTTATTTTACTACCCAAAACTGAATTAAGTGGAGAGCTCTATCCACGTACAGGTCTCATTATAATATATGTATCTTGTTATAAAGTATGTCAATTCATTATGCTCTTTAAGAGTTTAGTAAGAACATTTTATGAAAATATACATGTATAATTCCAAATGAAATTGTATAAAAACAATATCAGTTTCAGTCGCAGTAGATCCATTTGTTGTAATCTTAAACACGGTATATAATTTGATTATAAAAGTTTATAGCAAATGCATGCAATATACAGAACATAGAAAAAAAATTCATGTCATGTTATATTGACCTTTTTTGCACAGGAAGTTTATTAGACAGTACAATGCCATGTGTTCATATGAGAAACTTCCATTAGAATGGTCAATAACCTCAAGAAAACATACACTGCAAACGGATTCAAACAACTGTGGTGTTTTCTGTATGCTGGTAATTTTTTTGATTTTAATAGATCTATTACAACTACTATAATTAAAATTTGAATTTTCCAACATTACTGTTCTTCTACAGCATTTAACTCGAGCAACACGCCTACAGATTTATGCTATTTCATGAACATGTTTAAAATATGTATAATAACATGTTGTGACGATAAGGAAGCAAATAACACCTAACTAATTGCACTTACAACTTGTGGAAATTACTAAAATGAGGTAAAAATATGCGTTAGTAAGGCAGTAGAAATATAATCATAATGTTGAAAAAATCAGTAATTAACCACATATGACATGTCAATAAGTACATGAATCTTTAATATTTTTACATTCCTTAAGTCTAAGTAATATTTTTTTTAAGTTTGATTTTATTGAAATATTTTGGCCTTTGGCTTATCTGGAGGCATGTAGCTTTAACATTTGTTAACTCAACTCAACTCAACAATTTGTTAACATAAATTGTGTTTCCTATACAAAGGTTGTTTGAACTAACCACCAATGTAAAATCAGTTTGCAGAAAAGCATATTAAAGAAGTTGGAATGGAAGCAATAACTGCTGATGAATTGACTAAATGTAGGAGGAATGTGGCTGAAAAAGTTTTATTTTTTGAAGGTGATTTTGGAAATAATTTTAAGCTTTACTGTTCAACATTATAATCTCCAAAAACCCTAAAGATATGTGCTTCTTACTTAACACATTTCTTTGAAACCAGTTTCTAAAATACATAGCTCTAGCATTTATTTTATCTGAATTATGGTCCTTCGTCACTTAAAAGATTCCTGGTTTTAAGTTTTGCATGCAAAATCTTCACATCTACTGGATGTATTCATTTGCAATTTTACATATGATGTTTGGCTAATAATTGGAAGTCATTGTCCAAGGCCTGTAACTCTGACATTTTGAAATCATTATGGCCCTTGGTAAACTTACAAATTAAATGAAATGTTCTTGTTTGTTTATACCTTCATTATCCTGGCCATAGTTTTACTATCAAGCTCTGCATTAGTTGAGTGCAATGTTCTACTGACAACTCTTGTAGTAGGTACAAGTGAGTTTTTGTGATGTCATATGTCTGTTGGGCAATGTTCTGACTGAATAAGATACCAACTAGATTCTGGACTACTCCTCAGAAACTACAGAGGTCATTTGTAACTGTTTCGAACATGATTTGACAATATAAATGTATACTAATACTTGTACAATTTGTCTTTTTTCACCAGAGATAATTTCTTTTTAACCAGGTTTTCCGAAGGAAAAAACTGGTTATTAGATTGAGGTATGTCGGCGGGCGGGCGGGCGTAAACAATTTCTTCTGTGCGCAACTCCTCCTACATTTCTCAACGGATTTTGACCAAACTTTCACAGAAGCTTTGTCATCAAGTGCCCTGGCGCATATTGTCGGGGTTTTGCGATTAGATAATATTTGACCTAATTATGGCCCTTTGTTTTTTTTCCTTATATAAAATATATAGTGAACAATTTCTTCTGTGCGCAACTCCTCCTACATTTCTCAACGGATTTTGACCAAACTTTCTCAGAAGCTTTGTCATCAAGTGCCCTGTCACATATTGCCAGGGTTTTGCAATTTGTATATATTTGACCTAATTATGGCCCTTTGTTTTTTTTCCTTATATAGAATATATAGTGAACAATTTCTTCTGTGCGCAACTCCTCCTACATTTCTCAACGGATTTTGACCAAACTTTCTTAGAAGCTTTGTTATCAAGTGCCTGGCACATATTGTCGGGGTTTTGTGATTGGATAATATTTGACCAAATTATGCCCTTTGTATATTTTTTCCTTATACAGAATATATAGAGAACAATTTCTTCTGTGCTCAACTCCTCCTACATTTCTCAACAGATTTTGACCAAACTTTCTTAGAAGCTTTGCTATCAAGTGCCTGGCACATATTGTCGGGGTTTTTGTGATTGGATAATATTTGATCGAATTATGGCCCTTTGTATATTTTTGTGTCGCCTTAAAAGGCAACATATAGGGGTAACTTTTGTCGGCGGTGTCGGCGGCGTCTGTGTCATTGTCGGCATCCCTAAAGCTTGTCCGGAGCATAACTCAGGCACTATAAAGTCTGATTGACTTCGAACTTGGTATGCATGCTTCTTTCAATAACCCGAAGCTGCAGTGCACAAGGACCGGTACTCTTCAGTTCTTATTTTTTGAGTTATTGCCCTTTGTTAATTTTCATACTTTAATTTTGTCCGGGCCATTTCTCTTCAACTAAAAAAGCTATGGACTTGAAACTTCATAGGATGATAGATCTCATTATTAAGAAGTGCAGTGCACAAGAACCAGTACTCTGCACTTCCTTATTTTTGAGTTATTGCCCTTTGTTAATTTTCATACTTTATTTTTGTCCGGGCCATTTCTTCTAATGTATAAAAGCCATGGACTTGAAACTTCATAGGATAATAGGTCTCATTAAGAAGAAGTGCAGTGCATAAGAACTGGTACTATGCATTTCTTATTTTTTGAGTTATTGCCCTTTGTTTATTTTCATACTTTAATTTTGTCCGGGCCATTTCTCCTTAAGTATAAAAGCTATGGACTTGAAACTTCATAGGATGATAGATCTCATTATTAAGAAGTGCAGTGCACAAGAATCGGTACTCTGCATTTCTTAATTTTTGAGTTATGGCCCTTTGTTAATTTTCATACTTAATTTTTGTCCAGGCCATTTCTCCGAAAGTATAAAAGTTATGGACTTGAAACTTCATAGGATGATAGATCTCATTAAAAAGAAGTGCAGTGCATAAGAACTGATACTCTGCATTTCTTATTTTTGAGTTATTGCCCTTTGTTGATTTTCTTACTTTATTTTTGTCCTCATGGTCATTTCTCCTAAAGTATGAAAGCTATGGACTTGAAACATCATAGAATGATAGATCTTATTGATAAGAAGTGCAGTGTACAGAAACTGCTGCTCTGCACTTATTATTTTTTTAGTTATTGCCCTTTTTTATTTTTCATATTTCATTTTTGTCCTGGCCATTTCCCCTAAACTACATTTGTTCACAAGGCGACACATCCGACTCGCGGAGTTCTAGTTTCCTTATACAGAATATATAGTGAACAATTTCTACAGTGTGTAACTTCTCCTACATTTCTCAATGGATTTTGACCAAACTTTCACAGAAGCTTTGTCATCAAGTGCCCTGGCGCTCACTAAATTCCCATGTTTCTTCCAAGACATCATTCAAGTATTTTTTTAAAATTGTGAACATACTTTTCTTGATATCGCACAAAACACCACACGCCAATATTGTTGACAAAAGAAAATGACAAGAGACGCAAAAATGCAAAAATTAAGCAAAAATAAAGTACTGTTTACCTTTCTAAAATATTTGGGAAAAAAAGGCGAATAGACAACATAAAATTTCTCAATCATTTTTGTTTGAGGAATATTAAAAAAGCCATAATTCCTCCTAAAAGTTCAATTAAAAACAAATGCCCCTTCATGACAAAGCTTCTGTGAAATATTTTGCTGAAAACCTGGTTGCATCGCATTGCGATGTTCCTTGTTATGTATATGTATTTGTGCCACTAAAGTAATTTCCTTTACCACCTATCAAAGTCGTCTTCTGTCAAGGACATTGGATGGGGGTATGAATCCCATTCAGTGATAATTTTAGTTAATCATGTTCAGTTTCCAAACCTGACTACAATGTAATTTTTTGAATTATAGACTGTATAACTGACTGCTGTCCAAAATGTGGATTTTTGATAGAGGAAGACAATCAGGTATATAAATGTAGTCGATTTTTGAAGTTGCATTTCTAAAATCTTTATATTATTAACTGTCAAAAAATTGGATAGAATCAGTGTATATGAATAATTGACAATGTGTGGATATGATTTATAACTTGCATTGGTGTTTGAAGACAAGGATTTTGAAATATTTACAGGAAAAAAAAAGAAGAAAATTTTATCCCGTGTTTCAGGATCTGCCACTCATATGTTAAATGCAACACATTTGAATAAATAAATTGAAATGCAATGTAATTCTGTCATTTTAGCTCAGGTTTTTTTGTTTGTTTGTTTTTGTTTTGAAAAAAATAGAGTTATTGTTACAGTCAGCGTTGCCATTGACCTAAAATGTCCTTGACTATCAAATTGTTGGAAAGAATTTGTACTTTTACCAAAAAACAAGTGTGACTAGACTAAAAGAAGGGGGAAAACTTAAAAAAATCTTTTATGATATTTGTTTAGACCATTTATTTTTTTGCCTTTATAAAAAGTAAAAAAGTCGGGTGTTGCCCCAGCCCGGTGATGGCTCTTGTTTTTATCATAGTCATATTTTGTGCTATTTCTATCACAGAAATGTTTTATCAATTGTCTTTGGTAAGACATTATAGCACAGTATATATCTTATATGACATTACAAATACATATGATTGGTGTGAATATATTTGACATGATTTGGAACTTGTATAATCTCACAAGTTACTTTTTTTTTGCAGATACAGTGTGGAAAATGTTACAGAACATATCATTTCAAGCAGTATTGTGTAGGGGAAGCAGTAGAGGGCATGAAAAATGATGACAAAGAATTTATTTGCCAACTTTGTTCTATTGGCCTTTGGGTATGTAACACTTCAGTAATGATGAAAAGCAAATAATTTTTCATTCTATTGTACATGGAATTTTGCATGTGTAATTTTTTTCAGTTTTGTTAGAGTTATTGCCCTTTACTTGGTATTAATTTACAATTTTCAACTTGTTAATGCATAGCTCAAATAGTATTTGACCTGTAGGCCTTAAAGTTTACAAGAATGTTAGTCATCATGTGTACTTGTTCGCTTGTGGATTAATTCAGTACTTGTTAAGTTCTGCCTTTTCCTTAGTAAAAGATTTTTAGTTTTCAACTTGTAGCACATGTAGCCTAAAAAATATTTAGCCTAGAGTCATAAGATAGACAAAACATTGGAGTGTGGGTGAACCCGTGTCCTATGGACACATTTTCTAGTTTCACAAATGTAATCTTGTTATTATCTAAAATTGTACAAAAAAAACAGCTTATTCTCACATTTTGGTGATTATGAAAGAGAGTATTTTCAATGTAAACCACAGGTACATACTGGAAGGATAAGAAAGATTTCAGACAAAACAGTTCAATTTACAAGGAAATTTGAGGTAAATGTATGATATATTTATGTAAAAATCCTTTTTATGTTGTGTGATTACAATTCTAGTAATTGCTAATATCACACAGGTTGGCATATGAAAACTTCACTTAAGTAAGTTTCCAATCACAATTCACTAAATGTGTTTGTGCAAAAATGGCAACATTTTTATATCTTTATTTTATGTATCCTTATGTATGGTTGTTAAAAAAAATCATATTGTAATAAAAAGTTTCATTGGTTATTACCAGGCCTTGTGATGTGACAGAACATGTTCTTACTTTCCTAGAAAGAACACTGGTTAAGGTATGGCGGTGTGATTCTGCATTATGTTACAACTTTGACATTATATAAATATTCCTGTGTCATAGTATTTTGTATTTTATAAGTATACATTTGTTTATTATCAGATTATGGAAAAGTTGAAAGAAGAAAATGACCCAGACTTAGAATTTATCTAAGGATGAAAAGAATGGCAGTTTAGCCCCAGTTCAGCATTTACAGTAACTAAATAATCCTTTTTTGTACCCCTTAAACATTATTTAATATAAAGTAAGGTGTCTGCAAATTAAGTGAACCTATATTAAATTTTTTACTTTTTCCCCCTGGGGAGACAAAAGGGAAAAAGTTTGGGTGTTAAGGGTTTTGCACGTCTTTTCGTTTTTATAAAATATTATAGGGGTTTTGGGGTTTTGTGTAAAAATTGGATTTTAAATGGGGTTTAATTTCTATAATTTAAAATTTGGGGATTAAAAAAGAGTTTGTGAGGGGGAAATTTAAGTATCTTTGGGGTTTAAAGAAAAAAAAATAACCCCTTAATGCCCATTCCCCAAAGGGAGGATGCGTAAAGGTTCCGTACAGAACTATTGAGCATAAAACTTTTTAACAATATCAGCCAGGAATGTTGAATTTCATATGTAATAAACTTTATTGACAAGACAGGGCAGTGCTCAAAATTCATAACTCTTCTTGGTGAAATTTAGGAGTTATTTTCTTTTTAATTTTTATATGCCCGAAAGAATTTCGTGCATATTATGTTATATCCCCTGGCGTCTGTCTGTCTGTCTGTCTGCACTACCGAATAGGGATAGGGGGCCATCTAACTGTAAACAGAACAAAATAGAACAATAGAGTTCATTCTGTATCAATAGAGTAAGGGGCCATTGGCCCTCTATTAAACAAAAGAAAATAACAAAAGAAATGGCCCCTTGTTCCATTTAGGTTTACTGGATTCATGCTTTCATTACACTTAAATCTTTATATTGTTATTCTTATATTACTAAATGATGTTAAAAATGCCCAAATGATTTCTTAATTTGTTATTTTAAAAGGAGGTCCTTTGCATGATTTTAGTTTATTTTTCTGGGGTTTGTACCAAAATAAAGCTCTGAGATGATACTAAGAAGCTCCAATCATGTATATGATTTGTATCTCTTGACAATAGTTGAATTTGCTTGTTTTATATAATTTTTAATTTAGGATCAAGCAACATTTGACTCAGAGTACCCTAATCAGATTCTTATGGATGGTCCAAAGAAAGTTAGTTCTTTTATATACTTATTGTATACTCTTCTTTTATAAACAAAGTACATTATTATTATAATTGAATGTCTATTCATCTGTACATTTGTAATGCTGTTATAATTATATAACTTTTTACAAAGGAAAAAATGTGAAACATCCAATTTTAATATTTAATCTTACTCAATATAATTTTATTATGGTAGTCTTCTACGTGTATATTTGGTCACTATGTGACATCAAAGTTCAAATGAAAAGAAAGCCTTGCCAAATATTGGGCATCAAATTATGGGCCAAGCAACTACCAATTAGAAAAGGGATCTATATTTGTAGGTGTCAAATTGACAGCTGATCACAGAATTAATGTTTTGTTTAAATCATATAATTTTTATGTTGTTGTTATAAGAAATTGCATTTGTGAAAATTTCAATATTCAATAAACTTAAAAAAGATATTCCATAAATATAATGTAGAATGTGAGGAAGTCATTATGCTTGAAGAGAAAGAAAGATGTTTCACATGGAGAACCATCCAAAAAGGTATTATTTTTCAGTTACTCTATTGTGTTTATGATCAGAGATAAATAAAGAATTAACATAAATGTAAAGGTTACTCCCATACAATTACTGAATATAAATTAAGTTCTAAGAAAACATGCTTAAAAGTGCATGAATTTTGGCATTGGATGTCTGTATGAAGCCTTGTGAACAGCTTTTTTTATTTTGGCAGTAGCATACTGGGCAAAAATCACTTAATACAAAAATGCCTTTTAAATATTTGTTTTGCACTTTTATATATTAATATTAAATTTTGTGCATTTAAACCACATTGAATGCATATTGCAGATGTATCAAAAAGTAATTGATCCACTTAAATGCTATTTTTAATATCAGAGAAAAGATTTTGATTCTGAAGACAAAAAAGGTGAAAAAAAAGAAGGATATGCATTTGCAGTTGATGGAGATTCAGATGATGAACCAGGTGAAGATGAGTTCTTGTACAGCAAAAAATCAGTTGAAGGAATGGTTTGTTTATTTTCCAAAATATTCAATTGTAGCTCACCTAAGTGGTGAGGTTTAGTGTTCCACCTTAGTCCCATTGTGTTGTAAGCTTGGTGCTTCAAGGACAATTTCTTAAAACAACATCAATTCTATAACCAGTGACTTCACTTAAACCAAAATTAACAGGAATGATCCTTGGGTGGTCCACTTTTAATTATATGTATAAAATCTTCTGATTTCCATAGGCTGGAGGTTAGCAACTTATTGACAATTCATAGGTTTTTAAATAGCTTGTCACAAATGATCCCCACTATGAAACAACCTACAGAGCACAACGTCCAGGTTGCTACCCTTAAGGTTAAGGTTACAATTATGTTCCGCATAACTTTTTAACTTTAATTAATGGAAGAATTTAAATAACTTGGCACAAGTAATCACCATCATGAGACTATGTGCTTATGATATGCATGGCACAACATTAAGAACTTAGTTGGTCAAAATGGTCAGAAGTACACAGTCATGTCAGCTGTGGTAAAGCTGTCTTTTCAAATTATATCCCAGTGGTCAAAATTGGCCTTGCACCAGGCGTCATAGATTTTCTTGATATACATATAGTAAAAAAATTAAAATTCTTCGTAGAAAGTTTTTGAAGTAACATTTACCTGCGATATTAGCTGACCTAGATTTTGACCAAATGATTTTTTTCATGTCCTTTTAGGTACAGCCATGAAAATTACCTATGACATTTTGACCACATCACAGTCTGTCCTCAGGAGAACACTTTGAGGCCAATGGCCTCCTTGTTGTAAAATAATGTTAAACAGTTCATTATATTCTGTACTTATAATGGTAAACCTCTATATGGCCATTATCCTGTTAACCATAATCTTTAAGGTACAAATACAGACTTATATTAAGGAAAATTTCACTGTTTAACATACATAATTTTTTTTCAGATTGAAATTGCACTTGAGAGAGTCAAAAACATTATTTCTATGAAAAACAGGTAAGTTTAACTGTGTAACTGTTAATCAGAATTTAATTGTAGAAGTAATAAAGTTAAGTGCAAGATATTTGAAATTATTTGGAGATGTATCTTTTCAGTCTTTTTACAATCTATCATATTTTGGTATTGCTAAAATAGTGTAAACATTTTCAAATGTATATCTTAGGGATGCACCTTGGATGAAAAGGCACTGTAGTTTTAGAAAAGGAGGTCGCTTTTTAAAAAGAGGATTTGGTTTTGCTTTGTTCAGTCAGCAGGTAAGAAAAGAATCATGTCTCTTTCTAAGAAAATGAATGGAAAATAATGCAGGAGAATAATAAGAAGTAAAATAGCCACTTTCGGCTCACAAGCTTCAGAAAGAAATTCAAGCTATTATTATCTTCATGGCATTGTCCTTATGCAAAAGCTTTTATGTAACCCTAAACAATGTTAATGGTATTGTATATTTTGAGTAATGCCTTTTTAAACCTAGATTTTTGTTGTAATTGCCTTTTAAGTAGTATAAAAGTTACGAAAGTGAAACTTGGAATACTTGCCACCTGACATTACAGTGTCCTTTTGTCTTAAAGCCAAACCAAATACGTATGGGTAAGAGTTTGTATTAAGAGGACCATAGGGAGTCTTCCCAAACTCTTTCTCATATGACTGCAAATTGGCTATTACAACTCTATATCAGATAAAAAAATTGAGAAAAGTGTCGCCTCTTTAATTAAGCGTCACATTGTTTTTCCCAGCAGTCACATACAAACATGCTTCCTTAGGTCTACAGGTAAATGGAGTAAAATTATTTAATCATTAATTACTTAACCAATTAATTACTTAACATGTAATCATTGTATTTGCCTAATGAAAATATGTCAATCACAATTATCTATCAGCACAGGTCTCTTCATGTCAAAAGCGGCTACACAATTTGCAACCCAGTAAGAGCCAATTTGCAATTATATGTAGATAAATTTGTTGATGTGGTAGATATTTGTCATTTTGTAAAAAGTTACATGAATTGTGTATTTCAGGCTCTGTTTTTTGTAGAGCAATGTTTGTTGGAACATTTTTTTACAGACACTACAGGGTAAGTTTGAGCTACTACTGGTATCATCTTCATTAAATTCATTTTAGTACCAGTATTCAGTCTGAAGCCTCTTATACAAATATGATTATTATTCCTTCTATAATGTTGTATTTATTGACTACTTATAATTTAAGTCAGGTAATAAGAATGAATAGATTACCTGTTCTAAATGTTTTGATTGTTGTTATTCAGACTTGCATACAGCAGACACGGGCGTGTCATTGGCATGGAAGATGAAGCCATGATAAGGATATTTCAAAATGACAGATAGTAAGTATAGTTATGTGATCTGAATATTTTGGATTTTTAAATTCTAAAGCTGCACACCCACAGATGAGCAAAAGTATTTCAATAAAATCAAACCTGAGTCAAGTATACTAAGATTTTAGGAGGGGTATAAAGATTCAAAATTCTAGTAAAAATTTACATGTAATGTGCTATTTATGACCGAATTTTCAGTATGTACTTTGTATAACTATATTGATACTGCATTACTTATGCATTTGATACAGGGCTATTTTTGCATATTTTGACCTCTGTATAGTAATTTACATAGGTTGTAAGTGTCATTGATAATAATGTAAATTGCCTTCTTTTGGAATCTTTACAATATTATACCGTTACATGCGTTTTCAAATTTTCATGAAAATTAGCATGAATCTGGAGGTGTGCTGCTTTATTGAAAATTAATAAATACATGAATTTAACTATTTTCAGAAATTTCAATGATACTAACACTTTCATCCTGATGTATATGAGAAGGCAAAATAAAATTATATGGTGTACATTAACAACAATTACTCAACATATGTTAATGACAGGAACATGTTTTTCATTTGCTAGTAACTTCAACAGTTGATTTAACTGTGATACTCAACAATATTCATTACCTTTCTGAATAATTTCATATTGATTAATTTTCCAGTCTTGCCCAGAATTATATAAAAGAAGTTTGTGTAAGAGAGGCTTTGTTGTCAATCGTCTCAAAAACCTTAAAATTAAGGTACAGTGAATCGGAGGTTTTACTGACAGACACTGAAGGTCAGTCAGTAATTGTGGCTTTGGAGAGGAGTTTTAAGAAATGTAAGTTTATGCTGTTTATTATATTATAAAAGAGATTTTTTGTTATGGGCCAATTTAGCTTCATTAAGTGTCACTCAGTTCTTGAATCATACCAAAGATTTTTTAAAAGTAAATTATGATCATTAAATTATTTTTGCTTGTTTATAACAAAATTTTATCTTTGACTGTGAAATGTCAATGCATCTTTTTAAGTTGAATTTCTTGTAAAAAAACATCCATGATTGTGATGCAAATGGTTGAGGTTGCTGATTTCAGATAACCTTCACTTTAACACTGTGGTTTCAAATTCTGCCAATTACACTGGATACTTTCATGTGAGAAAGATGTCCAGTAGCTTTTGGAAATTAGTGGTTCTACTCTTGGTACCTGTTTGTGCCTTAATAAATAATGCATGAAGGGCCACCTGAGGTCTTCACATAACAAGTCAGTGTCACCAAAATCAACACATGTAATAAAATAGTAAAAAAATATGTAGAATTCAGTGTAAAGTTTGAACTAGATGCTAAAGAAAATATGCTTCCTTCAGGAAGGTAAAATTTACACTACAGAATTTAAAATCTCAAACTTGTTTATTCTTTTACAGGCAAGATGAACAAAGAAAAGTGGTGTGGGAAGCTAGATTCTTTTAAGGTACAATGTGAAACAATGGCTGTTTTGATTTTCTTGATTTTAATTGTTTTTAGCTAGACTATTAGCAGAATAATCGAGCTAATGCAGTCATCCATTTGTCGGCGTCAGAGTGGTTAAGTTTTTGCTAGTGAGCTGGTATCTCCATAACTATTGAAGGGAATGGATTGAAACTTCACACACTTATTCTCTGTGATTATCTAAGATGATTGGCACAAGTCCCATAACTCTGATTTGCTTTTTTCCATAATTATGCCCCTTTTTCAACTTAGAAATTCTAGGTTAAGTTTTGCTTATAAGCTGGTATCTGCAGCTAACTACTGAAGGGTTTGTGCCTATTTTTTGAACAATTTTATGCATTCATGATATTAAAGCAGAGATTAACTCGATAAAACATCGTAATAACAAGCCTTTGTACCTTTTCAGACAATTATATGTATTCATATAGGTAAGCATTATTTATCCTCAATAAAACACCCTTGTGACAACTTTTGGAATAGTCGAACGTTACTGTCCTCTGACAGTTCTTGTTATTAGTCCCCTACCGGTTTACCGGAGGGGACTTTAGGTTTACCCTCCGTCCGTCTGTCCGTCCGTCAGTCCATCCGTCTGTCCGTCTGTCAGTCCGTCCGTCCACAAAACTGGATCCCGCGATAACACAAAAAGTACTGAAAATATTTTAATGAAACTTGATATATGGATAGATGGCTGTATGGAGATTATGCACGTCTTTTTCTTTTCTTCCTATGTTGAAAATTCTGGTTGCTATGGCAACAAATAGACTGAAAATATGGCAAATTTTACACATAACCTGGATCCCGCAACAACGCAAAAAGTACTGAAAATATTTTTATGAAACTTGATATATGGATAGATGGCAGTATGGAGATTATGCACGTCTTTTTCTTTCTTCCTATGTTGAAAATTCTGGTTGCTATGGTAACAAATAGACTGAAAATGGCAAATTTTACACATAACCTGGATCCAGTGATAACACAAAAAGTACTGAAAATATGTTTATGAAACTTGACATATGGGTATATGGCAGTTTGGAAATTATGCACATCCTTTTCTTATCTTCCTATGTTGAAAATTCTGGTTGCTATGGCAACAAATAGACTGAATTTCAAGATTTCTGATTCTAGTTTTTAAGTTTTTTCACTATAAGTTCGTTATTTCTTAAGGTATTTTCTTCAAACTTTAAATATAAGTTGCTTGTAATCAACCACATCATATATGACAAGGTTTACAACTCTAGCACAAAATTTATCAGAATTACCACCCTTGAACTTAAAATTTTCATGAAAACATATTTTTTTTTTTAATAACTTCTTTTTCTGAATGTATCTACTTCAAACTTCATATAAATGTTTCTTATTATCACTCAACATTTGTGAGTGTTCAATACTCTAGCAAGACTATTTCCAGAATTATGCCCCTTTTGAACTTAGATTTTTTTTTGAGAAATTGGTAATTTTAACTTCTTCAATCATGATAGGATTTTAAAAATGTTATATTTTGATAACAGGGATGTTTAAAAAATGACTTTAGAGTGTCCTTCAGTCCGTCTGTATGTACATAAAAACTGTTTCCTGTGATCACTTTTAAAGAACTTTTTCAACAAATTTACTTAAAATAGGAACATAAGTGAATGGCCAATGGCCCTTCAGAATGTTGCTTGGGCTCTTACCGGTAGGGGACTTATGGATTGCTTGCAATACTATGTTAATTGCTTGTTATCATTGTTTTTTGGGGGTCTTTTTGCTTATTATATTACCCTGGACATACAGTAATTGAACACATCTGCCTGTCTGTTTCATACTAAGAATGCTACAGGAACAAAATTATTGTACTTTGTCTTTGATGTCATTCATTCTTCATATTACACACTTATCAATACGAAATACAAGTTCTTGGAAAGTTACATAACTATTGCTTCCAAATATTCCAAGTTATTGTCCTTTTTACTCCTTGCCGAAAGGTGGCTGGGGATATAGAAATAGTCTCCTTCTGTACGACATTTTTTTCCAGAGCATATTTTAAAAAGTGTTTAAGGTATCAACTTGAAACTTCCTAGGTGGATCGATCATATTGAGGAGGAGTGCAGTGCATAAGAATGATAAGTCTACCTTGTATAATTTTTCAGTTATTGCCCTTTGTTATTTTTCAAACTAAATTTTTGTCCAGAGTATAACTCAAAAAGTTTATGAGATATCAACATGAAACTTTAAAGGTTGATAGATCTCACTCAGGAGGTGTGCAGTGCACAAGAATGATAACTCTACCCTTCATAATATTTGAGTTATTGCCCTTTGTTATTTTTTATACTTAATTTTTCACCTGAGTGGAGGATAACTCAAAAAGTCTTTAAGATGTTAACATGAAACTTCATAGGTGGATAGATCGTATTGAGGAGGAATGCTGTGCACAGTATTTTTCATACTTGTTGTCCGGAGCATATCTCAAGTGTTAGAGGTATCAAGTTGAAACTTCATAGGTGGATAGGTCTCATTGAGGAGGAGTGCAGCACACAAGAATGATAACCTACCCTGCATTATTTTTCAGTTATTGCCCTTTGTTATTTTCAGCCATCAGTATTCACATGGGTTTCAAATCTGTAATAACTTCAGCCATAAGTTTCCATTACCAAACGACCTCTTAAAATTGAATAAGGGGAAAATTGAGCGAAGGTCACCAGTGACAGATGTATTTTATATTTGGTAGGAAAATAACTTGCACTGTCTTCTTTCTTTGGACTGAGTTAGTGATAAGTGGTTCAAGGTCAAGGGTGTCAAAAAAGATTTCTAAACATTTCAGGTCATGGTCAATTATTTGTATTCATAATTACAAACAAATGGACATGACTGAACTAATGAACTAATGCTTCTTTAATTTGTTTCAGGAAAGCAGAATAATAGCATAATGGAGTTCTGTACAGTATATTCCTGCTACTTCAGTCAGATGATTATCATAAACAACATGGAAATAAACAATTTATTTGTTAATATTTTTATGGAACAGTTAGTATGTAGAAGGCACGGATGGACACCAAGAATAGAACAACCATATGCTTATCTTTACCTATGATATGACTACTTTAACAAAGTGCCAACATCTCTTAAATGGGAAGACAACAAAATGAATATTTTTATATATTGTACAAATCATAAATAAAGTTGTTTTCTTCCATAATTGTCTAATATGTCTTTGGAATATTTGATTGTTCCTATAAAATTTGAATTATAATTACAAATGTGTTATGCATTACATCAATTTCACATTTTTGTGTAGACACTACATGGGCCATTTAGATTTGCCCTTGTCCGTCCGTTCTCATGTTGTGTCACACATAACTCAAAAAGTATTTGACCTAGAGTCATAAAACTTTACAGGAAAATTAGTCAGTATGTGTATTTGTAAACTGGGTGTTTGTATGTGGTTTTATACAGTATTTGTAGAATAATTGTACTTTATTTAGTAAAAATTTGCTATTTTCAACTTGTGTCGCACTTATATCAAAAAGTATTTGATCTAGAGTCAGTAGATTGACAAAACAATGGAATGTAGGGGCACTTGTATCCTATGGACACAATTCTAGTTTCATCTTTCAATTGGTTCAAAAGAAGTGGCCTCCAATATGTTTACCTTAGGAAATTTGAAACTCAGGTGTGACCCTGCTTGTGGTGATTGTTGTTAAAAATGTACATTCCATGTTAAAATATCACAAAATATTTCGCCTGTATTTTTTATACATATTGGTTTTGATTCATACAAAGTTTTGAGTTGTCTTTGTTTATAAAAATGTTTTTCTTCATTTTATTGATAGTTTTGTGTTTTTGGTCATTTTATTTTAATAAAGAAATGAGCTGTTGAGTATTTTTTGTTGTTCATTTTTTGGTAAATTAACAGAAATATGGACCTTGGTTGTGTGCTGTTCCACAAAAGGTTAGATTTATAAAATCAACTTTTTGGGTATTGTCATGACCTACTAGTCAATGACAGGTAAAGCTTTCATTTATGGTCACTTCAATATCGTTAAAGTCAAAACGTGGATAAACTGATAAGTTATGCCTGTGACAGCAGGGTTCGTACAGTCTTAAAAAGTGCTTAAATTTGAGTCCCTTTCTTAAAAATGTAAAAAAGTGCTTAAAAGTCCTTGAATTTGATTACTCTCTTGAAAAGTGCTTAAATTTGCTGAAAATGTGCTTGAAAATGATTGAATGACATAACTAAGTGTCGATAAAAATCAACAGTTAACAAAATAAAAAAAATATACAATTTAGTATCAGAATCAATTAAATGTTTGCTCAAAGTAACAGTAAGTGGACAAATTGCAGTTGTTTCGAACTAATCTTTATATGTTGTGCCCTTTGTAGTTCTTCTATAACATCCTTAAAATTGTGGCCAGAAAATGCGTATTCAACAAAAATTGGTGAAAAAACTATCCTTATTAGATTGAAGATTGTTGATTTACGTGCAACAAATGTGCTTGAAAAATGGGAAAACGTGCTTAAAAAGTCCTTGAATTTTGGCATTGGATGTCTATACGAACCCTGGACAGTGTCACACTGATCAAGTTCACGATTGCCTTTAATAGGTTATAGTCAATTTTCTCATCAATTACCAAAGGTATTTACTTTTAAACTTGGTGTTCACTATCATCAGATGTGATGTAATATCAAAAAGGCAGATGCTCCTAAAGTTATGATTATGCTGATGAAAACCAAAAATGATTTAGATTTTAAACGGCATTTTCCAGTTTTCTTCTTCCGTATGAAGAAATACATACATTAAGGGAAAATTGAGACAACAAATAAAAATGCCGACATAAATACTGTTTGTCGGCATCGCCTTTAGCAATACAGTTATTTTGGAGACTTTCTATGTTCAATCCACAAGTTTTCATTTATTCTTTTTTTTCATCATATGCTTATTAACGGATTCAAACCACATTCAAGCCAATTCATGCAGTGTAAGTTGTAATTAACACTTCTTTCTAAAGCAAGTATATGTAAAGCTGCGTTCTCACTCGCTCCCGGCAGACCCCAGGACCACCCCGGTAAGCTACTGGGAGGATCCAGGATGAAATTATTGTTGCGGTCACACTTACCCCAACAGCACTACGGTAATTCCCAACTAACTACCCAGGATGCCCTCCGGACCACCCAGGCAGAACCCAGGCGAAGCTACGGTTTATGCCGGTACTTCTTCGGTCGCTCCCGGATGACGCTGGAAGAGCCTGGGTTAACCCAGGCAGAGCCCCGGTCGATCCAGGCAGAGCACAGGACGATCCAGGCAGAGCCCCGTAGAATTCAAGTGGATTGAAACGCGCGAACATAAATACATTGATACATAATTTTTATTTAACATAAAATCTATAGTTCCAGAACAGTAATGCATGATGATTATCTGAAAAATCTTTACGCAAGACTGGATAGAATGGAAATGGGAAGGGTATACAAACAAGTGCAATCATCGCAAATTGTCGTGGTTCTTTTGGAATGAACCGGGCTTTATATGGCTCTACCGGGATCAACCTTAGCTCGATCGTCATCATCCGGGGCTCTGCCTGCATTCTCCGAGGCTCTGCTGGCATTCTCCGGGGCTCTGCTAGCATTCACGAGTGCTCTGCCATAGCTCTACCGGCCATATCATACCCTGGATCATACCCGGTTTGTGCCGACAGAGCTACGGTGCTTCCCCGGTGTAACCCCGGTCGTTCTCGGCAGAGCTAAGGATGAAGCCGGCAAAGCTATACTCCCCGGGTTATCCCGGACCACCCCGATGATATTAAATATTTTTGTATTTCCGGGGTCGAATGCCAGATGTTTCAGGATCATCCCGGACGTTGCTGGCAGAGTTACGGACCGTTCCCAGATCCCCTGGACGTCTACCGGGGCTCTGCCGGGATGTAAGTGAGACTGTACGTAGCTTAAATTATGTATTGCACTTCAGTCAGGCATCGAAGCAGGTGACCTCCAAAAGCGTGTTGTCGTTTTTACTCAAACATACATGTTCTTAACGTAATCTTACCTTATTAAGAACATGTTATACCAGAAGATTGTAAAGTAAATGTATATACATGTAGATTTTAAAATTTTAAACCCGCAGACCTTACATCCGTATATTGGTTGTTAACATAATTGTCACTGTTTTCATAACCTCATTTATGAATCAGAAGATCACTATTCCTATAAACTTGCATTATTTGTAAAAAAAAAAAGGTTCATATAATGGCTATACACGTAATAAATTAAATGGAGTTAATATACAAGTAAAGTACATGATTTTACATTTCAGACATTAAACTTGTCTTCATCCAGATACCGGCTGTCAGAATTGCATTTAACAATGCACTTTTCTAGGGATACACCATTCAGTTTACAGTCTAACCCGGTAGGCTATACACTATATATGATCTTATAAGGGTATAAAAAGGTAAACCTCCATATATTGGTTGTCGTCATTGATATATACTCTATCAGATTATGGGCTAACTGTTTTTCATGTTTAATAATTACAGGTAACATGCGTTAGGGGTGTAATTGATTATCTACAATTACTTATTCATGGTGAAACATTCGGAAGCATGTACATCTCAAGTTTAGATTGCACTTTATTCAGGTGCTGGGGCAGGTGACCTCCATACACGGGTTGTCGACTTTATTTTACCCAAGACAAACTATTTATTGGTGTAATTGGTTGAACTTTTTAAAAAAATTGGTTTGCCTTCACCTCAAATGTCGACAATTTATATAAATTCACTTAATAATAGTCATATCATAATGTGTTTTGTAAGTGCATACAAAGCAGCTATAATAAAAGTATACAATTTCACAATTATTATATAGAGACACGCACATATTGTTTCGTGATGCTATAAGTTGCTTTGACTGATTTATTTTGTTTCAATTCAACGTAGATCTAATTAATTTTCTTTTTTTTTTAAATAAAAACTGATGGAGAATTAAAAGTACATTTCGCATATTTACGTCCCTTTCCATTCTCTATAGCAGCTTTCACTCAGACGCTCTTTAACGTTCGCGCTTAAAAAAACGCTTATAATAGTAAACTCCGCCTTACTCCAGGAAAGGGATGTCCGATAGCCTCCACCAAAAACTTTGTTTATATTGTTATTTTTAATTTAATACATCAAATTGTTTGACATTTGACATAATATTGTAATTGTGAAATAAAGATAAAATGGGTTCTTCGAAAAAACACAAGGAGAAAGATCGAGAACACAAAAAGAAACGAAAACACCGTTCCCGGTCCAGAGAAAGGTCTCGTTCCAAAGAACGCGAAGTTAAAAGGCGACATAGAGGGAGAGACGATGACAGATATTATGAACAACATCCAGAAGGATTCGACAGGGAAGAAGGAGAAATTGAAGATAATAATCCAGCTTTGAAACCTGAACCTACTGGTAGGTATTCCCTTAGGGATAACCTGGCCCAAGTCAACCCGGCCCAAAGTGAATCATGCCCTCAATATTGGGCAAGCGGGATGATTTCAACCCCAATATATTTAGGCCCCAAACTGCTGAAGATGTTTCAACCCCAGACATAACAGCCCTCAGGGCTTGACAAATCCACTTGGCTGCTCCGTGGCTCGTATTTACGAGTAGAAACTGACTCACGACGAGTGTACTTTCCAACAGCTCATGTCCTCCAGGACAAAATTAATTATTTAATAATTGCAATTACATATTAATAAGGGAAGTTTGGGTTGTTTAATAAACTGTAACAATATACAAGTTTTTCTTAACAGGTATATGGCTAGTCCTATAAATATAAGGTTACTTTGAGATAATAAATTGTTTTATCTAATAATGTACAAGAATTAGTTCTATAAAGGGGATTTGCAAATTAAGACAAGGTTAAATGTATGCTTGTTATCCTGGTACAGTTTCATAATGGGTCTGATCCAAAACTTTAATGCCGTAATAGATGCAAGAAAAAAATTGTGAAAAAGTGGCATTTAAAGTTTTGGAAATGTAAGAAACCTAGAGCTGTCATTACTTCAGTGCGAAGCATATCAACAATATATATCGATATTGGATGACAAATATCAACAAACACCGATATATTGATAAATACCATGATAACTTGTCTATCATTCACTTTCATACCTGTTTTAATGACTTCAGTTAAAAACATGTTCTGTTCAGTGTCTTGTTTATAAAAACCCATTGCATGATTTTTTTTCGGACCATATTTTTTTGTCATCATTGCTGTGAAATATTTTTGCCATAAGAGACATACAGATAACTGCTTCTGTATATGTTTTGCATGAATTTTCATCATGTCTTGAAATTTAATTGATTAGTCAACGTTATTGATTTTTTTAAATGCGTATCAAATATTGATCGACAGATATTGTCTCTATAGAAAACAGCTCTAAAGAAACCTGAAATGTTTGTATTACATTCATAATAAATATTGTTATTATTTCTTTTATTTATTTTCAGGGGCATCTTCAGGTGGTGGTGGTGGTGACATCAGTTTGTCAATTGAGGAGACAAAGTAAGTTTTAGCATTAATGGTTGCTTTGTCTGGAATGGTTTGACATGTTTTCAACTTTATTTATAGTCACAGTGTAACAGATCATTATTAGAGTAAAAAAGTTAAAGATGGGTACAGAATACTAGATCTATAATTTGATATACTTGAACTTCCTGTCATATACCAGTCAGTATATTGCACAATTAGCATAAAAATATGAGCATGATGCAGAAAAATTGGTAGCAAATATGTCTAAAATCTAGTAGTCTGTCAGATTAAAGTGTGACTGAGACAGGGGAAAAGTCAGATTCTGTTACAACTTAAACAGGTCTTCAAACCAAATCTGAGGAACAGTTCTCTTGACAAAGTCTAGTTAAGACCTTGTTCAAATATTATAATAGAATGTCATGTGTAATGTACATTGATTATAGTCATGATTAAACTTATAGATTAAGAGAATACATATTTTCATTACTTTTCAGTAAATTGAGGGCAAAACTTGGTTTAAAACCTTTGGAAGTGTCAACAGGAGCACCAGGTTAGAAAAAGAATATATTTTAATTATTTGAGCATGACAATACTTTATTGTAAACATTATATCATTTTAATCTATAATTTTGTAGTTTTACAAAACCTGTTTAATAACAAAATGTGTGTGACTCATTGATGATAAAGCTTTACTAGCAGTAATACATAATCACATTACATTTTATATAATTTCAGGATTTATTCTTTCTTTTCTTGTGAATATCTTATCTTCAATTGTGAGGAAGCTATCCATCTATCTTACGGAAGGTTAATGTTTCTACTCTGGTGCCTGAAATCCGAAATGCACAGGTCTTCCTCTGGTAGTAAAGCTGGAATGTCACCATATAACATTTTACAATTTCAATGTGACTTAAAAACAAACAAACTTATCTTTAGTTATAATTGTCACTTCTAATATGGGAATGCTATTTCATACTTTAATTTTGTTTAACTTTCACTGGCTTTCATATAAGATTTCATCTTTATAACAATGTTTCATCATGAAATATTTTCTTTGTAGATTCAGAGAAAGAATCTTTGAGAGATGCAGTACACAAGCCAGCAGAGAGCTGGACACAGGCTAAAAAGACAGAAAAAATTAAAGACAAATTAGAGAGGTCTAAACAACGGAGAGAAATAAGCAGCAAATTAGAGTAAAACATGTTTTTATACTACCAGTATCTTATTTGTTATTTGATTTAAAAACTGCATTGCCATTGTTGTGGACAAATTGAATGTAAAATAGAATTTTGATGTAATCATTTCAACTATTTTTTATTTAAAAGTTTTCTAAGTAATATACAGCTTAAATGCTGAAAAAATATTCATCAATTTTTTGTCTGTGTCTTTGAAAACTTTTTTTACTTTCTTTTTTTTTATCTGAACCCAAACATATAAAATTTGGTGCTTATGTTTAATATGAACATTAATTTATATACTTTCTTGATGTGTAAATTTGCTTAATTCTACGTTCTATTGTAATAAGTTGTCTTTGTGCATCATTACATATGAGTAATTACTTGTGAACAAATTTAGATGATATTTGGTTAAGAAATTCTTACTTGTTTGTAAAACTTTTTTTCTTTGTTATTATGTAATAATCATCCAAAACTTTCTCACTTTGAAAACAAGGGATGTCCTATGATAAATTGAATTCATCATCTCATCTCTTTTGGGGATTATTTTATTACCTATGTATTTTCTACTATATTACCAGTAAGATAAAGACATTAGGAGAGAGTGACTCAGATGAGGATGCTGCAACATGGGTGAGGAAAAACAGAATGAAACAGAGGGAAAAGGACAGAGCAGAAAAAACTGTATGTCTAAGTTTGAAACAAATCTCATTTTAGTTAGTTGTGCATATATGTATTTTAATAGGTGAATACTTATTCATATAAATGGTTTAGAGTACATATCAGAAGTTACATATTTGTCACCATTAAATCATATGGATATTTTTTTATGTTATTTAACTTGTGAACAGTAAACCATTGTAAAATATATAGATTTGATAAGTGCTCTTGTTCTCAAAGATTGGTTTCTGCCAAGGATACTTGAATATTTTAAGTTAAAAAGTCTATAATGATTTTGCCTTGCAATGAAGTGAATTATAATATTACCCTCTATGAAAATCTGTCAAGTTGTATTTGTTGAACATTGTCATTGTTAAATGTTTCAGGCTCGTATGTTAGAGGAGATGGATGAAGAATTTGGGATAGGAAATCTTGTAGAAGAAGAATTCAAACAGGATAAAACAAAGGTATGTACAATAATAGATATTCACACTCAGGTTTCTTTTTCACATAAAGTCCTGAATATAGTACTTGATTTGGCAGTGTTTTTTTCTGGTGTCATTTTTTTAATTTATTGAATTTATTCTTGAGATTCAGGTAATTAAATAATTGCAATACTTGTAGTATTGTAGTGTTGAATATTGAATACTGCTCAAATCAGTGCTGGGGCATGAGAGATGTAACATTTTATATTGTCATGGAATAACTGAACTGCTTATTTTTGTTTTCATGACTCACTAGGGATCTCATCTTTAAGGATTTTGATGTTACTCTATAATTAGTTTCATACTAATAAGAAATAAAGTATTCTAAATGTGAACATTTCAATTTTTAAACAAAGGTGTTTGTTATTTAATAGAAAAAAAAATGTACATGGATGAATTATTTATCTTAAACATATGCCTGAAAAAAAAACACCCTAAGATATAGCTTTATAATATTATGTTTTTAACTTTTCTGGTCAAAATTGGAAGAAACAACATTGCAAAAGAATCATAATTCACTCATTGTGATTTTTGTAGTTTTACAATTATTAATTATGCTGATTTATTCATATACCATTTATCTATTTAAGCGCTATTCATCCAAAGATTTGAAAGGATTAAAAGTTCAACATGATGTAGGCAGTTTTAAAGAAGGACAGACTGTGATACTTACATTACAAGATAGAGGTATGTAAACTGTCCAGAATTACATTTACATGATCTGTAATCCAAAATATGTAGCCACAAGGAGAATATAGAAGCACTAATGTTAATACATCATGTGATGAATAATGATTTTATTTGAATTTAGTGTTGTTTTACAAGAAGGGGATACTATTGCATATTGAGATATGACACAACTTGTGTTGGTTGTAGTAGTGTTACTCCATTGTGTAAGTGTTAATAGTGTAACAACATGTGTTGGTGGTTATAGTCTAACACAACTCATGTTATTATTATTACAGGTGTGTTGGATGAGGGTGATGAAGCTGAGACATTGGTGAATGTTAATATGATAGATAATGAGAAAGCCAACAAGTTTGTAGAATTGATGAAGAAGAAACCTGATTATAATCCTTATGATGATGCTGAAGAAGATGAATATGGATTGGTAAGTTATATATACATAAAAATTTATAATGATTGGGTTCTGTTTGACTTTCTTATCATTTGTTTGTGTTTTTTACTTTCTTGACTTTTTTTTTGTAAAAAAAGAAAATCAGTATTTTAGTTAGATGGAAATCTGCATTTTCCCAACAAGCCATCATGGATTCTGTGCCTGTACCTATTTGTAACTGCCCCACAATCAGTGGTATAAATATTTAACTCAAAACTTTAGGAAAAACATTTTACAACTTACCTGGCATATAACATAAGACTTTTAACCTACTTTCAGCCTGCATACCATAAAACATGCCACTGTTTGATTCTAAGAGTACATATGTTTATTGTGACAAAAGCCCCTTCTAGTTTATCATTACAATGTAATATCTATTTTCAGTTTAAACCCAAAGATGTTTTAGCAAAGTATGATGATGAGATAAGAGGAGAGAAGAAGAAAGATTTCCAGCTTGGTGCTAGGGGTACATATAATTCTGAACAAGACAAACAGATGGAGAGAATTACGGCTGAACTCAGGGCACAATCTGTTAGTATAATTACAAAATTAAGATTTCTGCTGTCTGTTTTATTGCGCATTGTCAGTTTGAATAGAAAATAGTACATTCTGTTTAAGCAGGAAAGCCTTATCACAAAATTAAGATTTTGTTTTACTTATTTGCAATACTTTAATTCTAATCCAGTTCATAAATTGTAAATGGTACACGTATAAGCAGGACCTGTTTTAAATGTGTTAACATTATTCTTTAGTTTTGCAAAGCATCATTTAAGCCTGAAGAAGTTAAATACTAAATCATTTATCATTGATAATTTGTATAGTAAACTAATATCTTGGATGTACATGAGTTAAAAATGGTATGTTTATGTGATGATGTTTATATGGTATGTTTATGTGATGATGTTTATGTGATGGTTAAAGGATAGACTAAAGTTGTTATATGTTTTCAGCAAACTTTGTCATCTCAATTGACATTGGCATCAGAATATATGACAGCAGAAGAGGCGGTATGTTGAATTTTTGTGTGAAAATAACTTCATATTTTTTCTGTAAATAATAACTTCTACTAAATTGTTTTGCAAGCATGCATTTCAACTGTTAGCAAAATTTGTGTTTTATTTTAAAATAATTCATTCAATGTTGGTTTTTTCATTTCAACATAATTTATTCATTTTAAGGAACAGAATATTATAATGTCATGATTCATAAAGGTTTCCTAATAAAGTAAAACTTGAATAGTTCCATGAAATACCAGTCTGCTTCCTGTCAATATGAATTTTTATTGTAAGGTACACTTAAACATTCATTGTTGTTTTTTTTACAGCAAGCTAAGTTTAGGAAAGTGAAGAAAAAAGTCAGGAAAATAAGAAAGAAGAAAATGTTGAAGGCAGATGATCTTCTTCCATTGCCAGATGAAACTTCCATGAACTATGGTTCAAGGTGATGACGACTTTTTATATGATATTCTACATTGATATATGCAAATATTTTGCAACTAACAAAACTTTGTAAATTTGATATTTATTGATTCAGAGCTCTGGCATTTGAATAAATTGGTTTTATATTGGGTTTTCGACAAACTTCTCAGGATTAGTCAGTACCAACCCTAGTTGTGTTTATCTCCGACCTATTTTGGTTAGCTGCAGAAAATGGTCACCATATCTAAAAACAGAAAAACCTTCTCCTGTTTTCACAGGTCAAACAGGGATTTTGACAAATTTTCACGGGATTGATTAGTATAAACCCAAGCTTAGCATATTGCTGGCATGTTCTGCTTCACTGCACAAAATAGCTGCCGGATGTAAAAATATAAAAAACCTGTCTTGCTTTCACAAGTCTGGTGGGGTTTACCTGCAGCTGTTCCATCCTTAGAGTACATACATGAAACACATACATTTTTGTGACAAAAACCCCTTCTAGTACTTCATGATTTAAGGTTTTTGTTTTGTAGATTGAGTGGGAGGCAAGAGGAAAGTGCTGTTATCCCTGGTCTAGAGACATCCGAGCCAGTGCCCGGCATGGAGTACCAGGAAGATATCAAACCATTTATCCCACCTAAACCTACATTAGAGGATGTCAGTGATGATATAGAATCTGATGAAGATGATGGTAGGTCTATGTATAAGAAATATACATGTTTGTTCAAAAGCTTTGCATTTTTGGCTGACACATACCAAGTGTATAGTCTTGATGTATCTTACTGCTAACATACATGCCTGTGCTTGAAATTAAACTTTTTAGGGACACTTTAAGTCGCTTTATCTTCCAAAAAAGCAGTTAAGTTGTATTAAGGCCTTATAATGTGTCTTGATTTGAGACAAAAAATATGAAACAGTTGTATGAAGAATAACAAACACCCCTGTGCTGAATCATGTATTGACATAGTACATAACTATCATCAGATATTTACAAATGATTATTATACAGAATTATATCATAAAGTTATACAACAACACATTAAAATATTGAACTGAACCATCTTATCTGTCCTTAGTATCAAATCCAATGATGGGTGAATAATAGTAACAGATTGTACTTGCAAAAAATATTGTCCAGAGTTATTGTCTATACATAGTAAAAATGAACTCTCTTTCTGCAATTTGTCATTAGCCAAAATTGATAAGATTGAAACAGAGCTTGTAACAATTTTCCCTTTTTTTTGGTTATTTTAGATAGAATTTAAAGCTGCATTTAATAAATTTCACAAAGCAGAAATGAGTACAATTAGGCAGTAAAATGGGTTTTATAATTTGATGATTTTAACATCAACAGAAATTCAGCAAACAAACATGGCTTTAAGTAGCACTTTGGATTTAACCTTTTATTTCCGCATTTAATGATAGACGTTCTCATTCAAATTTGATCTTTTTTGAAGGTTGATAACTCTTTTTTGAACAATAAAATCGGATAGCAGCTATTGATTTTTAACACTGTGATGTTTTAACTATTTGTGTGCATGCACAAGCATATTATAGACTTCATTTCCATGTTAAAATTCATATATGAATTTTAGTGTTACCATGGGTTTTTTTTTCCCCTTTTAAAAATCATAATTTCTGAACAATATTTGATTAAATTTAAAACTCAACCGAGGTTCACAACCCTAAAAACATAAAATCTGAATTTCTTATAAATATCAGCTGCGACACTTAACATGCAAAGATAAATATTTTAAAATATACTCAGAAATAATTTTTTAAAGATTAATAAATAAATAATTTGATGAATTAAAATTGTATTTTTGTGCTCTTCTCAGTAAAGCCATTTTTCTTAATTCAAATGATTATTCCGGAAAAGTTATTGGTCTAGACCTACATCAAATCGAGCATTAATCTCGAAAAATTATTTCCAGTCCTGTCAGTCAAAAAACTCAGTGGAATCCCTTTAAATGCAGCTTTAAGATTCTTGTCTTGATACATTTTTCACTAGAATTACTGTGTGCATGTCATCATAGCTTTATCTATAAATCTTACCAGTTCAGTGTGTACAGAATACTTTATTTCAGAGATATTTTCAGTCACTTAAGATTGAAGAAATAATTTTAGTATCGTAAACAAAAATTGGATCCTGCGAAAGAATGGTTTGATGTATTGAAACCAAGTTTGATTTAATTTGAAAATCTGTATAGATTTTCTTCTAAAACAGCCCACTGCTATTTCATTTTCATCTTCGTTATATGAAATGCTAAATGGGCGATTTATGCCATGCCCTTTACCAAATAATTCATACCCTTGTGAAAGATCAGGAGTAATTTTAAACACATTATTTGAGAGGTAGCCACAGACATACAAGTTTCCATCTCTGTCAGTTGTCATTCCAGTTGGTCTGATAAGGTCTGTATGTCTAAAGTAACCTTTAATCTCTCCATCTGTTGTTAGCATTACCACCAAGTCTGAGTCAGTTATATATATGATATTATTATAAGGGCTAACTGCTATATTCCAGGGGCTGAGTATTTGAAACTTGTCCCATATTGCTATGTCTTTTAGCAGATTTCCAGTTATATCATAAAGTTTTATACGGCTTTCTGCTCCTCCATACAGGATAAAGAAAGTGCCATTGTTGTAAACAAAATGCTGTCCATTGTTATGTACACGTATATATTTATTGTTTCGTATATATTTATTGTTTCGTCTGTTGGAATTAATAGGTGGTCCATTTATCCTATTAAACACTATATAACCGTCAGTGAACAATATAGCTATTTCATCTGCTACTTTAGCTGAACTAGTATAAGCAGAGTTGCCTAGATAAATTTCCTCATGTTTATCATTTGCTTTGTCAACAGTATAAATGCTTTTGGGATCAAATGCACCTGTTAAAAGTGTGTTTGTAGACATGTAGCTAAGAGTTAGTGGTTCAAAGGTCAGTTTTAACTCTTGAGATTTGATTGGCTCTTCAAACTGATAGATATCAACAACAAATGATAATACCAGCACAACAAGTGACCAAAATAGAACTCTTTCATTTTTTACCTTCTCTTTTGTGGCTGTAAGTCTGCTGTTTCCAGTACTGGTATTATCCAGTAATGTTTCAAATGGTGCATATTCGAATTTAGAAATTTCTTTTTCTTCTAAAGAAGCTTTCAAATTCTGCAAATTTCCTAAGATTGATTGACTGTCAACTTTTGCACTCTTTACGGCAACAAAAACTTTGCTTTTTTGTCTGTCTGATACTGTATTTTCTACATCCGATTTCAGTGTCCTGATTTTGGTTGTGATTGTAAGGATTTTACCCTTCACTTTTTCCAGCTCTTCATTGTCCATTGCTTCAGCTTCATCTACTTGGCTTTCTAGATTGTCACATGTTTCATTGATTTCTTTCCTGTCTTGATTAATTGCAGCTTTTACCTCTATGTTGTTTTTTCTGACTTTTTCTTGTCCATTTTCAACCATCAATTGTAGTTCTGCTACCTGTTTCTCAGCTTCTACAATAGCATCTTTGATATAAAGAAACTCTTTGATTTTATCAAAGTTCTTTGCCAGTTTTGGTAAATGATGTATTTCTTGGCATTGTTTGTGGGAGATAAGTTTACAGATGGAACATGCTGTGTTGTTACAAGTCAGGCAGTAGAATTTGACTAACTCATCCGGATGTTGAGTGCACATTTGTGTATAGAAGTCCTGAGGCATACTGTCTTTGTCTTGCTGGATGTGATGAGGATGAAATTTCTCATGATATTTGAGGCACGTTGTGCAGAAGTATGTGACACATTCTACACAAAATCCTTCTGCAAGTTGACTTTGTTTTCCATCTTTATAACAAAATTCACAAAACATTTCTTCTTGATTCTCAAAGTAGTTACTGTCTTCTCTGTTTGCCATAATGCTAATGTTCTTATCTGAAATGTATTTTTTTTTTGGTGCAAATAATTTAGTTTTCCTATCCATTTGCAAATTTGTATTGTTCTATTGGTACTTACATTTATATTCAAGCATTTGAAGTGCCATTCATTATTATAAGTACTCAAATGTTTCTTCAAATTCTATTGTATGGCATGTTGTCACAAAATCAATTATATTTTATCTATTTTTAAAAAACCTGTTTCTAGGGATAGACAGTTATAATACTGACCAGTGTAAATGGTTTTCTTCATACCTGAGTGATCACTTACCTGTATTAGTTAGCTTGCCAGTGTGTTAAAAAAGTACTGTTATCTATAGTTCATATAGGTTTACACTCAGTCAGTTTTGCTCAGTTTTATGAAGAATAATGATGTTAGAGCTGGGCAGAATTCAGTATTTAAGTTTAATGATAATGGTGTTCATTTCATAGATCCATTTTAATGACAAGCTTTATTTAACAGTGACTGTCAAGGTTACAGTGACACTTAATGGAAAGTACTTTTCCACTCAAATACATGACAGAAAAAAACAACGTAGATTAGTTAAACTTGATAGGTACATTATCCATGGCCAGTTGAGATGACCTTTATTGTCATTTGTCAAGGTAACTGTGACCTTTAATGTAAAATCCTTGTTTGATCAATAACTTATTCTGGTTGTTTTTTTAATACTGAATAATTCCTCTTTGGGAGCTTGAAAATGTTTGATTTATGTTTTGCATGCAAATCCTTGAAACTTCTCACATGGTCTCAGAGTCATGATTATAGGTCATTGATCAAGATACATAACTCCAGCATGAATCTACTGAATTATTCCTCTTGGTAAACTTAGAGATTTCTACTGGGTATTTGTCTAATATTTTACTACCAAAATCTGAGAATAGACATGGGTGCAATTGTGGCAAATATTCTATCATTATAGAAAATGTGAAAATATTAATAAACATAATGCTTTGTTAAAATACCTTGTTCAAAAAGTCCTTTTAATAACTACAATATGAAGCAACAGGTGAACAGATTTTTAATACCTGATGATTTTTGTTAGAATCTTTTGATAAGTGAACACAAAATGAGCAATATTAAACTGTAGAAACTATATCCATATGAAAGAAAATCATAATTTATTTCCCTACCTCCCATTGTTAGGTAAGTTGTCTAACTTAAAAATAGGGCAAAGTTATGACAAATCTTATCACTGTGTCTATTTTAGTAATGATAAACTTACATAAAAAGATAAAAGCTGCTGTTTCATCTCAAACTTTATCTGTGTGAGATGAACAGGTATTTGATTATAAAAATTTTCTTTAAAGGCACAATATGTCTCAAAAACTATTTTTTTCTTTATTGAGAAAGAGCATAACATTTGAATAATGGTTTTAAAGCATATTAGATGATTATTCCCAGGAGAAAGTAGCCCTGAAAGTGAAATCAATTGTAAATTATTATAAATATATATTAACACCATACAAGTTAAATTATCCTAAAAGTATAATAATTGTTAATGAGACATGTATTTTTTTTCTATATCCTTATGGAAGTTTCCACTCATTGGCTTTTATGATATATAAATGTGAATAATTATTAAAACATTATCCATGTTCAACATAATTATTGATTTAAAATGTCAATGAAAATTTTTAAAAATGAGTATAAAATCTTACTTTATTGCTATTATGTCAAGTTTTTTAGGCCGTTATCTTGAACAGTTTTATATTATAGGAAATTTTCATGGAAAAAAATTAGTAATGTTTTGTATTCAAAAGGTCCTTAGATTATGGAAAGGTTGGCCATGTCCAATATTATAAGTTGACCATTGTTGATATTGTGGTCAGAAAGTCAGTTTTCAAAGTCACAGTAACTTTCACCACAAAAGTTGGTCTACAGTTGTCATATTTTGTAGTGTAGTTGCCTGCTTGTCATAAACTATAGAAAGCCAATAATAAATTTGATGGAGTAGAGAGAAAAAACAAAAACAGAAGATTGCTGTGTTAACAGTTTTGATATTGAAGTTAATAGTTTAGAGGTGTATAATAAAAGTCTATAAGTTTAGCACTAGTGATAGCCAATAGCTAGTAGATTCTGGGTCAGACCTGTAAAATTTTCCAAGTTACTATCCTGAATTGCCTGTTAAAAAAATAAACAGTCACTCATCTTAGTTTCTGAAAACCATAATACTGAATTTCAAATAGAACAGAACAAATTTATCTTTGACTCAGAGAATGGTATAATCACAAAAAAACTGTATAACTCATTCATCTTTTTACTCTCTACTTTCACAGTATAACATTTTTGGGCTTGTAAAAACCTAATTGACCACTAGCCTGAATGGCTTGTGCTTTTCTGTAAAATGACATAACATGATAGCCATTTGTATAGGTTTATACATTCCATAAACTTTTCTTGTTAATTATATTTCAGTTGAAGTAGAGGATTTGACAGGGGTAAGGATAGATGAAGATGAGGCGAATATGGAGTTACAATCAGCACTTGATAAAGCCAGGAAACTTAAACAGAAGAAAGATAAATTAAATCCTGACAAAGTAAGCTGTTCAGTATATGTTGACAGTTCAACAAATATAAGAATTTTGTGCATTATTGTCTTAAACTTTTTTGTTGTCTTACAAAATTAAAATGTGTTTTGTCAGGCAGGATTTTAATACAGTATTCACATTTAATAAATGAAACTTTTTCAAAGATCTATTTTGGATGAAGGGTATATCAGAACACTTCATAGCTTGTTCTTACTGTTGTATGAATAAGCCCTAAGATATGTTGATGACTGGCTTAAACAGTTCCTCTACCTCTAGTCTGACTAATTGGCTCCTCTTGACTGATACCACCTTAACAGTTCTTAACTTGTCTGACTTTAACAGTTCCTTTTGACTGGTCTGACTTTAACAGTCCTCTTGAATGGTCTGACTTTAACAGTTCCTCTTGACTTGTCTGACTGTAACAGTTCCTATTGACTGGTCTGACTTTAACAGTCCTCTTGACTTGTTCCACATTAGCAATTCCTCTTGACCTGACCTGACTTTAAAGCCTTCCTCTTGTCTGGACTGACTTGTCTGGCTTGACTTACTTTTCATTTTTTACTGACCTTTCTGTAACAGTTTGTCTTGATAAGCTTTAACAATGTCCTTTTTTATATCAGATAGCTGAAAGAATAAAAGCTGATGAAGATACAGACATGGAAGTAAAAGAAAAGGGAATATCAATAACATTAAATGCTACCTCAGAGTTTTGTCGTGCTCTTGGTGATATACCTACATATGGACAGTCAGGCAACAGAAATGAAATAGAAAAAGATGAACTTATGGTGAGTATTTTCATACAATTGGTATAAATTCTTAAAATAGCAAAGTTGTGTTTAGTTTATACAAAATTTATTTTAGTTTGATTGTTTAGAAGCTATAAGGATAAAGATATACTCTCAAATCTATTCCTAGAACCAAATAGTACTGTGCAATAAGTCCATAGTTGTGTCTTTAAACAGAAGTTGTGCAAAATAATGGAGGAGAAGTTGTGATTATATGATGATAAATTGGTTATATTTATACAGGAGTTAGAAAAAGAATTGATAGAGGAGAGGAGAAGAATGGAGGAGGAAGAGGAAGATGAACAATCTGGGTGGAACAGAGTGGAGATTGATGAAACACCTGTTAATATCGAGGTAAATATGTATCCTCATACATTTAGATATTTTCAAACCATTAATTATTGTATCATCAGAAGCTAACATTGAAACATGTTCTCAATATAAAGATGGCTATATAAGCAGCCTTTAGATTTTCTAAAGGTTAAACATGTTATTTTTAGATAAATTGGTTCATATATAATTGTCAAATCAAAAGAATTAAGGTGGAAATAAAATTTGCTGTTGATAAAATACATAATTAAGAAACCCCTCGATACCTCTAATCTACCAGTCCGCTCTCTTTATGTAAATTAGTGAAGAGGACGATTTGTTTCCAGACCTTCTATATTTAGAAACAAACATCACTGATGCACTATAAATGGCTCTCAGGATGCTGTGTTGAAGAAGGCTTAACAGTGATATGATGCTTTTTTCCAAGAAAAATTACTGAAATACTTAGTTTGAAACAATTCAGAATTGTTTTCATAACAAACACTAAAAGCTGAAGGCTGCTGTACAAATGAAGAAGATCTTGAACATGTCGTTAATTTGTTTATTTAAGCTATCTTTTGATTTTAACCAAAAATAAATAACTGACAAAAAACGACCATAGTTTAAATACTTTATGGAGTATTACCTTAGGAATAATTTTTATGGTACTTTGTAGATCTTTAAATGACAATTTGGATTAAAAAATCGACTAGTATCCATGTAGAAAATCTGATATATTGTAAAAAAAAATGCCAGTTGCTTTGGAAAAGAGATGCATGTACAAAGGGTTTCATTTGTTAGTTTTTAAATTTGTTGGGATATTACTACATTGTTCAATGTATATTGAAATTATTGATTTGTGTCAATATAAAAGCTTGCTAAATATATTTTTCTATGTACATTTAGGGTGAGGAAGGGGCTATTTTAGAAGATGAACCAGTTTTAAACAAAGGTATTGGACAGGCACTTAATGTAGCTGTTAACAAAGGTTTTCTACAGAAGGAGAAGTTGAAGTCACAGAAAATGAGCAAAAATATGTTAGAAATGACAGCACAGAATTATTCAATAGAAGATAAAAGATATGAGTAAGTTACTGTTTACTTCTGTTAGAATTTGTGATTGATTCGCCTATCAGCATTATCATGTTTTGTAATCATGTTACGTTAGTTTATTAGTCTGGATAAAGTATTGAATTATAGTCTGTGGCATAGCATAAAAAGGTGTTTAATTTTGAAGGTTACTATGGACTCTGGTTTTAATCAGTTTTACATTCATTTATCAGGGAGCAGTAAGCATTACAATTGTTAATGGAATCAATGCTTGTACACTTGCATTAATGTGATCGCTATTAGTGAACATGTTCACTGTTTCCTCAAGAACCATACCAAGGAAACCTTTATCTTTAACATTATGTATCATGATTCAGGTACTAAATGGAAAATGTGTTCTTTAGTCAGTCAGGACAATGTTGACAATGACATTTGCTACAAATAGCATTTTAATTAACTGTTTTATTCTATCATCTCTTTAAAATGCTATCATAAGATTGTCATTACTTTTAGTGACTTGGATGAGAAATATAAGAAGCGTGACAGATATACTGGCATGTTGATGGACTTTAAAGAGAAGGACAGTTATAAACCGGAGGTAAAGCTAGAGTATGTTGATGAATCAGGCAGACATTTGAATCAGAAGGAAGCATTCAGACAATTATCTCATAGATTTCATGGTAAAGGATCTGGCAAAAAGAAAACTGAAAAACGTGGCAAGAAACTTGACGAGGAGCATGTAAGACTTTTGTTTTATTTTGTGACATGCTACTTCATAATATTTACACATTTATAACATGTGATTCACAAAGGCACACTTTTGTTATAAGTTCCTTCATTTTATTGCTTTCAATACATGTTGGCTATAATTAGCTTAGCAATAGAAATGCATTTGAAAGTGAAACAGTTTGTTATTTACATTTATATACTGCTTAGGTAACAAATAACACCAGACAGAAAAGAATGATCTTGTAAGATGTTGTTCATTTCCACAATTTTGTGTTGATTATTTGGTGTGTTTTGAGAAAGAATATGTAAAAAAAAGGGTCATGTGCCATCTTTGATTGCTAAATCCAATCAAACAGAACCAAAATCTCAAATGAAGATACTGGTATTATTATTCTATAATATTCTGTATTTGAAGTTTTGTAAGAATTTTTGGTAAGATTAGAAGTTCTATTTGAATTTCACAATTATCATTGAACAGTTCAATATAGTAGTGAACATGTTTAAGATTCATGTTTGGTAGTATAATGATGTTAATATACCTGTCATTTCTAGGTAGACATGTTGTATGGGTCAAAGACTGTTTATAGCACATCAGTTTTAGAATGTTAACATCTGTCAAGTTTACATTTTAACAATTCAGAATATGTCATTTGATGATGATATATCAAAAAAAAAATTTTGTTGAAATTATGAACATTAGATTTAATAAATAATGTTACTATTACAGTTAATGATGAAGATGAGTGCAACAGACACGCCATTGAATACTGTAGCATTGTTGAAGGAGAAACAACAACAAGAGAAAACACCATACATCCTACTTACTGGAAACAAAGGATTCACGTATGTACACTTTAGTTGTCTTAACCGTTCCACTGCCAGAATTGAAAGTGTTTAGCCTTTGCGACTAGTATAGAGCCAGGCCAAACTGTACCTCTGTGCAGTCTGACCAGGTTGTGTACTGTTGGGTGACTTTTATCTTAATATCCCCAAAAATGATAAGGGACATTTCCATTATGGAAGCTGGACAAGTCCATTTAAAAAATTCAGCAAGTTTAGTGTTGAACGTCACCTTATGTTGGTTTTATAATGAAAAACTTATCTGATTTTTAGATATAACAGGTTTGTTAGACTGTATAAATGTTTATCTTTTGGGAAAAAAAAAGAGAAAAAAACAGGTTTATGTATTCAACTATGAATAATATATATAATGATTTCGATCAAGACATTACATATACTAGATTTTAAGTTACCTAATTATATTGAGACCTAAAACATTGCTCTTGGTGATTTAAATCATAAAAGAATTATTTGTTTTTTGCATTTTCCACTAGAGTTCTTTTGATTACATAGTGGACAAAAGCTTGGATGTTTTTACTAAGTATGTAACAAGTTTGTAAGAATAAGATATGTAATTGTTGTTTTTTTCTGGAAGCTCATGAAAATAGATGTGTAATGTATTTTTTTTATTGTTTTAACAGACAGACAATGGTGAAACCATCAACTTGAGGCTGTAGATAGTGGAGTATGGACATGATAATACAGTATTTACAGGACACTTCACAAATCCTGTTCTCCTGATCCAACAAGACAGCTTCTACTGTGTGCAGGGAACATTTCAGTGTCTACATTTTTTCAATCAGATTGCATTTTGCAATATTTTAATGGTGATATGTTAGGCACATTTTAAAATTATGAAAAGGTTATTTATAACATACCTGCAAATCGGTATGTTAACAACCTTTGATATAAATTAAGTTTCAAGTACAGATAGTAAAATACACAAAGTGTAAAGGCACAATGAATTATTTGCTGTTAAAATTGTTAGCATTAAAAAATGCTGAATTGTAAACGTGAATAAATGTACATTTAGTGACATTTGTGAAAAACTAAAATTGATTTTGTAAAAATGATGGAAATAAAAAATAAAAAAAAAATGAAAATTTGGTACAATCTCTGTTCTTATTATCAACAAAGTCCATTTGTCCTGACACCAAAGTTTATTTTTAGTTTTCCAGTCATTGAATGTGACTTTAAAGCAGCATGCCTACAGATTCATGCTAATTTTCATGAGAATTTAGAAAATGTATTTAAAAGTAAAATATTGTGAAGTGAACAAAGAAAGTAATTTACAAAACCAAAGAGGACAAAATATGCAAAAAAATAGCCCTTACTGTGTGAATAATGTAATAGAAATATGGTGATAAATACTGCATATCAGTTTTTAATCGAAAAATAACTTCAATCTTTTTACATATTTTCAGAAGTTTAATTTTCTATAATGATTTTAGCTCATCCAGAGGCATGCAGCTTTAAAGTTAATTTGTAACTGTCAATAGTACTAGTAAAGTAGTACATGTATGTGTTAATGAATGGTATTGTCAATTTTTGCAGTATGAGTATGATACTAATATTTCATGTGCACATACATACCTGATAGATCATTAAACCTTCCTTTAGTTAGCAGGATACTTGTCCTACTTGAATAAATAGTACCAGAGCAGTAAAGTGTACGTGACCCTGACAGCAATAAACGAGGGGTGGCTCTTACAGCAGTAAAGATATGTCACCCTTACAGCAATGAAGGACATTTGCTCTAACAGCAGCAAAGGACAGGTGACTCTTAACATCAGTAAAGGGCATGTGGCTCTAACTCGTGACTTTTGCCACAGAATAGGGAACAAAAAGTACTTGCAACACTTTATTTTCATTTTTACCATTTTACAGACATTTAATTTTCACATATTTAAAAATGAGAAGACACAAAACCAATTTGATTTCAGTGCAGTATTTTTATTGTATATCTAGTGGTGAAAGTCAAATGCCTCATGATTGTATGTTTTTTGTTTGTTTTTTACTTTGGTGGAATTGGTACCATCATGCATTCCTTTGGTGGTATGAACACAGTTGGGTCAGGTATTCCCAATTTCAAGTCGTAATACCTGTAAAGAAAATAACTGTAAGAACATCATAATTTAGTGCCACCACTATATCACATTGACCAGTCGCAAACTAGACTTGTTCAAAGGGTATTACTATGTAGCGGTAAGCTGAAGCTCTTCAACGGATTCTTTCGATCCAGTTTCGATATACTGAACTTTTGATGTGAGGTATGGTCAAATAAGTGTGCCACTGGTGCTTTTCTACTCCATTTCGTTGTGGAAGTGAAAATGATTATGACACAATTTTGTAAATTTATTCTATAAGTTGTTGACAGTCTCAAGGTTACTGCAAACTAGCTATATTACTATTCCTAAAATGAAATGCAAATGTCTGGTTAGATTAAACGTTTCAGTTTCATGAGGCCAATCACTAATCGCCAGGGGGGGGGGGGGAGTCCGTGGCCGAGGGTTAAGATCGCTGTCTTCAAACCACTTGTCCCTCACCGCTGTGAATTCGAATCCCGACAGGGACTTTCGATTATTTCAGCTTTCCGGCTAGCTTACGGAACGTCGTGGTTCTACTCAGGTGCCCATTCGTGTCTGAAATAATGCACGGAAGGGCTTCTGTTGTTTTCCACCACCAGTAAAGCTGGAATGTCGTCAAATGATCTATACTGTGTCGGTGTAACGTAAAACTCAATCAAACAAACAAACTAATCGCCTGGAGCCCTTCTGGTATTCCCCTATTTCTAGATTTCTAGATAATCAATTTATGTTATTGGGAATTACAATGGAATAGTGTAGCAGAGGGGAAGGGGGAGCGTGGTCTTGGCCTCATTGCCAAAGGAATAAATGTAGGGAAGTTTTAAAAGGCATTTTTACAAGTCCTAAAGAATTTCGGCGTATAATATTATGCCCGTAGTTCTCCGTCTGTAAGCAATTCCGTGTCTTCTCAGTACATTCTGAATGATCTTTATTGGAAATAAGAGAAAAAATAGGAAGCTTGACAACTTGAATACTTGTCACGTGTACTTGTTCAAGGATAATTTAGATAAAATATGTTAGTCAACTTCCCTGATGAAAATATTTGATTCCTCAGGTAAGTTTATTGCCAATCTATTGTTTTGGATTATGATGGATCTATCCGGTTCTAAATGTTTTATAACAACGATGACTGGTCAAGAAGTTTTATCAAAAACGTAGCTTTTGTATTATTTTTGACAATGCTGCTGCTCACATGTGTGGGCCTGTCCAGAATTAAGAAAAGCAAAAGATATGTCCTCTGTAACTAAGAAGTTTGCAATTACACTATAATTAATATTGTTTTTAAAGATTAAAAATATATGCTACATACGCTTCATGGAAATGTTCTGTGGTAGTATTGCTACGGACATCAAATTGAATGGGGATGCAATCTGGTTCTGCCACTGTGACCAGGTATTCCGCTGTAATATAAAAAGTTTAATGTCAGTATGATAAGTAATAGAAAGAGCACCGAAACACGAGGCTATCTGATTTGTACGAGGGGGCGTAGCCCCCGAGTATAAATCAGATTGCCGAGTGTTTTGGTGTTCTTTCTCCTTTGTATCATAGTCAAACATAAAAGCACGTTCCCTGTTGTCACAAAATGAAACCCCGGCAAAAATGAACCAATGAACGAACATCTGAATATGACATTTCTGTCGCTTTCCCTTTCTCTGCCGTCACAATATGTAAACCCCAGCAAAAATGAGCCAATCAATGGGCATGCTCTGGAGTGCGGGTAACTAATACCCGCACTCAAGTTAACGCACTGTACATGTATATGTATCCGATTTAACCCTGACACATTTTCAACAGAAAGGTCTCCGAACTATGATACAAGTAATAGAAAGAGCACCGAAACACGAGGCTATCTGATTTGTACGAGGGGGCGTAGCCACCGAGTATTAATCAGATTGCCGAGTGTTTTGGTGTTCTTTCTCTTTTGTATCATAGTCAAACATAAAAGCACGTTCCCTGTTGTCACAATATGAAACCCCGGCAAAAATGAACCAATGAACGAACATCTGAATATGACATTTCTGTCGCTTTCCCTTTCTCTGCCGTCACAATATGTAAACCCCAGCAAAAATGAGCCAATCAATGGGCATGCTCTGGAGTGCGGGTAACTAATACCCGCACTCCAGTTAACGCACTGTGCATGTATATGTATACGATTTAACCCTGACACATTTTCAACAGAAAGGTCTCCAAACTATGATACAATCATATCTTCTTGTGTACGTTACTTACTCTGTAAAGAAAATGCAGCTCATTCATTTGATTACCTTATAACCAGTCAATTAATTGTAACTCCACATTGGGTCGCGAGTATAATAGCCAAGTTTTTTTAAACATTATTTTTCTGTCCCCCTTGAAATACGTGGTCGATGCCGTGGTTTTGTTTTCAACTAGCATTGCACGGCTTTTAGCGGGGATTTTACCACATGTGTATTTGAATGAGATGTTTACAGTTACATATTTCTATGATACATTAATATTTGCAAAGTAGCGATCTTTACTATATGGGTTTTCTTCATAAGCAGTGTACAATCTCTAAACAGTCTGTTATAACAGAGTAATTTCTATAAATATTTTAGTTTAAAACTGAACTTAACTGCCTGGAATTAAAAATACCATATTTTTTAAATGTTGCGAGATTGCAAAATTTGATATTGTGTTAAATTGATATTTTACCCCCATCTTCAAATTTTCCGCCAAAAGTCGCTGCGTCAAAATGTTCTGCGGGGATACCAGCTGCACCGTACTCTCCTTCAAACAAGAACTTCGAGTCTAGTGGTACACCAACAACGCGGAATGGGCGGGTCAATCTTGTAACATTACAGGACATTGTTCTCAGATTAAACATGTAGTCCAAGCCCTATTAATTAAAGACGAAACATTGGTTTAATAACATAATAGTTGACAGACAATGGATTAATTTGTAATTTCATTATACGTACAGTATATTAGTAGCTCACTCTAATAGCTATACTTTTTTAATTTCAAATGCCTTTATTAATTTATTTATTTATTTATTTTATTTATTTATTTATTTATTTATTTATTTATTTATTTATTTATTTTGGAATTCACCTCATTATAAAGATGGATTCTTAGGTAGTAATCTCGTTCCTTTCCAACGTCACGCTCTTCTCTACTTGCTGCCCGTCTGTTCAACTCGTCATAGCTATGCTCGGCAATCTCAAAATATTGCTTATATCTGTCCATCTTAAAATATTCATTAAAAACTAATCAGCATTTTCTCAATTAAGATATATTATGAAAGATAGGAACATTGTGATATTCTCCTCCTTGCGGAATATTAATTAAAGGAGACTCAAGTTTTATATTTTTCTGTTCCATTTCATTTATTCAATGTTTGTAAATTAAAACAAATCACCATTAGTTATTCATATAAGTAAAAAAGAAGAACTAAACGAGTCTCAGATAAAACTGTTAGGTTTCTGTGATTTTTGAAGGGTCAGACGTTATTTGCTAGAAATACCTGCTTAATTTCTGAAACAGGTTCGTGTATTAATAATGTACATTAATTGTCTCAATTTCTACGTGAAAGAAATAAGAAATAGTTATGATTATATTTACCTTAATACGTCTTGCAACCCATTGCTTCGGTGATTCTGAAATCATTCAAGAAAATATTCTTGCTAATACTGAACAAATGAACAAATAGTTTAAGTTTTCTTAAATTGTAACCCTGTCAACAAAGTAATATCATAACCATTCTCACATCATAGAATATTGTGTCCAAGCTATAGTCCATTATTTACAAGTAAATTAATTCATGCATCAAACCCCAACAAAATCCATATGTTTTTTAGAAAGCATATAAAGCTGTTTTATAAAGTGATTTCAAGTGCGTTAATTGTCGTGAATAAAATTTTTCTCGGAAATTGAAAGTTCTTATACAATTGTGAGAGTTGTCTATAAGTGACATTAATTAAATTTATAGAAAACGAAAATGTTCTATTTAATTATAACGAATTTATGTTCTGAATTTGCATTTAATGATAATAAATTGACTTACGACATGGTGTTGGCACCTGTGCCGAGCAGACGATAATTAGCGCAAGACCTACGACAATCTTCATTCTGGTTTAAACAGACTGATTTTAAATGGGCCTGCTATTAAAACAGTCATGCCTCTTATCAGAGAAGAATTTCAACCGCGTATTTAGGTCATAATTATGATAATCTCAATATAGATGTTGCTACCGACATGACCTTGTTTCAATACTTCTACTACATATTTACGGTACCCAAGAGATTCATTTGCTGTTAAAGAAATACAAATATAGGCGAGGAAGATAAATGTGACAGCTGACTCTTTATACGGGGACTTTCCAAACATATTAGAATTGATTAGCACATGTTGATATTGCGACGTAGTTTCTAGTCCAATGAAGACTTTGCTATGAATTTAATATCTTAAATCAATGTCCAGTACATACTACAGCTGTATACATGTAAAACTTTATTACTGTGGTATAAAGCTTCGTTAAGCTTTAAATGTGTTGATTTCTATGAACGTTGCTATTTTACAGAATCAGATATTCTTTTTTTGCCAAGCATGACAAATATACTTAAACTGGAGATTGATGAGGGTCCAGTCAAGTTGATCCGTGTATTGAAATAAAGTGCCGTGAAATACTACAAAAAAAAGATGTCTGCGCCCATGGTGTCGTGATTTTGTTTATAAACTTCAGAAGGCAATACAGTATGTAATTGTATACTTCATTGATAAACACTTATCGTAAATTAAATTATTTGCAGCATGTCAATTGAATTCTTGGATTGGAAAATATATTGCGTAAATTTATTAAGCAATTAAACACATATTGGTTGGTTGACGTCTGTAGACGTACCCTAATAATTTCGTACTTGTTTACGAACAGACATGAAGAGAAAAATATTTGAAAAACAGCATTTAATGTATAAATTAAAGCTTTACACTGACCAAGTCTAAACAGAATTACAATTATTTAAATATACACAACATCTAAATAATAAATTCTACATGACATTTTCATGTAGAATCTATTTACAAAAATAAAACAAAATATGAGAATAGTTGCATACTCTCAAATAGGAAAAGAATCCTTCTTCCAAGTCATATATAAAATCTACAGTTAATAGCATCTCCTAGTTGACCTCTACCAAGTTTTTTCAAATGACCAGTCTGAGGTGAAAAAATGAAAATGTTAAAATTTGCCCAAAGCATATGGCACTTTTGTTACATAAACTTTTAAAGAAAACTTTCAAAATCCTCTCATCAGAAACTACATGTATAAAGCCGACAGCTTAGATGTTTGGTATGAAGGTGATTTGTGATCTGTGCAAAAGTTATGTAACTCATACCCATGGGGTAAAAATCCCCTCCTGTAACAGATTTCAGGTGAGTGAATCAGTGATCTTGGGACACTGTTGCCCACTTTTTTATGTAGCATGATGAGATAATATGGTTACCTATGGACATCAGGCAAATAAAACTTTATGGTAATTACAACTATGTTTTTAATTTCTGATTTAAATTGTCATGCAAGAATGTTTATTTAGATATTTGGACAGAATGAGGGCTGTCAGATCTGCATGTTTTCTGCTAAGGAGGAACCACACATTATCATGGTCAAGACTGAGGAGACAAATACAATGTTTACACACCAGTGTCTCCTGTAGCACTGAATCTTCCACAAGCACTGATGCTAAACATGACAAATATAACCAGTGGAATGTCCCTTTTCAGTTAAAAGGTAAAGAAACAATTTAAATTGTTATTTAGGTAAGGTGTAGGTTTACCTGTCAATAACATAAGTATTTACATTCTACTTATAGATTTTATCACACAGTTCATGTGCAAGCCAAATTTAAACAAATGAAATATTTTAAAAACATATTGTGAAGACAAACATGCAATTGAAATAGCCTGCATTTTTTTAACATTTCAAACTTGTCTTCAGAGCCAGAGTATGATTTTGACTACATATTGGACCCAGACAATCTTGATGCTATCAGAGATAACATTGCACAAAGAAAAGGAGTGGGAAATATAGATTTAGTGGTATGTATAGGAGTCCTTTATATACTCTATATGTACAAACATTATAAGTTATGCACTTATAAACACTCAATATCTGTAACAGTGACTAAATGTATAACTTTAAAAAAGTCTTGTGAAAAATACTTGATAAATATTTTTAATTGTTCAGGGTGAAGTACTTTTCAAGACATCTAGATTTACCATACCTGTCTAATTAATTACTGATATTTAACACAGAATTAAAATTAAAAAAAAACAACAGATAATTGATTTGTTTCATCATTAAAATAAATTGAATGAATACCCATAAAAATTACAAGCCAGGTTGGGAGAGGCAAAATGTGCATCAGTTGTCATAAGTTTATTATTAAACCTCCTTTACTAGCCTATTTAGTCTATTTAGGTTGACATTATTTGATCATATTTATAAAATATATGTCATTAATGATTTAAATCAACAGTGAGTACATGATGAGGCAGATTTTTCTCAGTGAAAACATTCAATGTTATTTCCTTTAATTCTGTAGGTTGATCTACACAGAAAGTTTGTCAATGAAACAAATGTAAGTGTGTTAAAATTTTATCAAAACTTTTAAATATTTACCTGATTAAAATTTCTTTTTGAGGATTTAAAGATAAAAAAGGAGTTGAAGCATGGTTGCTTTATGTGTCTTAATTGTAGGGGTGTAATCGATTCAATCGATATCGGTGTATCAACGATCTTTGTTATTCGATTTGATATCGATTCCATTTTTTAAATATCAGATATCGAATGCATACATATTTCTAGCTAAAGAGACTTCAGCAAACAGGTTTTATAGCACTGATAGACCAAACGTCAAAATAAAAGCGACATATAAAGTTATGGGAGCCAGAACTAACATATTTCAAACATTTTTTTTCTAAATCAACACCAGAGTTACCTCCCAGTGTCTCTCACGAATGCTGCTGAATTTCGTGAATTTTGTGAAAAGGCTTTAAACATTATAGTTACTAGTCATAAGTTGTCATTAAAAGTTATAATGATAAAAAAAGAAACAAATTGTTCACTTTTCATAGTTTATTTTTTTGCATGTGTTAAAATATAACTGCATATTAAAACAAATTAAAAAAGACTTGAAAGCTTAGTTTTACATTTAGTATTCTTTGCATTCACAAAATTAATTGATTATTCTTATTTGATATAATTTTTAGCTCACCTGACCATGAAGTGGTCATGGTGAGGTAAAGTGATGGGGCTATGTCCGGCGTCCGTCGTCGTGCGTTGTGCGTCGTTCGTCGTCAACAATTGGGTTGTTAACAGTCTAGCAGTCACAGTTTTGATTGGATCATTATCAAACTTTGTCAGAATGTTTGTCTCAATGAAATACAGATCGAGTTCGAAGATGGGTTATCTCGGGTCAAAAACTAGGTCACAGGAGCTAAAAATAGAAAAAGCTTGTTAACACTCTAGAGGCTGCAGTTTTCATCCAAATATTCTGGAAATTTGTCAGGAAGGTTGTTTTGATGATATCTAGGTCAAGTTCGAAGATGGGTCATCTCCGATCAAAAACTAGGTCACAGGAGCTAAAAATAGAAAAAGCTTGTTAACACTCTAACAATTTGGTTGTTAACAGTCTAGCAGTCACAGTTTTGATTGGATCATTATCAAACTTTGTCAGAATGTTTGTCTCAATGAAATACAGATCGAGTTCGAAGATGGGTTATCTCGGGTCAAAAACTAGGTCACAGGAGCTAAAAATAGAAAAAGCTTGTTAACACTCTAGAGGCTGCAGTTTTCATCCAAATATTCTGGAAATTTGTCAGGAAGGTTGTTTTAATAATATCTAGGTCAAGTTCGAAGATGGGTCATCTCGGGTCAAAAACTAGGTCACAGGAGCTAAAAATAGAAAAAGCTTGTTAACACAGTAGTGGCTGCAGTTTTCATCCAAATATTCTGGAAATTTGTCAGGAAGGTTGTTTTGATGATATCTAGGTCAAGTTCGAAAATGGGTCATCTCCGGTCAAAAACTAGGTCACAGGAGCTAAAAATAGAAAAAGCTTGTTAACACTCTGGTGGCTGCAGTTTTCATCCAAATATTCTGGAAATTAGTAAGGAAAGTTGTTTTGATGATTTCTAGGTCAAGTTCGAAGATGGGTCATCTGCGGTCAAAAACTAGGTCACAGGAGCTAAAAATAGAAAAAGCTTGTTAACACTCTAGTGGCTGCAGTTTTCATCCAAATATTCTGGAAATTTGTCAGGAAGGTTGTTTTGATGATATCTAGGTCAAGTTCAAAGATGGGTCATCTCTGGTCAAAAACTAGGTCACAGGAGCTAAAAATAGAAAAAGCTTGTTAACACTCTAGTGGCTGCAGTTTTCATCCAAATATTCTGGAAATTTGTCAGAAAGGTTGTTTTGATGATATCTAGGTCAAGTTCGAAAATTGGTCATCTCCGGTCAAAAACTAGGTCACAGGAGCTAAAAATAGAAAAAGCTTGTTAACATTCTGGTGGCTGCAGTTTTCATCCAAATATTCTGGAAATTAGTCAGGAAAGTTGTTTTGATGATTTCTAGGTCAAGTTCGAAGATGGGTCATCTTCGGTCAAAAACAAGGTTACAGGATCTAAAAAAAGAAAAAGCTTGTTTACACTCTAGTGGCTGCAGTTTTCATCAAAATATTCTTGAAATTTGTCAGGTAGGTTGTTTTGATGATTTCTAGGTCAAGTTCGATGATGGGTCATGTCCGGTCAAAAACTAGGTCAACAATGCTAAAAATAGAAAAAGATTGTTAACACTCTAGTTGCTGCAGTTTTCATCCAAATATTTTGGAAATTTGTCAGAAAGGTTGTTTTGATGATTTCTAGGTCAAGTTTGAAAATGAGTCATCTCCGCTCAAAAACTACGTCACTGGAGCTTAAAATATAATAAGTTTGTTAACATTATAGTGGCTGCAGTTTTCGTCCAAATATTCTGGAAATTAGTCAGGAAGGTTTTTTTTTAATGATATCTAAGTCAAGTTCGAAGATGGGTCATGTCCGGTCAAAAAATAGGTCACAGGAGCTAAAAATAGAAAAAGCTCTAGTGGCTGCAGTTTTGATCCAAATATTCTGGAAATTTGTCAGGAAAGTTGTTTTGATGATTTCTAGGTCAAGTTCGAAGATGGGTCATCTTCGGTCAAAAACTAGGTCACAGGAGCTAAAAATAGAAAAAGCTTGTTAACACTCTAGTGGCTGCAGTTTTCATCCAAATATTCTGGAAATTTGTCAGGAAGGTTGTTTTGATGATATCTAGGTCAAGTTCGAAGATGGGTCATCTTAGGTCAAAAACTAGGTCACAGGAGCTAAAAATAGAAAAAGCTTGTTAACACTCTAGTGGCTGCAGTTTTCATCCAAATATTCTGGAAATTTGTCAGGAAAGTTGTTTTGATGATTTCTAGGTCAAGTTTGAAGATGGGTCATCTCCGGTCAAAAACTAGGTCACAGGAGCTAAAAATAGAAAAATCTTGTTAACACTCTAGTGGCTGCAGTTTTCATCCAAATATTCTGGAAATTTGTCAGGAAGGTTGTTTTGATGATTTCTAGGTCAAGTTCGAAGATGGGACAACTCCGGTCAAAAACTAGGTCACAGGAGCTAAAAATAGAAAAAGCTTGTTAACACTCTAGTGGCTGCAGTTTCATCCAAATATTCTGGAAATTAGTCAGAAAAGTTGTTTTGATGATTTCTAGGTCAAGTTTGAAGATGGGTCTTCTCGGGTCAAAAACTAGGTCACAGGAGCTAAAAATAGAAAAATCTTGTTAACACTCTAGTGGCTGCAGTTTTCTTCCAAACATTCTGGAAATTTGTCAGGAAGGTTGTTTTGATGATTTCTAGGTCAAGTTCGAAGATGGGTCATCTCAGGTCAAAAACTAGGTCACAGGAGCTAAAAATAGAAAAGCTTGTTAACACTCAAGTGGCTGCAGTTTTCATCTAAATATTCTGGAAATTTGTCAAGAAGGTTGTTTTGATGATTTCTAGGTCAAGTTCGAGGATGGGTCATCTCCGGTCAAAAACTAGGTCACAGGAGCTAAAAATAGAAAAATCTTGTTAACACTCTAGTGGCTGCAGTTTTCATCCAAATATTCTGGAAATTTGTCAGGAAGGTTGTTTTGATGATTTCTAGGTCAAGTTCGAAGATGGGTCATCTCCGGTCAAAAACTAGGTCACAGGAGCTAAAAATAGAAAAAGCTTGTTAACACTAGTGGCTGCAGTTTTCATCCAAATATTCTGGCAATTTGTCAGGAAAGTTGTTTTGACTCTAGTGGCTGCAGTTTTCATCTAAATATTCTGGAAATTCGTCAAGAAGGTTGTTTTGATGATTTCTAGGTCAAGTTCAAAGATGGGTTATCTCCGGTCAAAAACTAGGTCACAGGAGTTAAAAATAGAAAAAGCTTGTAAACACTCTAGTGGCTGCAGTATTGAGTCAAATATTCTGGAAATTTGTCAGGAAGGTTATTTTGATGATTTCTGGGTCAAGTTCGAAGATGGGTCATGTTAGGTCAAAAACTCGGTCACAGGAGCTAAAAATAGACAAAGCTTGTTTACACTCTAGTGGCTGCAGTTTTGATTCAAATATTCTGGAAATTAGTCAGGAAGGTTGTTTTGATGATTTCTGGGTCAAGTGCTAAGATTGGTCATGTCCGGTCAAAAACTAGGTCACAGGAGCTAAAAATAGAAAAATCTTTTTAACACTAGTGGCTGCAGTTTTGATCCAAATTTCCTGGAAATTGGTCAGGAATGTTGTTTTGATGATTTCTAGGTCAAGTTTGAATATGGGTCGTGTCCGGTCAAAAATTAGGTCACATTGCCCAAATATGGAAAAATCTTTATAACACACTAGAGGTCACATGTTTGACTCAGTTGTCATCAAACTTGGCCATGATGCTTGTTTAAGACATTGCTTGGATGCGGTTGTGTCAGGTGAGCGATCCGGGGCCATCATGGCCCTCTTGTTTATATTAATTAAACATGCATTTATATACTAGTACCTTTTCATGTAACATGGAAAAGAGTATGACCAAAAATTTATTTTCACTAATGATAGGCCCTAATATTAAGGTAAGGCTATATGAAAAAATTAGCTTTTCTTTTTGCTTCAGCCAGGAGAGAAAGAGAAAGTAAGGCGAGAGTTTATACAGGCTGTAGGAGAAATACCAAACATAAGTCACCCACATTCTGTAAATATTAGTTTGATTATCTTAACTATAGCAGTAAAGATTTCATGTGTTATTTTGTGACAATAATAGCTTTTTTAAAATTGATTAAATTGATGACCATATTTGTTTTGTTGGACGACATTTAAAAGTAAGGGAACTTCGGTAGTATATTTAAAAATTTCAAAATTTGTGTTAATTTATATTCCATGAAAGTTTAAGATAGTTGGTAATAATTGAATGTCTGAACAACTAGTTTATTACATGATTTTCAAAGCATTTTCTTAATTGTTTCATTGGTTATAACTATCATCATTAAAAAAACTAAAAATGAAATTAATCATAGTTTTATTTCTATTGGAACTTGGCAGTTAGAAGTATTTGATATTTAACTTTGTGTGTTATTTTTCAGCCAGTCGGAGAAGAGGATGCCGCTAAGCTTGTTGACCTGGTTGGAACTAAAAGAGGTATAGTATACATGTAGAGACATTTCTTTTCATGGTTTATCAAAATTTCTTAATCAAAGATTTTGATTTTATGGAAAAAATCATTTAAACTGAAATTTTCTTGACTATTTCTCTCTTAATATTGGATGGATCCTGATGAATATCAAAAACTCAATTTCAAGCTTTAGTACAATTAAGAATGATAGATACATAATTTGAAAAAAAAAATTATTGTAAGTTTTACATGTTTAAAGTTATAATAAATGTGTATTGTATATTTAGAGGTGACAGCTGGTCAGCCACCATTAAAAACAATGTTAGAACTTGGGGAGCAGCTTGGCATGTTAAGAACAAGGTAAATGAATAAAGAAACTTTCTCAGTTATAGATCCAATCACAATCATGTCTAGTAAGCTTAGAATAGGCCATGTTCATCAGAGGTATGTTTAGCCTGATTATAGGACATGTTTTTGTGTGTGATGATTTCGTTGCCATTCTTCCTCCAGTGCTATTTGAAAACCCAAGTTTGTACTCATACAAAATCAAGGGACACACTTTTGTGAAATGCAGAACTTCATAATTTGGATGTAAATTAGTTGCATAGGCTAGTTTTCATTGCATTATCTTTATATCCATAAAAAATAAAGGGTAAATAGCCAGTTAGGTAAAGAATATAATTCTTAAAAAGCCATTGTAATATTGACTATTCAAAGTATATTTTTAATGTGAATTATTTCTTTAAAATATTGACATGTACTATATATTTTAGCAATGTTGCTATGACAACAGGACATACAACATACTACTTCCTGGATCAGTTTGCCATGTTGGAGCAAGCTTTAATAAGATATACAGTAGATTATTTACTACACAAGGTAAATATTTTGATTTTATGTTATTACATATCAGTGCACACCTACCTTAATTCCTATATATCAAACCTCTAACAACTGCATCAGGGAACCTGCGTCAGAGATTGTAAAGACATTTTCTCAGCTTAAAGTCAGATATAATATTGGGTTTTGACTGGTAAAAAAATGCCACACAATGTACATTGAACTATGAAAATCCTGTGATTTGAGACATACCTCAGAAAAACATTTGCCTGTTTGTTGGCTTCCAAGTTTAGGACATTGTATTTGTCACCTGGTTGTGATAAGTTTGAGTCACACAGAGAAGGATTTTTTTTTCAGATGATTATATAGGCATTTTTCTGTTACAAATTAAAATGTTTACTGTACATGGTTGATAAAATCATTGATCTACATGTACAGTGTACTTTCTTATGGACTCTATCCATCTATCAATCGAAAGATATATGAAAATATAAGTCCTGTGAATTTTATTTAACATATAATTGTATTTGTAAGAATCAGTATGATATTGTTACAGGGTTTCCAGCTGGTGTCTGTACCTGACTTGTTACGTCCTGAAATTATTGTAAGTATTCTTACATCATAGCAACGTAATAATATTTTATAATTTGTCACAGAAATATTGCAGTACCAATGAATTATGATAAAATGAATTGTAAAAAGTTTTCCTCTTTCTTTCATCATATTAGATGGTAAAATACTGACATTTCAACAGTAGACTTCTCAAAAGTTTTGACACAAATCCAGATTGGCAAATGGTTTTCAAAGTTTCTAAATTGTTTTTTCCTCCTATTTATTTTAGATCTTGCCTTCTCTCAATTTAGAAATCTACTTAAATAATTTAGAGAATTGATATTAATATATTAAAGTTTATAAGCCTTTAGTTTATATCTTGAAGTGAAGTCTTACTGGGATCTATATTGTTGATGTGGGAATGCATAGATATTATTATTGTAATAAGTTTTATATCATGGTATACTAGTAGACAGCTGTAAGTTTATTTAACCCTAGCTTCTTGGCTTTGGTTTTATAACAAATAACCATTTTATATATGGCCATTACATGATTTGACATGTCAAAATATTCATAAAGATTTAATAAATTTGCAACATCTTTGTTTATAAATAATTCATATCATTTGTATTACCAGGAAAGTTGTGGTTTTAAGACGACAGGTGATGTGGCCCAGGTATATAGACTTGACCAATCTAGACATCCTGATCTCTGTTTGATAGGAACCTCTGAAATGTCGTTAGCAGGTTAGTCACAGCGGGTACACAAGGGGATACACATGTATATGTAATGATGAACATATGTTTTAGTGGAATGTGTAATAATATACATGTACCTAAGTCTCAGCAGAAATGTATCAAAATAGTTTGTACTGGTTTTGGAGAGGTGGTTATTGAGATGAAGAAAGGGATGTCTATGTTGCAGCTTTGTGTACTTATATTTCTTTCCCCCTATATATAGTAAGGTATAAAAGGGAAAACTTGATATAATTTTTATGTGAAAGATTTCCATTCTTCAAGACTAACTCTCCTAGCAAAGACTGATGACTGATTCTTCACTTGCCAAATAGATAACTTTACTGTGTGCAAGTTTTGTGTTTCTAGGTGGACTGACTTTATTAATTTCTATTGATTTACCCTAGTTAGGGAAAGACTCAAGGGCACTTTTATCAATTTTTTCTATTTGTACAATAAAGGTAGGATTTTTTCCTTGTCATTCATTTACTTATATAATTGCTTCCTTCCAGGATATTTCATGGATGAAGTCCAGAAAGCAAATGATTTACCTATTAAGTGAGTAAAACATTTTATGAGTCATATGTCTTCTATGAACTTATAGTAATATTTGTATGGAAGCATACATGACAAAACCAACATAGTGCGTTTGCAACCAGCATGGATCCAGACCAGCCTGCGCATCCGCACAGTCTGATCAGGATTCATGCTATATGCTGTCAGTTTATCCACTTGTAATAGAGTGCGCAGGCTGGTCTGGATCCATGCTGGTCGCAAACACACTATGTTGGTTCTGTCATGACGTGGCTCATATATAGTTATCAGTATAATCATATTTTAAGCCATTATACTCAGGTGATCAATATAGGGCCATCATGGCCCTCTTATTTATTATTAACAACTGGTTCAAGACAGTGATATATTCATGATGGTAATATGATTTGGCAGGTAGTTTTATTTCAATACAGTATATGACTGTTCTGGATTTTTTTTCTATTGTTATTTTGAACAGGTTAGCTGCTGTAAGCAGGTGTTATAGAGCTGAGACATCTAGAGTAGAAGAGGAGTTAGGTCTGTATAGAGTACATCAGTTCACCAAGGTTTGTTTTACTCCCATTTGTCTCCTTTATGATATTAATATTTTTGCATATCAGACAGGTATTTCAATTAGTTTTACCCATGCTGGAAATTTTGTGCTACACAATGGCATGCTTAGGATGACGTAATTCCATTATGAATGTAATTGTGATTTCATATGCTGTGGCAAAAAAATAATTACGGCTGTAATGACATAAATTTCCATGGAAAATTGTTTTATTAAGGTATTTAAAAGAATTTAAAATATTATGGAAAATGGAAGAATATGCAAGAAAAAATATCTGGAATATGTTTGCCGTTTGGATCGCAATTTCTTGCATAGCAGACTGGCGTTTCTCTGAGTTTTACCCATGCCGGAAATTTTATCTGGCATGGGGGGTGCCAGATGAGTCGCGTGCCAAACAACAACGTCATTTTAGCGCATTTTATAAATGAACTGTGTTAAGGTATGACCCACCTAATGCATTACCTCCACTTTGAAGAGTACTCATATAGGCTAGAACTACTAGCAACTGCATTGAAACTGAGGGGCACGGGTTCAAGCCCCAGAAGAGGCAACTTTTTTTTCTTTCTTTTTTTTTTCTTTGAACATTATTTGTGTCTTTCAGATCACTCTTGATAAGAAAAAAGTGTTTGATTTTAATTTTAAAATTATTATTGGTATTTTTGGGGTAAATTGTGCCAAATTTATTATCAAATATGGTACCTGATATTTTCAAAGTCTAATAAAATAAAAACTAGACGGTAAAAGTATTTTACTTTTGACAAGCGCATCCAATATACTTCTAAAAAAATTTATGCAAACTTTGAAAACAGCCCCTGATTTGAGTAAGTTTTAGGGATATTTTGAATAAGGCCCTCCAAGTAGAAAAATGATCAAACAACTACTTAAAATGGGTGGGGTAGGGTAACATTTATATACATATTTCAAACATTTTGAGTAGAAACAATAATTTTGCTGGGTCATTTGTTAGCTGATTGCTATTATTTGTTTCTTAAATATTTTCTATAGGAAAACATTATTTCATAATGATTATATAATGGAATGATTAGAGTTTCTCATTTCTGAAAAAGAGCCCTTCTAATAGCCAAGTTTTACTTTAGAAAAATCTCCATAACTCGTAAACCATACGGTAAACTTTGTTCAAATTTTGCATTCTTGTGTCTTTTAAGGTATTTAACTGACTTATGTTGTCAATTTTAAAGTTCCTGATAGTGCCCATTAGGGGGCTCATACCTTAAAATGACATCATTTTAGAAGGGAACTATGTGCTAAGGATGACGTCATTTCGCCGTTGTTATTAAAGTTGTAAATTCATACGCTATTGTAAGAAAATAGTTATGGATGAAATGACATTAATTTCCATGAACAAATATCTTATTGAGGTAAACCCTTTTAAATATGAAATAATATGGCAGAATATGCAAGAAAAAATATCTGACATATATTTTTGTTTCGGATCAAAATATCCGTCCCTCGGGAACCCGCCATGGGTGGTTACTCAGCAAGTCTCGGGACGGATATTCCGATCTGAACCACAACAGATATTATTAATAAAAATTTAAATATATATTAAAAAAATGTTGCAAAAAAAGCGTCAGCCAAACTGATTCATCAAATTTGTTTAATTATTTGTTTGTGAAATATATCTCAACTATAAAATATTTATTTAAAGAGAAATTCCAATGGCTAACATTTGCTATCTTAGTCTTTCTTACACACATAAAGTATATCAATATTGACTACATCATTACAATTTTTAACAAACTATATTTTTGTAACTTCACATGTTTCACTGTAACATTGTAATTGTTTGTTGTTGATATTTTATTATAGTGCATAAATTATTGTATTACAGGTAGAAATGTTTGGGGTGACAGGAAACAAAACAGGGGAAGAAGGCAATGAATTGCTCCATGAACTTACAGAGATTGAGAAAACTTTATTTAGTCAACTAGATTTACATTTTAGGTATGTGTTTTACCACTTTAGTGGCAGATAATAAACTGATGTCTAAGATTCATAATGAGGGAACCGCTACTGGTGTATACTTTTTTGTAATTTAAAAGTTGAAAAAGTTAATACAGTTGCTATTTTATCAGAGCATGAAATACAAATGTAGTTTGTTGTAGGATAGAAGAATATAAATGAATTTAAACTATACATGTATGATAATCATACTGTCTTGTTAAAACACAGAATTTGTATATATAATATCTTACAGAATACTAGATATGCCCACGGCAGAGTTAGGGGCTCCTGCCCATAGAAAGTTTGATTTTGAGGCTTGGATGCCAGCAAGGCAGTTTTGGGGAGAGGTATGTAGAAAATTGAAACATAAATTATGAAAGGTTTTTTTCTAACTTTTGTTGAGAATTCTCACCCGGCACTGTAAAAGTCATTTTGCTTTTTGCCAGGCTTTACTGCTTGAAAAAAAAAACAGGTGTCTCATCTGTGCATTATTTCCGTCATAGCGGGCACCAACCTTTCATGAACTATCTGTATAGCTGCCTTAATCCCAGGCAAAACAAGTGAATTGAAGTCAGTGACCTTAACCACTAGGCCTCAGAGTCAAAGGCCTCTTTATTCTTCAGACAAATGTGTTTCCCCCCTCAGTTTATTCATTAACCATCTTTACTGGTAATGGAAGACTCAGTTGCTGCAACATAGGTTATAAGATGCAAAAGTGGAGAAAAACATGGGATTACTAACCTTTAATAACTTATTTAGATAGCTTTTATAGTATCAGGAACCTGATGTACTTACATATGGAGATATTGTATTTTTTTTTCAAAAGTGATTGGACACGTAAGCTTGAAATTTAACATTAGGAAATAAATGGAATGCAAATTTAAACTGGAAGATGAAAGTGAAATGAATATTGGACATTTTGTGTTATGGTATATGCAGCCTGTCTATATTAATTATGTAGTCTGTTAAGTCACTTAAAATCTCACCAATATTTCAGGAATTATAACCCTTGAACTGATAGATACTAACTTAATTCATGTTTTATATTATTTATTACTACTGGTCTATGTGTGATACTAAATATAACTATTCATATTTCAGATATCAAGTGCCTCTAACTGTACAGACTATCAGAGTAGAAGATTACATATAAAATATAGAACAGATAATGATGATGATGAAATCAGACATTGTACAACAGTAAGTCCATATGTCTACAATATTTCTTCCAGATTTCCCAAATACTCACCTTAGTGCAGTAATGGATTAACTGCTTATATAATTTTATAGGAGTTATCCCATTACTGCACTAAGGTGATGAATGGGGTCATCTTGCATCAGTTAAACTAGAAAATAATCATATCACTTCATTTATGTCCATTTGACTTAATAGCCTGCCATAACAAATGAGGGAATTTTTATTGTGTCTATTTGAAAAATAATGAGACTTCCCTACTAACATGTTCTATGGCATGATACTTGCCTGCATTTTCATATCCCATCAAAAAAATAAAGATGCCTGAAAATTCGTACATGTCTTTGAGATCAGAATTTTAATTTATTATTAGTCCCCTACCGGTTTAACCGGAGGGGACTTTAGGTTTACCCTCCGTCCGTCTGTCTGTATATATGTCTGTCAGTCCGTCCACAAAACTGGATCCCGCGATAACTCAAAAAGTACTGAAAATATTTTTATGAAACTTGAAATATGGGTAGATGGCAGTCCAGTCTGGAGATTATGCACATCTTTTTCTTTTCTTCCTATGTTGAAAATTCTGGTTGCTATGGCAACAAATAGACTGAATTTCAAGATTTCTGATTTAAATTTTTCAGCTTTTTCACTATAAGTTCTTTATTTCTAAAGGTGTTTACTTCAAACTTTAAATACAAGTTTCTGGTCATCAACCACATCATATGTGACAAGGTTTACAACTCTAGCACAAAAATTATCAGTATTACCTCCCTTGAACTTAGAATTTTTATGAAAAAAATGTTGTCTTTTTTAAATAACTTCTTTATTTCCTAATGTATCTACTTCAAACTTCATATATATGTTTCTTATTATCACTCAACATTTTTGAGAAGGTTAAATACTCTAGCTAGTCTATTTCCAGAATTATGTCCCCCTTGAACTTAGATTTTTTTTCGAGAAATTGGTATTTTTTTACTCCAACTTCTTCATTCCTTATAGGATTTACTTTAAAATCCAACATCGTAATAATATGACAAGGTTGTATAAACATAATTTCCTTACTAGGCAGGGAAACTTAACACATTACTGTGATATAGAAAACTTAGAACTCAAAAGATTTAAGTTCATTCATGTCATTCATTCACTGGTTTAATTGAATGGCCAATGGCCCATCAGAATGTTGCTGGGTTCTAACCGGTAGGGGACTTATGGATTGCTTGCAATACTTTGATAATTGCTTGTTATTATTATTATTATTATTATTATTTATTTTACTTTATTTCCAGAAACATAATTTTAGCATGGGTGATTACTGAATCATAGACCTGTGTGTACTTAATGCTTGATTAAAGACTTGCATGCAGGATGAACCTTACACCTACAGTAGTTGGGATCTTTATTTACAACTTTACTAAACATTTGTGCCAAGTTATAAATGGCATCACAATTGTAGGTCAATTTCTAACTCACGGCAATGTAAGGGATTTTGGATGATTTCCCTCACTTTGTGAAAATTTTTAAATTTTTAACCCTAATCCAAGCCACTCGAGAATAGTAAAAAATTACCCGTGTAAATTGTGGCCCCCTTTTTTATAAAAGCCCAAAAAAAATTTGGGGTTTTCTTTCCCCGTAGGTGAATTTTGGGAAAAGCCTGTTCAGTTCCAAAAACTATGATTTGGGAATTTTTGAAAAAATTTAAAACCAGGGATTATTTTTAAAAACATTGAAATTTTGAAATTTTTTTAACTGGATACTGAATTTTGGAAATTTTCTCGCTTGGGTTTATTTTGTGTGTGTTTTATATTGACTGCTACAAATTAAAATTTGTTTTTATGTTCTCCGAACTCAAATCATTAACCTTCACTTTGGCTTATCTGCGTTTTGTACTTGTACTGCTGTAAATTAGAAATTATCCATTGTTTATGTAAATGATTTCAGTGCCAGATTGATGATTTTGAGTACATACAAGTCTAGTTTCTGGTCTGACTCTTCAGACCTGTAGATTGGCGTAGCTTTATGATAGAAGCATAGACTACTTAATATTGGCATTCAAAATGTTCATTCAACTGTATAAAGCTCTTTATGTGCTGCCTGTTCATTTGCAAAATTATTGTTTAAATTTCTGGCCGGGTTGCACCGTTGCAAACCCGGGTTATAGTATGGTGAATGTTGGGCGGCGGGCAGGGAAAAAACTTTTGTAACAGTTTTCTCAGCAGCTACTTATCACAGCCTCTTGATATTTGGCATACATCATAAACATGTGGTCCCATAATGTGGGATTCAATTTCATGTCTGTCTGTCATCCACTTCTTGTTTGCCGACTTAGTTAAATTTTCGACATTAATGGTCAATGGTAGGAAATTTTCGTAACAGTTTTCTCAGCAGCTACTTATCACAGCCTCTTGATATTTGGCATACAGCATAAACATGTGGTCCCATACCGTGGGATTTCATTTCAGGTCTGTCGCTCATCCACTTCCTGTTTGCCGACTTAGTTAAATTTTCGACATTAATGGTCAATGGTAGGAAATTTTCGTAACAGTTTTCTCAGCAGCTACTTATCACAGCCTCTTGATATTTGGCATACAGCATTAACATGTGGTCCCATACCGTGGGATTTCATTTCAGGTCTGTCGCTCATCCACTTCCTGTTTGCCGACTTAGTTAAATTTTCGACATTAATGGTCAATGGTAGGAAATTTTCGTAACAGTTTTCTCAGCAGCTACTTATCACAGCCTCTTGATATTTGGCATACAGCATTAACATGTGGTCCCATACCGTGGGATTTCATTTTAGGTCTGTCGCTCATCCACTTCCTGTTTGCCGACTTAGTTAAATTTTCAACATTAATGGTCGATGGTAGGAAATTTTTGTAACAGTTTTTTCAGCAGCTACTTATCACAGCCTTTTGATATTTGGCATACAACATTAACATGTGGTCCTATAATGTGGGATTTGATTTCAGGTCTGTCGCTCATCCACTTCCTGTTTGCCAACTTAGTTAAATTTTCAACATTAATGGTCAATGGTAGGAAATTTTCGTAACCTACTTATCACAGCCTTATGATAATTGTTATACAGCATTAACACAGGGTCCCATACCGTGGGATTTCATTTCATGTCTGTAGCTCATCCACTTCCTGTTTGCCGACTTAGTTAAATTTTTGACATTAATGGTCAATGGTTGGAAATTTTTCGTAAGCAGTTTACTCAGCAACTACTTATCACAGCCTTCTGATATTTGGTATACAGCATTAACACAGGGTCCCATACCGTGGGATTTGATTTTATGTCTGTAGCTCATCCACTTCCTGTTTGCCGCCTTAGTTAAATTTTTGACATAATTAATGATCAATAGTAGGGAAATTTTCGTAACAGTTTTCTCAGCAACTACTTACCACAGCCTCTTGATATGTGGTTCACAGCATTGACATGTGGTCCCATATTGTGGGATTCCATTTCAGGTCTGTTGCTCATCCACTTCCAGTTTACTAACTTAGTTAAATTTTCAACATCAATGGTCAGTGGTAGAAAAATTAAGTAACCATTCACAGCCTCATGATATTTTGTGTACATATGCAACCCGGCCTTTTCTGTCTTTGACCAATTTTAAAAAAAATAATGAGTTTAAAATAAAGATGTTTGCATAAATCCTTAAGAGGGAATAGTGCAAAACCATTGAAATAGTTAAAACCCTACTTAGGTAGCAGCATAGTATTTTATTTCGGAAAATTTCATTCTATTAATATACAATATTCATGTGTGTTATATTATAATTCTTACATGAATCGACCATGGCCATGAATAATAATATTTTACCATTTATATATTTAACACAAATGTTTTATTAGGTATTTATAAGTTTATACCCTTTAAAGTTAAAAAATGTTTAGATAATATGCATGTAATAATAATAACACAGTAAGGGAGGCAACCCTGAATAATTTTGTTAATAAGATTTGGTAAGTATTTAATTATCTCCCCTACACTGCAATTGGCTTTAAACTGGATCAGTTTACTTAAATCTGTTAAAGCTACATGTCTTTAGATGAGCAAAAATATTCCAGAACATCAATTTGAGAAAAATGTTCTAGGATTTTAAGAAAAAGATTAAAGTAATAGTGTACATGTTTTGTGTGATTTATGACTGATTTTGATGTATACTTTGCCATATTTGTGCTACCTGACTAATACAGTAATAGGTTATTTTTGCATATTGTGACCTATTTTCGGTAATTTGCGTGGTTTGTAACTTTGTATGTGCCATTTGCAATTTGTAAATTACTTTCTTTGTTCCTTCCACAATATTTTACTAGTAATGAAAATTTTAGCATGAATTTTGAGGCATTCTCTACACTCAACAAGCATTCATTGGTGTTCTATATCAAATTACTTTTTATCCATTCCCAGTCTGGCTGGTTTAAACAGACTCATCAAATAACTCTTGTCCATCAATAATAGTAATATTACATATCAAATGACTTTTGTCCATCATCACTCTGGTCACTCATTTCCTCTTCCATCAATTTGATTTTCAAAAAATGTTGTATATAAAGACAATTTTTCCTTGTTTTAAATTTTTGAACAGAAATTTAAAAAGTTTGAAATTTTAAATCTCAAATTGTATTTTGAAAATTAATTAAAAATCTCGTTTCTGTTTTGTAAATGTTTACATTTAATTTTTTGTTTTCTACTATTATTTGGCAAATTTTCTTTTTTTTTAAAAGGGGGCAGGGAAAAAAAAATAAGATTTGCAAGCTTTTAGTTTTTCTTAGTTTAAAAAAGAGTTTATATTTATTTTCAGAAGGAATGGTTTGGGAAAAATTTTTTTTCTTGTCATTAATTTTATGTAAACCCTTTATTCATTTTTTTAAAATAAAAAAGTGAAAAAATTTTCCCTGATTGACCATTTTGATATGTATCCCCCTTTTTTAAAAAAATTTAAAATCTAAAGATTTTTTTTTAAAAAATTTTTTAACAGACCAAATTTTAAATTGGGTTTAAAACAAAGCATTCTGCCGTGACTTTCAGGGTTTAAAAAGGGCAAAGTATTTAACATTGAAAAATAAAGAATTCAGTTTAAATTTGATAGTTCTTTGTAAAAGGGGAAAGGTGCACATTAACCCGTTCATGGGTTTTTGGGAAAATATGTATCAAAATGCAAACAAAAAAAAGACAGTTTGAATGTTTTCAGTTGAGACATATTATGATGAAGTGGGTTTTAGAACATGTCAGAGAACATTCTTTGCAGTGATGTAACTTCTTCATGGCATACAGAATAATCTGATCTTTCATAAACATGATAAAGGGCATGGTTTATTTTTTTACCAAAATGAATTTTAATTTTGTTTTTCTCTTTTTAAAAGGTTAAAAAAATATGCAAAAACCCCGAAAAAATTTAAATTTATTGGGATTGGTTTAAATTTACCCTTACATATACATACAATGTAATTAGATTATGAAATTTTATTTTACTTTTTTTACAGGATGGCAGCATAAATATTCCGCTTGTGTTACAGAAATATATGGATGGATTAAAAGTAATTGAAAAACCAGAACATTTTCCTGAATTAACTTGGATCAAATCAAACAAATTGAAGAAATAGACAACAGAAAAGTTTATTGTGCCAGGAATTTTGTGTTATGAACATTTTAAGTAACTGGATCTCTACTGATTGGCCATTTTCTCAATATAATTTTTACCAGAGTGAAAAAATAAATGGAATATTAAATTTGATTTCTTTTAAATAAGATTATGTGAAAAGAATATAAGTGAATTGTTTATTTATAATTCAGTTATGTCACAATTTTATAGTTTTTTCAGTCTAAATAAAGTTTATATACTTTTAGAAGAACCCTCTGTTTGAAAAAACAACAAAAAAAAACAACAAAAACAACAGATTAATCAGATTGTGAGTGTCCCATTTCATGAACTGAAGGAAAATATGGCGAACATTTTACACATTGTGCATTGTAAATAAATTTGAGCCGCGTCATGACAAAACCAACATAATGGGTTTGCGACTAGCATGGATCCAGACAAGCCTGCGCATCTGCAAAGTCTGATAAGGATCCATGCTGTTCACTTACCTACCCTTTTACAAATAGAGAAACTGATAGCGAACAGCATGGATCGTGATCAGACTGCGCAGATGCGCAGGCTGGTCTGGATCCATGCTGGTCGCAAACCCATTATGTTGGTTTAATCATGACGCGGCTCATTTGTTATGCTGTTATTTTTACATGATTTGCATTTGTTTTAGTATTTGTAATCATTGAAATAGATTAAGACAAATATGGAACAGTGTTGTGTAATGTTACTGTATAAGTCACTGGGGTTTGACTATTCAGATGATATATATTTGGATGATTTCGCAACTGTTAGATTTAAAACCTGATGTAGCATGTGCCTAATCTATTATTTTTATTGAACCTTAGAAGTAATTCTTACAATTAAATAATTGTTCTTATGTAAGAAGACCTCAATTAAGAATGTCTTTCATGAAGATTTGACAAGACAAGTTTCAACATGAGATAATGTACATTTAAAGGCTATGTTTCTGGCAGAAATGAATAAAAGAGGAATTTCATAAAGCTAACAATGATTTCTGCCAAGTTTAGTCTGTAGCAGGAACTGATTGTTGCTAATTTGTTAAGCTTGTGTCTATATGTCCTTGGTCTATCTTTATGGGACTCTAAGACTTGGAGATGTAAAGACCATGTGATAACTTGTTCCCACATATATTTTTAACTATATCTTTGTAAACAACCTGTGTGACAGCATGATTGATTGGTTAATGTATCAGACTAGTAATATTAGGGTTGCTTGACATGTGTTCAAACCCCATCAGGGGGCAAGCTATTGTTTCCTGGAGCAAGAACCTTTTCACCCATTGCTCAGTTGCTCAGTATTTTTTGGTTCCAGGAACGGATTTAAGAGTGTGCCTATGAATTAATAGCTTCCTACACTAAATTAAATAGGTGGAAACCTAACTAACAACCTCCAAGTTGGATGGACAGCTTTGGTCAATTTAGTATTTTTGTTGATTTTTAGCTCGACTATTCGAAGAATATGAGAGCTATTGTAGTCGCCCCGGCGTCGGCGTCAGCGTCCGCGTCTGCGTTGGTTAAAGTTTTTTGTAAAGTCAAATATCTCAATTATTGCTTGAGATATTCAATTGAAACTTACAATACTTATTTATAGTAACAAGGTACATCAGTTTGACAAGTTGGATAACTCTGCCGACAATATTGACAGAATTATGCCCCTTTTTAACTTAGAAATTTTGGTTAAAGTTTTTTGTAAAGTCAAATATCTCAATTATTGCTTGAGATATTCAATTGAAATTTAAAATACTTATTTATAGTAACAAGGTACATCAGATTGACAAGTTGGATAACTCTGCCTACAATATTGACAGAATTATGCCCCTTTGGAACTTAGAAATTTTGGTTAAAGTTTTTTTGTAAAGTCAAATAACTCAATTATTGCTTGAGATATTCAATTGAAATTTAAAATACTTTTTTATAGTAACAATGAACATCAGTTTGCAAAATTGCATAACTCTGCCTGCAATATTTGCAGAATTATTTGCCCCTTTGAAACTTAAATATTTTGGTTAAAGGTTAAAGGTCTTCAAAGATATTTACTTGAAACTTTACACATGCACTTAGGGTCATAATTGGAGGGTCATAATTGTATGTCACTGACCAAGTTCCTTAACTCTATCTTGCATTAAGGCTGATTCATATCCCCTTTTCTACTTAGTCTCTTGGTTAATGTTTACATGCAAGTTTTACATATCTCAATAACTATTAAAGATATTTATTTAAAACTTCACATATGCATTAAGGGTCATAATTGTAGGTCACTGACAAAGATCCATAATTCTATCTTGCATTTAGGCTGATTTTTCTCCCCTTTTTCAACTTAGAAATTCATGGTAAAGTTTTGCTTGTAAGCTGTCTCAATAACTACTGAAGGGTTTGTGACATTTTTGGGACAATTTTATGCATTCATAATAATAAAGCAGTGATTTACTTGATAAAAAATCTTAATAACAAGCCTTTATACCTTTTCTGTCAAATTTATGTATTCATAGGTAATTAGTATTATTATACTCAATAAAACACCCTTGTGACATTACCTTCCGAATAGTCAAGCCAATACTGTATAATTAGACTCTCTCTTAGGCCTATAACATGAATTTATAAACAAAAATTAGCCCTTTTGTGAACTTAAAAAATTTAACATTATCAAGGCTCTTTTACTATCAAGCACTTAGAATAATCGAGCGTGCTGTCCTACCGACAGCTCTTGTTATCATTCTTAGTTTATTACAGTACTTGAAAATGGATTGAATCAGATTCAGTTTCTCTTAAATTGTGATAACATAATTATACTAGTATCTTTGCACATTTTAATATTACTGGTTGTGTTAACAAAAGTTATCTGTAAACTTTTATTGATTATTTTAAGTCTATTTCTTGGAATGACCAGTACAGTAGGATCAAGCCCGCATTTACAAGTTAACTAAGTCTATTTCTTGGAATGACCAGTACAGTAGGATCAAGCCCGCATTTACAAGTTAACTAAGTCTATTTCTTGGAATGACCAGTACAGTAGGAAAGACTATTGGGATCAAACCCGCATTTACAAGTTAACAGGAATACATTGTAACTAGGATGCTACTATTGTGTGTATATACTGTCAGGAATGGGGTTGAATTAAATTGGTTGGTTTTGCATTAAAGACCAATGCATTGATCAGGGAGTGAAGTAAAGAGAAAAACATTGTTTTTTTTAATTATTGCATTTATTCCCAATATGTTCAATGTTTCGTGAACATAAATTTTGTCAATAATAAATGTATTCATTTGACTTATTTTTTTTGGCTTTTTGTGATACTTTCAATGAAATAATTATACATAACAGAAATATTCAAAAACATATTTTGACTGAACTTACTGTACATTATAAACGGATACTGTATTTTAGATAAACATGTACATTTTACAACATTTCTTATACAGTGCAAAACAAATTTTCTTCAAAGAAAAAAACAACAACTGTGAACTTAAACATTTACATAAATTTACACTTTGTACAAAAATTAAGTTATTTAGCCTATTCTACAATCTCATAATTCTATACTGTGTCTATCATTTGTTCAAAACTTATTTACTTATATCTGATATATTTTTCTTAAAATTCAATTTTATAAATAAGAACAAACATAAACAGGAAAAAAGAGTACATTCAGCTAATCGTCCAGTATTTTTATGTTTCCAAAAATACAGCTCATATATTCAAAGTGTCTTACTTTTATATATTCATTTAAAAAAAGTAAAATTAAATTAATGCCACCGAATCCTTTAGCTTCATTATCAATATATTTATGATAATGAGTAAATATAAAATGAAACATAATGAAACGTTTGATGTACTGTCAATGAGGAAAATTTCAGGAAAGAGCACTTAAATTATGATGTGGTGATTTTCTGGCAAGTAGCTTGCTGTTTGTATCTATGATGTGTTATAAATAAAAATGGACCAAATCTTGAGGAATGATTTTGATAAATAAAATATGGACAATATCATGGAATGTGGAGAAATAGAATTTACAATATATTTATATATATCAATATCTGTGCTGTATTCTCTATACAACAATTTGACTGAAACAACATTGACTATTGATTGTCATAAACATTTAACCGTCACTAATCTCTGTTTCACGATTGCTAAGCACTTTGTAATGTCATGCAATGCTGCACCTTTAATGCCAGCCGTCGTTTTATGCGATTCTTAAATGAGTTGCCATAACTGCAAACAGTTTGCAGACGACCGTTTTTTTTCTTCCTAGAATCGGTAATGCCCGGATTTGCACGTGCTCCTACGGAATGTACCGAAAGTCTGTTGACGATTTCGTCCTCCGCGGTAATAAATAATCACAAGCGATTGTTACATCACAACTGTCCTGCCACTATTACAAGACCTGAAACTTTGGCCACGATGAAGTGTCTTTATATTCTAAACAGTCACCGCCGGCAACAGGTGGTCGGGAAAGGCCCTGTGCCGTCGGCAATGATGAATACTGGTTAGAATATGAGTTGGACATTGTATTTGCCTGATTAGAGTGCATAACTGGAAGTTGCATTGGTGATAAATAATCTGAGTTTCCGTAATATGAAGATGGTCCGTAATTTTGATGAGAATAACCAGTATGCATGTTGCTCATGGGGTAGCTTCCGGCTCTCTGCATGCAGCTATTTTGGTACATCAGATCATTCATTGGTGAGATCGAAGCCGGGCTCCAAATTGATGTGGGCGCGTTCATGCTTCCGTTTGTAAGCGGGCTGGACACCGGTGTTGGTTTCGAGTAACTGCCGACAGGAGAAATGGATGGAGGAGGGGGAGGGGTCTTGGCCTTTTTCGGTGTTGGCGATTTGTTGTTGTTGCCCTCTTTAGCCTTTTGTTGTTGTCTGCATTTAGCACGTCTGTTTTTGAACCAGACCTGAAAATAGAGGAAAAAATCATATCAATTATTAATAATGTCTGTGATGGATGGATCTATGACTGAATGAATTAATTCCGCGCTGTCAATTAACGTATTAATTAATTAGTGTCGTTTATTGAATGTATTGTTAAACTTGTTTAAGTCCGAGATGTTATAAATCGATTTTACTTGCTGTCAAATGTAGTTTCTAAAACCAGTCGACCTTAACATGCCCTTAATTTGCATATAAATGTAAATTTGAGGTAATTTACGTCACTTTCCCTGAACCTATCTGGGTGTTTTGAAATTGAAATATCATTTATTTAATATTGATTCATATTTTATGTGGAAATTGATTTTTTCTTTATCATTTCCTATGCAATATAATATTGTCCCACCACCAAGAGCGTGTACTGTGTGACTTTTTTGAATTGTCTGGTTAAAAACACACCTGTGTGATAGCAGGCTATCAAAAATGTATTAGTGTTTTTGAATGACTCCAAAATTAATCATTTTTGTAAAAAGTGAAACAATCTATAACTAATTCCATTCAGAAAGAAGTTATATTTTCTTTGCATGTTTCCGTGTCTTAGAAATGGTACTGCAATATAATTGGCGCGAGTTTTCGCTACCTTAGTTTCGTAAATTGGCATTCGATGTAAACGAACGCCTGGCGTTGACTTTGTTTTTACTATGACATGAAAAGATCGGAAGAGTGGTGGATGTCAATGGCAGCATTTCCTTCGTCTGCTTTTATCACAACGCGAGATGTTCGTCTGCTCCAAACAACTGTTTTGTGAACAGGCATATGAACTTCTTTCATTAGCTCAGCGTTTACTTTTTTCTATTGAATGGAGACATAGCCACGACACTGCTTCACTTAAAGATCGTGGCTAATGGATTTGGGATTAAAATCGGGAGTTAATTTCCCGATAATTTTCAAGTTAATTAATAGATAAAAGCAACAGAATCGAATAGATTGTCAATTTCATGCAGAGATGTTTCACCCACGAGTAATTATGATATTAATTTATATTAATTTAGAATTGAACGCGAAACTATCTATATTGTATTATAAATGTTGCCGTTTTAAGTCAAATTTCTAGTTTGTTTTTATTTCTTGGTTTCCAAAGAAAAACATTAAAGCAGACAATAATATGCCAAATTTCGGAAGAATCGATTATAAACTATTTAAGAAAGTGGAACAAATTTCGTTTGGTTTTTCTTTACAGCGTGTCACCGGATTGTTTACCCGTTATGTAAACAAGTGAACAAAAACAGCCACTGGCAAAGTTCCTTACATTTTCTTAAAAAGTCTCAAATTAATAGCAAATGAAAATATTTTCTTTCCAAATATGCGATGTTTTTACAACCAAGTACGGTTCGCTAGAAAAATATCAAAAGAAACTACCATGGCGTTGAATTTGTATTTCTTTGGAATTAAGACGCAAAATTCCTTCACATTATTGATTTGAATAATGAATTCAAATAGACAGAGAAAATACCTCCATTAGCCACTTCATTAGAGTTTGTTTAATTCCCTATAATTGAGTGTGCATACCTTGATTTTGTGTTAAAGTGCCTTTTGATTTGCTGTTACCGATCTTTTTCAGTTGAATTGAGGAAAGGCTATCGTCAATTAGCTATGTCATGTGACAAAAATTACAAAATATGTTATTTCGATATGAAATTATAATTTACCTGTACTCTAGATTCTGGTAGGTTTATCTTGAGCGCCACTTCCTCGCGCATGAATATGTCAGGGTATCGAGTCTTCTGAAACAATGATTCCATCACGTCTAATTGTGCGCGTGTAAAAGTAGTTCTTTCTCTCCTTTGTTTTCTTGGGTTTCCAGACGAGTATGGGGACACTGAAAAGTTTGAAAGGGAATAATTTTATAATAAATGTAAGAGATATGTAATATCAAGTACACCACATGATGAGAATCTTTTTTATCTATTGAAAAACTATTTCTTAGAAAAAAGACAAAATTATAGGTAAATGAAGATATTGTATTCAATATGAAGTCAGTTGTAGCTGATTTCGTACAAGCAAAGTTAAAACTTTTACATGACTATATAAGGGGGAGGGTAGTTTTTATTTAACTTGTTTTTTCTTCAAAAAATGTGCACAGAAGTAATGATTAAGAAATGTAGAAATAAACATGTTTGGTCAAGAAAAGGCATTGACATGTCAAGTGGGAAATTGTTTTGTCATTCGTAGAATTATGACCATACTAATGAACTTTCGTTACAGAAATATATACGGATAATAAGGAATTAATCAGTATTAAAGTTAGAAATCGTCGTTAATCGCCTTAAAGGATAAAATGCTACTATGTGCCCTATACAAAATATTTTACTAAATAATAACCATTGAAAAATGTATTTGTCAACAAGGTGCATAACTGTCTCTATTAAAACGGTATTACACAACCTTGAAAATATTGTTTCTTTAAAATATAACTGCTAGTACATGACTCAAGTTCCTAGGAATGCGAATAATAATCTGAATAATTCATCAAACTTTGAAACATATAAATAGCCGAATATAAATAATTCATCGCAGTTATTTTGTAACATAAAAAGTCCCATTTAATTCAATGTATAAAACACTGAAATAATGTACAAGTCACAATCGATGTTCACAAAATGTGATGTGAGCGTGACTGAATGAAAAGAGTGCGTTTCGAGAATACCAAAATTATTTTCTATTTAACGGAAAGAATGAACATGATTTTCACATCTCTTTTTACTCCCGAAGAAATTGTGAGAATGGCCAGAATGAACTTGATTTTTCGCACGAAATTTGCTGTAATCTTTTGATTCCTAGGTGAAACAATTGATATCCTAGTTGTTGGGAATCTTAACTTTGGGAAAAACTTATATCAATTCCTGCTGTTCACATGTTTTAGGTATTTGACCCTATCCCCTCTGTTTTGTTACCAGTCCTAATTTAAAGAGCCATTATTCCCGCCCATCCAATCCAACGTTGTGACCATAGCGATATTTTCTTAAGTCGTTCTTTCCTTTGACTTTCAGCAGACGACAGTTTTGCCATCAAAGGGATGTCTTTAGAGGAGCAACAACGGGCGGGAATAATGTGTTTTTGACAGTTTTATGTCAGACAAACTTATTTATGTTCATTTTTAAGAATGATGTTGGGTTGTGTCTATGTGAACTAAAGGCTATTTGGTGAAAACTTTAACAGTTAACGGAAATGAGCTTGTTTGATTTTCTATCATTTCAATATTTAAATTTTCAATTTTATCGGCGTTCATAAAATAAAATGTTAGAGTTTTATTATTGAACTGTGGTTTCTATCGTACGCTTCATTTACAATACTGACATAAAATGTAAATACGAAATGGAAACTGTTAAAAGAAAAACGCCGGCGAGCTAATTTCCATTAGAATGACAATTTTGCTGTCCCTTTTACACCGGGCGTTCGCTTGGATCCATAGCATATGAAGGAAAACATTTATTTTCTATCTAAAAAATTACTGAACGTTGCTGTATTTAAATGAACGCGACAATTTCAGTATGTTTGATAAAAATGAAAAAGTTTTTGATTAACCTAAATCGTACAAGAGTCGCAGCATGACTTTTGTGAAATACAATTAATTGGGTACGACTTCCAGTGGCGCTACACAAAACCGGGTATTCACGGCGGTAAGCCATGCGCTTGCTTGTACGGCATCCCGCTGTATAAAGAGTTGTGATGTACTTTATCTGCGCGGTTGGTCGAAGGCTCGTTACATATATTCCCTAGGCACCAGGTGTGTGGGATATATGAGAAATTATTATAGTTTTTAATATATACATATATTTTTGTCATCAGACACACACCTTATTTTCAGTTCATTTACCCAACAGAATTCACCATAACTTAAGTTATAGTTAAAGGAGAGACCTACTGGCTTTAAAATCCGAGGAAAGGCCTACAGGATATCGAGACATACGCCAGTGCCAAGACGAAACCATAATATAGATATTTATATATGTACTTACTTTGATATCCCATAGCGGGGTGCATCATGTCTACATTAGGTGATGACAAACTTATTCCATTCACGCTGTATGCACCGGGCTTGTGTGAGCTCACGGGTGGGTATGCCATTGACGTCATATCCGGATGCAGTTGTGGTATATGGTGATGTTCTGACGGGGTTGGATATTCAGGTTTAATGTAATCGGGTTTGCCAAAGTCTTGTTTGGAATAAGGGGATTCTTGTAAGCCTATGCCCGTATCTGGAAAATTATAGAATCTTGTTTAGTTGTATTCTTGATTAACTTTGAATATATTCATTCTAAACAAAATAGTCCAGTATAAGAGTGATGGCACAACAATAAATTATAAAAAAAACTCAAATTATAACTACATTGTAATACATTTTGACATTCACTTTACAAGGTGGTGGAATTCTTAAATAAATAACGTGTCGCTTTGATTAAAGAATAAGGCATGTTTTGGGAACTAAATAAACACATCTATTATGTGTAAAAATGAACGCATTCTCTGTGTTATTCTCATTAGCATATTTCATTTGACAGCAATGATTTCCCCATTCATGTAGAAACAGTGTAGCACTATGTTTATAAAGACGTGTTAATGGAACAATCACGTGGAGGTGATTGGCACATCGTGTCCTTTTATAGACAAATATGCGGTGACGTGAGAGAAAACAATACATGAGAAATTGAGCAAAATGTCTAGATTTTATTTCCGATGAAGGATCTTAATTTAAAATTGTATTTTATTCATCAATATTTAATTTACACTATGATTATAACGAATAATAATAAATATATTTAAAGAAATATATGTATAAAAATACAACTCCGTAACTTATTATTTCATTTATTGATACATATAAAACTAAGTATCGGTCATTTTCGTTTTCTGCTTGCATTTTTAAATACACCCAATATTTTATATCAAATGCCCGAATAATGTGAAAAATAAAACTGATGCGCTTAAAAGATCTTATTAAAAAGAAAAAAACAACAATATTATTACCTAAAGTTTTAATATGATTGAATTAAGTAATGCAAAATACTAATCTGCAAAAGCTGAAATGAGTGGGAGTGAGGGGTATATAGACTTCCCTTCCCCATCATAGCTTATATGTATTGTATATTTCACAAATACATGTGTTAAATATCATAATATAGGTTTCTTGAATAAAAAAGTACGAAGTGTTTATATTAAAGAACGTGACTTATGGATCACCAACTTTATTAAGATATAATTTCGTAATTATAAAAAAATGTATCCAAACAAACCTCAAATATCAAAATTAAAATGTGTTGTATATATTATTTTAAAGAAAATTTTATTTACATGTTAATAAATTTAATTGTTACTTCTATTAATTTTGTATATCAATTTCAGCAAATGCAAGTTGTATATTTTGTTAATTTTCAAATACTATTTTGTGTTGCCTCCTCTGATAGTTTATTTGTTTTTTATATTTAATGTAAGATTTTTGAACACTTGACTTAAAGTGTTAAAGCACTAATCTACAACCTTCATATTTTTATACATAATCTGAAGAACAAATACATTAAAAGCTGATTACCAACTTAAATCTGTAGTTAATACAAAAAACGTTCTAAAATTTAAGTAATTGTACAAACTTTTTTGTTGTATTTTGTTATCATCTGAGAAGACACTTGTAATAAAGATGAACTACTAGTAGTTTAGTTTATTTTATTGTTTGTAATGAAATATGATAAAAACAGATTTTTTTTTCTATAAATTTCATCACCTTAAATAAATGTTTAATACATATTTATATGTTGTAAAAAAACAAATTTTCTATATAATATATTGAATATAATTTTGATTTTGAACTTACTATAATACTATAAGGAATACTTTCAACTGGACAACGCCGCATCCAAAAGAAATTCAACAGGATATGGGATATGTTTGAAAAAAGAAAAAAACACATACAAATTATTTTTAAAATAAATCCATAATTTTAGCTCACCTGGACTACTTGCTGGAGATTTGTCCACGTGATGCAGCGTCTCTACAGCGTTCCCGTCCTTGTCTACGTCCTCTGAAGATGACAAGAGTTGTTGATTATACATGTACCCCATCATCATATCACCGTTTCCCGGCCTTGATTCAGTATCCAGCATCTTGAATCCGGGGAATTTTAGAAATTAGCAATTTGAAATCACTTAAAATGATCACTTTAAATCGCGATTTGGGTAAACTCCTAAAGCCTGACTTTACGATCAGAAAAAAAGTATTAAGAAAGTTTAATTCTCTAAGTACAGTGTTAGATTTAGTAGTGACCGTTTCTATTCTAAATCCCTAGATTTATGATAATCCCAACACGTGGTTTCGTGTTTACATACGATAATCCGTAGTTAAAACAGTAAAGAAGTGCAATATGCGCATGCGCCGTAAGAACGGGTAGATTTTAACCCCGCCCTAAATCCCACCCACTAATTGGCAGTTTGGTCGAATTTGTTTGTCACATTGATACAAAACAGTTTTAGACTTGTAAATAAGTTTTCAAACTTTTACCCTTGAAAGTGAGATTGTTTCAAACTTGAATGCATTTGATGTACCGCAGAATTAAGCGGGGGAAAATGATTTGAAATATGAGCTAAATGAAATTAGTAATTAAAAATAAATAAATAAAATATATATAAAAAATATTAAGTTAAAGGAAACCTAATTTTCATTTCAATAAAAATTCGCTGGATATACCCTGTTTAAATGAAAGCCTTATATTACATTTTTTTTTCAATTTTCAAAATGTGTCACGGTTTTTATATTTGTTTTATAATGTTAGCATAAGATCGGCGACAGAAAATTTGGGCTGAATAACGTTTTGCCCGCAAATTGTATTTTTAGTCTAACCAAATATATGCGCGTAAGAAATTGGATCGGAAAGATTTGGTTTGTTTATCCAGTCGGTGTATTTTCATAGTGATATCCTGAGTTAAATATGTTAGAAAGAAAAGAAAACACGGTTCGTCCTGATCAAATATGTCATTTATATGTTCTTCTTCCTCCGGAAATTTACCTTAGAGAAATGAAAGCGAATGTATGAATATAACTGTTTCTTATAAATCGTATATTCTTGCAAATCATAACCCAGTCTTTCCTAGACGAATTATCTCTGTATAAGACTAAGAAAAAGGCGCAGTTTCCGGAAACCATTCATAAACATTTATAAAACAGAGTAAATACAACCGTGCCATCAAAATTAACAATATTTATTCCGGTGTTTTCAAAACTTTCCCCAAATTTGAAAGTCAATGGTGTCCTATTTGTATAAATCGTTCAAATATTTAGTGAGAATCAGTTACATATAGCGTCAAAATCATTTTATAAAGTGACAATTTATTAATTCAATAGTAAATATTTGATCTGTTTCGTTTTAGCTAAGATGACGTAAGACGTGAAATATATTCCTCCATCCAGTACGATTTTAGGCAAAATGGTCAAAGAGAGAGAGGAAAAAAACACGCACAAGAAATATCAGTATCTTTCTTCTAAAATTTTTGCTGAACAAGGCAAGGAAGGCAGTTTATGACCGATACAAAAGAAAACATTTAAAGACAAAATTGATAAATTATGAAACCACTCAATTCTACAACATGTAAGATATCAAACTAAATTACAGTAAAAACAATTGCAGATATTTTGATAAATTGAAGAGTCGATCGTATTTACTTACGACTTTATTTCTATAAACACATCTGATAAAAACTGTGCAGTGTCAACTAAGTGACATAATATTCGATTAGACAAATTCGTCCAAATGGTTAAAACTTAAGTGAAACCTTTTATTTGCAATGGTCAGATGGGGTCGAATTATCTTTCTATGTCAAACAAGAGGGATGTTTCGGTCTGTTTTTGTTCTAATTTGTTGAGACAACACAGTTTTTAAAATCGATGTAACATGGTAACTTTAACTTTAGTGGTAAGACATTCTATAGGTATTCGCGGAAGTTTTAGTTAATTAAGCACGTTCTTCTTACAATCATTTATCTTAAATATTTAATCAACATACTGACACTCAAACATGTATAATCATGGCATTTATAGTTTCATTTTTATCTACATTACAATATATTTATACAACATCTGACAAAATGAGATACTGAATCCCATCTTCTGATCAAAACAAACAAGAAAAAAATCGGACATGATAATTTCGATAAGACGTGTATTAGATATGTGTTAGTCCGAATAAGGTCAGTTAAGTATTGACTTAAATGTATTAAATCATTTTAAGTCTATGAATCAAGTGTATTAAAGCTAAATGCACTAGGATGTTTATATATTAAGATTACACTAAGCTGTTTTAATTAGTAATTAGAATGAATCGAGGAGAAGTCGGACATTTACTGCATGATGTTTACTCTTGTACTTACTCCTTTAATTCTTGGATTATAAGATTTGGATCACTTGATTAATATGAATAAATCGTGTAAAATATGTTCTCTATAAACCGTTAATCATAAAATTGTCCGTTTTTTTTTTCATACCGTAAACAGAGGACACGTGCTTTTATTCTGATTGTCAAGAAACACAATTTATTTAAGAAAATAATTCTATATGACCTTGTGATGCTGGAGAACTTTTGAAGAAGAAATAAAATATTTTATTTGTAGTAACGTATACATACAGTAGAGTACAATACATATGATAAAACATAGAAATTCTATGATCTGAGCTGACTTCACATTGCCAAATGATACATGACTGTATCACTTTAAAATTATTATAAATGCATAAATATGAACAATTGTTTGCACTTAAAAAAATGTAAAAGATAAAATCTAGCTACACAATAACATTTAATGCCAAAATGTGATTATGCATAGAATGTTGAAAAAAGAAATATAGCTATTTGATACATTTTGGTTGTGAAAAAGATCATCATTGCATTTTGTCGTGTAAGCATGACATAAATGAGATAGATTTGAACATTATATCCTGACTGAACAATTTACATGAATCTAACACTTTCCTCAACCTCATCAACAAAAATAAACAAATCTCGATTTTATATTAAAGTCTGATTTGAATTTTTAAAGAAATCAACTTCAAACGAAATCTGTTTCACGGTATGAAATCATCACGACGCACTGTAATAATAACATACACGCCTTCTAATGAAAATTTACATAGCACAGGTGCGATCAGATACTTTCCCCTATTCAAAAAGAGCCCATGCTACGTACATATGAAAACAAATTATGAAAAATGAGAAGTTGGTGACAAAATTCGCAACATACCGGAATCCGAAATACTCCTTTCGACTTTCATTGATGTATATTTAATATCGTCGTAGTCGCAAGCTATCTCGACAGGCATTTTCCGTTTTTTGATGAGACGCTTAGGTAATATGTAGAAAAATATGTGTAGGCCAGTACAAGTGGTCACTCGAATTTCACGATGCGAAAATTAGGGTCAATTCAACAATTGATAATGATATGACTGTGTTAACAATATATGATTCATTTTCAACCGTTTGTTCTCATTTCATTCAAGAGTTTCACCCCGAGGCCCTTTTCCTTAAAAATCGTTCTTTTCGCTTTTTTGTAAATAGAGAATAAATCAAATAACGGTATTTTATGATTGTCCTAATTGAGTGGTTTCAATTTTTATCAGCTGTCGAAAATTGTTTTCATACGGTTGAATAAATGAGACCGCAATATATACTTCATATAAACGAAATGCAGATTACAAGTTTCTCGTGCAATTTTTCGACTTAGACAAACAATATCAAAATTGAAATCGTATTAAAATTTTATTAAATGACATACATTGATAAAAGTTAATTTCTTTCCGGGTGATATAGTTATAATTTGATATATCTGTAGCTGATATGATACTATACACACATATTAAATCAGATAATTGTTCAAATTACAAGCTTACCTTATTAACTTCTGATTTATATTCGTCTTATCTTGTCTGCTAATGAGCTTTTCTTAATCCGTGTCCTTTCTACACTTAGATAGTTAAAACCATTTGGCAGCGTATTTTATTAAGTATTTTCGGCTTTTTGTTTAATACTAAGCTCCTCGCAACGTCTTATTCCCAGCTTTTTGATCCGCAATTTCTTCTGTAACTCTGTGGAGAATTACCTTAGTCCTGGAATAACGGCTTAAGAAAGCTTATGTCTTCAAAAATGTTACTACAATTTTTGATAGATCACAATATGGTTTAAGCTCCTAAGTACGGTAGAATAAATAATCGGGACGGCCTCTTTCACAGACCGCCAACCAATGAAATCGCTTCTCCAGCATACTCCTCCGTGATAACTGGTTAAAGCAACGGCAAAAAATCAATGGTGAATCCTTGATTAGCGAGATAAATAAACAAACGCAAGAAAGAGACAATTTCTTCTTCTTTTTTATTTTGAAGTCACTGTAATGTTCAATCGGTAAAATGATTTGAATAAATATTAAACGACAAAACTTAATAAAGCCACTTAATCACTCGAAATGATGTTTAAATTTCTTGATCCGATTTAAAGATGGGGCTGTACAAATGAATTTAAATCAATCTTAAATCACTTCTTATAACTTTGCATTTTAAGAGTAAATCTCAAAAGTCGCCTTTGGAAGTATTAAAGTAAATACGTCTTAGGATATTTAGAGATTTTAATAAATCATATAAATATGTTTAGAAGATTTGCACGAATATATAAAGCCATTTTTTCAGCTAATATTCTTCAAAGTTCTCCGCATCATAACGCGAAGTGAACATTTTTTTAGTTCGGTACATATTGAAAAAAAATTGTAAATTATGGAATATAATTCGAGAAGGATTTTTAGGAGCTAAAAATAAGCACACAACCCGGAATGTTTTTAGTGCGGTTCTGCTAGCCTACTTTTTTTCTCCACAAAAGCAGTGTTAAATGTTTTAAAACAATACTTGCATTTACATATATATTTAGACACGTCTAGCTTGAGATAATAGAATTAAGTCATTTTTTTAAGATACATGTTTAGTTTAACCAAGCTCAGCAATTGGATCGGGATCCTATAACTTTCGCTATATTAAGTGATTGACATACGTATACGTCTGTGCTGTTCGCAGAATTTTGTGATAATGTTGTTTATATAAATATATTGTCTTCTAATAAACATATACATGTATGCGATTTTCAATTTTCGAAGTTTTATTTTCCAAATCAATGCAGTTTTAAGGTTGTTAAAATGCATTAATTTAGTTTTCCCATGGGTGCAGAGGGGAACATGTATCAAGGTCTTTTCTTTGCCTATCACCTCTTGACGTCCAATGATGAAAGAAAATGTTCAAAAATGGAAAAAAGTGAAGTGGTATTACCATAATAATGGCAATTTTAATTTTAATTTCCTCCGAAAAATGGATGACTTTAGTGAAAGGGATGGACGAAACCCGGAATGCGTTCAGCGTTCATTGCCTGCAATCGAGGTCTTTGAACATAGTGTCGGGAAACTGTCCACCGCAACAATAAGATGTATGATCAGGGACAACGGAAACGCCCGTTCTCAATTGGTGTCTGAAGTATCTAAGAATTTTTATTGGCTTCCGAAATAAAAGTGAAAAAGAATTGTTTAAATGGGTATAGTGGATAAAGGGCCTTAGTAAAAAAAATATATTGAATTTAATTTTGAAAATGGCAGTAGTTGAAATCGAAAGACAATTTTTTTTGTTTATACTACTGAAGTTGCGATGTTTCAAGGTTAATTTTATGTGAAAAATGCATACAAATATCTTTATATTTTTAATATAAAATAAGATGAAAACATTAAATGGAACAAAAAAGAAATAATGAAAACATTTTCTTTAAAGCAAAAAAAGGTGATAATAATAATAATAATAATAATGATAATAATAAAAAAATATAATAATAATAATAATAATAATAATAATAATAATAATAATAATGATGATGATAATAATAAAAATAATGATAATAATAATAATAATAAAATTAATAATAAAAGAAAATAAAGTAATATCTAACTAATATCATTTCGTGAATATTGGGAGGAAAATATATTAAATATTCCTTAATAATTAATGTTCCGTTGAAAATTGCATAGAGCACCACAGGTACCGAAATATTGATCACTAGCTAACTCATAAAGCGGCACATCAAAGGCTAAATATTTGATGATGAATTATTAGTGTATTGAAAAAAATGTCAGGTACATTGTATACCGACAAAGATACCTAGATTAAAAAGTTACGTAACAAACACTTTGATGATAATACCAGCTCAAGATGAGTGTTTTTCAACAAGTTTTTATTGAGGACGGAACATAAAAACACCGACCTAGAATGGCTCTTTGGGTCTTCATCATAACTAATCAACTTTTCTAGAGTAAACATTACCTGTGTAAAAAAGACCAAACGCAGTCGATTACTTTGCCGACTTAGTTTACAAACTGTACGCGTGGATTGTAAATATTTTGACAAATGTTTGTTAACGATACGTAATTACATTTCGCTAAAGGTGACAAAACACATCAACATTATGAAGCCAAGAGTCGAGACATATAGTGTTAAATGTTTCGTACATCTTTTTGTATCGTTGATTATTTTGTTATAAATTCGCACCTCTTTTCCAGTAAAATAAGAGAAGGAATTTCTTGTTTTGCCGAAAAATGGCGATAAGATCAACATAGAAATACTTGTAAAACCCTTTTGTTTAGGACATATTTAAGCATATTTTTCTTCAGATTTTGATAACAATTTTCATGCAAATTAAAATATAATACAACAATGCGGAATTCTAAAGTCATAATCAACTTGATTGTAAGATAGTTCAGATCACGACAGGTAGTTCTTTACAGCAAGTTCTTTCATGTCTAGGACATAAATGAGACAGCGTGCGTAAATTTGGTCCATAAAGTACCGCACCCAACATGTTACCGGGATAATCCATAGGACTGCCGTCGGATTATCCCGAGATTATCGGCGAATTAGCTTAAATATATAATCTCTATCGGAACATGATCGCCAACACTTGTTTCTCCGTTTAAGATTACGTTATCATTTTTAATAACTGTATTATTTGATCAAAATCATGTTGTCGTAGAAAGATCAAATCAAAAGTTGTCGGCACATGTTTTGTACAAAATATATACAGGGATTGAAGGTCATCTTCAATAGTACTAACTTACAGAAAATTATCCATTGTTGCCATGGAATTCTACATATTTTCAAAATACTGTTTATAAATATATTTTATCCGAATCTAATTTTATATGGCGAAGAAAAAGCTATTTACGTGTTCAAGTGACGCTATTTTCATAAAAGAAATCTTACACTACATAAAACGATACTTGTTTCAGTAGTGTATGTTACGTCAACCACAATTTCTTAAAGTAATTATGTTCTTAAAAAAAATCAACACGTGTCTCAGAGCTATGTCAAGTTTATACTATAGATAATTTCTTAAATGAAAAGCTCTCAAACGTCTATATACTACTGAAAGTTACTATTTCTATTTAGAAAACCATCTAGAATATATACATAGGTTATATAAGTCTAAAAATAGCTGCGACAATGTTCTAAGTTTGCCATTCAATGTTTTCTTCGGCTCAAATTTCTGCTTCATAAGGTACAATACTGCTATAAACGGAAAGTATCGAGCAAGACTGTCGGGGGAGGGGGAGAATGATGTTAAAACAAGTCTTTAGAGTATATGATATATAAGAACGAAAAAATTACACTCGGGGAGAATCTCTCTTGATAATGCTATTATTTTGTATACGGAATAGTATGCTTAGTAAACAAAAACAGACTAAAATAAAACATACAACTTATTTAGAATTCTTCGAAGAAAAACTATTTCTGTTTATTGTACCATTTATAGCCTATCTTAAGATACCTGTTGAAAGATGATGGTCTTTTAGTTCTAAAAAAAAAGGTTGTAGGCAGACATATTTTAAAGTCACCATAAAGCTAATTTATCCATTAATGCGTGGTAGTTATTAATTTTATAAAGAACAGAACAAAATATTTTTAATTATGTAAATTAAAGGCATGAAAAAGAAATCATGTGGTACGTTGCGACATATATATCAGCAAGAGAGCCTTTAATTTTCAATCATTTGCAAACTTATTTTCTAGAGGCAATATCTTTCGATCTCTTAATCTTTTATATTTCAGCCACCATATCACAGAGTTGTATTTTGATTAATTGAGTCCTATATTTGACTTAAAGATTGTTCTTTTGTAATAAAGATACACAAAGAATCCACCACGGTACGTCCACAATCCTCTCAGGTACATTTAGAGAACGTCAGTGCGCCTGTTTTAATGAACTGCCCCTTTTTCCAAGAAAGTTTAAGTCACGTGAAGTAATATCTAAATGAACAAAGATCCATGGTATCTGTAAGATGCTGGACTTAATTAGAATATTCTTTTACTTCATTACGTCGTTGATGAACCGACGGCAACTACAAAGCAGAAATTACATTGATTTTACAGAGTTTTACACAATTTGTGATTCTAATCGGAAACAAAAATTACGGTGCACCTGACTTCCGCGGATTTGACAAATATGGCGGCCGTAATTAATTTGATTACAAAGTGACGACTGAAAAAGTACCGTTATCTAACACTGCAAATATCACCGAAGATCAAACACTGCGGCGACAGAAGAGTGTTAAAATCCCTGCTGATTAGACTTCCCCAGAATCACTCGGCCTTTAACCTGAGAATAATTCCAAATATGAAAATATTGACCCTGAATGTGGTTTCGTGAAAATGGGAGGCTCAGTCAATATGCTCAGACTTAAAATTGCCACATTCAATCTTTGTTAAGATCATTTAAAAGTTTTCCTAAGCACTTGAAAATAATTCAAGCCGCATGCTGACTTTTCAATTTGCTAGCATTTTCTAGCTCCGTGGACATCTGCGACCCTAAATGTATCGTTTTAGAATTTTCTCGCGCTGCATGACCTCGGGACCTGAGGGTCAATTCCAAAGGTTAGAATCCTGAGGGCAGATGCAATGGATAAAGTATCTTGTCTAAAACAAAAAAAGTTGATGCCAAGATTTTTATGGCAATGCAAACCGGCGAGAATCCACTTTTATGTTTACTTAGCAATTTTGGAGGGAAATACAAATATGATGAATGCAGCAGTCATAGGCGTATGTAAAAAGGGAGAAGGTTTCTCAGATGTTAGGATGTGTTTGACAGCAGATCAGAT